CTATGGACACCAGAACAGCTACAGAATAGTCCGTCCCTGCCGGCATTTTCTTCCTGTGGCACTGACGTTCAGCGTCTCCATGTGGAGAAGCTGAACTTTCCCCATTGAGATGCACTGATTCAATGTATCTAGATGACGAGATGCCAGTTGGACAAGACCGCTTTGGAACAGCTCAGTGAAACTGCAGCGCATGATGTATAAACTGGAACTGTTTAATTAAGCTAAAGTTAGCTTGATGCCTAGTATCCCTTGACACTATAGCCTATGATATTTCAAATTATCACCTACATAACCCAAAATAGGCCCCAACAAACTTTATATCCTAACTGTCTGTAATACGTTTTAGTGCCTTCCTCTCACACTGACATGCATTCATATGTTGCTCTGACAACAAACATGTCTGTCTGACTGAACTCCTAGTGCAGCCCTCAGCCTGTGACCCCATACAAGCACGCAGAGCTCCTGTATTTTACTACCCCACTATCGTTTAATGTAGCATTTAGAGGGTTATTTACTTAACTAAGAATTGCCGTAAATTTAAGGCCAAAATAGCTGAATATTTTTTAATTCTGAAAGTTTGCCATAAAGTTGGGACATTCACTTTAATTTCCTAATCATATATATTTCCTAGTGTGGCCCCCAGATCCCTATCACACTGGCTCTATATTACCTAGTGTGGCCCCCAGATCCCTATCACACTGGCTCTATATTACCTAGTGTGGCCCCCAGATCCCTATCACACTGGCTCTATATTACCTAGTGTGGCCCCCATATCCCCATCACACTGGCTCTATATTACCTAGTGTGGCCCCCATATCCCCATCACACTGGCTCTATATTACCTAGTGTGGCCCCCATATCCCTATCACACTGGCTCTATATTACTTAGTGTGGCCCCAAGATCCCTATCACACTGGCTCTATATTCCTAGTGTGGCCCCAGATCCCTATCACACTGGCTCTATATTACCTAGTGTGGCCCCCAGATCCCTATCACACTGGCTCTGTATTACCTAGTGTGGCCCCCAGATCCCTATCACACTGGCTCTATATTCCTAGTGTGGCCCCCAGATCCCCATCACACTGGCTCTGTATTACCTAGTGTGGCCCCCAATCATATCACACTGGCTCTGTATTACCTAGTGTGGCCCCCAGATCCCTATCACACTGGCTCTATATTACTAGTGTGGCCCCAGATCCCTATCACACTGGCTCTATATTACCTAGGCCCCCAGATCCCTATCACACTGGCTCTGTATTACCTAGTGTGGCCCCCAAATCCCTATCACACTGGCTCTATATTAACCAATTGTGGCCCCCAGATCCCTATCACACTGGCTCTATATTACCTAGTGTGGCCCCAGATCCCTATCACACTGGCTCTATATTACCTAGTGTGGCCCCCAGTGTGACAGTGCGGCCCCATGTGGCCCCTAGATGACTGCTGTGGCCCCTGTCTCCTGATGTCACATGCTTCCCCCATGCTACGTGACGTCACGCTAGGTGCTGTGAGTGACGTCACGCTGGCGGTTGGCCCCGCGTGCGGTTGGGTTGCTCAGTGTGGCCCTGGGCCCCGCTCTCACCTCGTTAAGCTGCCTCTCGGCCGCCTCCCGGAGGGCTGGGTCCATGGTGCCCCGGAGGGCCTCGATGAGCAGAGTGGGGTCCATGTCCGCGGTGAGGGAGAGCCCGAGGCGAGCTGCGCACATGGAGCCGCCACACACACCGGCGGGAAAGGAAGGAGAGCAGCCAGGCCCCGGATACAGCCCGCCCACAGCCTGCACCGTCACTTCCGCTCCCAACCGCACTGGATCACGGGACATGTAGTCTGCTTGCAGCGACCCACACGCACAGCTCGCCTACAACACGTAACGTCACTTCCAGCTATGGCTCCTGGGCGCTCGCGAGCCTTCATTTATCACTCTCCATGTGCAAGTCGCCCACAAGGTGTCGCGTCACTTCCGCTCAGGCCGCGGGGTATCTCGGGACTTGTAGTCCTACCTGTGCGTGTAGCTAGTGCAATTTATTCCTGAACCTCTGGAGAATTAAATATTACACAGGGGGCCAGGGTTATATATTACACAGGGAGCCAGGGTTATATATTACACAGGGAGCCAGGGTTATATATTACACAGGGGCCCAGGGTTATATATTACACAGGGAGCCAGGGTTATATATTACACAGGGAGCCAGGGTTATATATTACACAGGGGGCCAGGGTTATATATTACACAGGGAGCCAGGGTTATATATTACACAGGGAGCCAGGGTTATATATTACACAGGGAGCCAGGGTTATATATTACACAGGGGGCCCAGGGTTATATATTACACAGGGAGCCAGGGTTATATATTACACAGGGGGCCAGGGTTATATATTACACAGGGAGCCAGGGTTATATATTACACAGGGGGCCCAGGGTTATATATTACACAGGGAGCCAGGGTTATATATTACACAGGGGCCCAGGGTTATATATTACACAGGGGCCCAGGGTTATATATTACACAGGGGGCCAGGGTTATATATTACACAGGGGGCCAGGGTTATATATTACACAAGGAACAGGGATATATTTTATATATTACACAGAGGCCAGGGTTATATAGTACACAGGGGCCCAGGGTTATATATTACACAGGGGGCCAGGGCTATATATTACACAGAGGCCAGGGTTATAAATTACACAGGGGGCCAGAGTGCTCTTTTAATTCAATGTTTACCTATTGAGAGGTTTGAAAGTACAAGCGACACTTGCCGTGTAAGTGCATTAGACAGGTCATTTGTGGTCCTGACCCTATAGTGTTCCTTTAAATTTAATATGCACTTTGAATCCCCCTTTAGTGAAAAGCACTGTTAGGTTGGAATATGTTTTATCCCAAAATCCGCTTCACAATTTCACACACAAAAAAGCTAAAAAGTAAATGTTGAAAATTCAATAAAGAATTCAATATTTCAAGAAGCAGTATTATGAAATATAATAAACAATGGCCGTCTATCTGAACACTAGCAGGAATATTCACTTAAAGCAGCTCTGTCACTTTTTAGTATTTCAGAAATATATACAGGATTACTTACTAAAGTTACAACTATTCTATAAGTCAGCTATGTTTCCAATTCTGCAGCTTTGACGTTAATTTGAAAATCACTTAGAATTCTTAATTTAGTGAATAACCCTTTTTGTTTGGATGGACACATTTAATGAGTAAAACCAAAATCTGACTGAGTTGACAATTCTCTAAACCTAAATCTGGTTGCGATTTAGTGATTCCAACTGAATTTGCACCAGAAACCTAGTTTAAAATGTAGTGTTTTTTGCATTTGAATCCTATATAAAACACAGGAACTTGAACCCTACAAACCACCGATTTTAAACAAAATTGTGACCAGGTTTTTAAAATTTTGTTACACAAAGCCCTGGCAAATCTTCACATAATTGAACAGTCATTCTATTGACCTGTTTTATGTTTTTTTAACTGTTTGGATGCTGGCAAATAGTTTAGACTTTTAAAATTCTTGCTTCAATTATAGCAATACAGGCCTGTAGTTTAACCTTTAGCCATTTGGCCAGACTGCTTTGTAAAATCCCGATGTTAAACACTATGAACATCTGGATTTTGAAGTCTGAATAGCCTGTGTGGAATCCAAATGGTTATGCCACATTTGATATTAGTAGAGTTTGACTGTAATAACCCTGTATTGGGAGAATTTCCGGAAATTCACGGAATGAATGGCTTGTCTGGTAAAGTGACTAAATTTTTTTTAAAGTAAATTTAGTTAATAATGAGCTCTCTATTCTTTAAAAACGTGAGACAGCACACTTCAGAAAATGAATTCTTACTGGGATGTAATGGGAATTTCAGAGCATACAGAGCCCTGACAATTAGACATGGCAGCTGGTTTTAGTATCATACACAAATGCTTGAGCAAAAGGATAATAAATTGTGTTTGATCTAAGAAACCATTCAGATGAGATTTTTAAACTTAAAATGTCTAGTATAGTATTACCAGCAGTATACAGGGAGGGCAGCTGCTGGCTACATTTATACAATTATTACAGTGTATGTTGTTGGTTCAAATAAAACTCCATGGTTACCCCCTGCTGGGCTGCACTGTATACCCCCTGCTGGGCTGCACTGTATTCTCCATCAACTACCCACTGTTGGGCTGCACTGTATAAACCCTTAGTTACCCCATGCTGGGCAGCAATATATATTCCCTCAGTTACTCCCTACTGGTCTGCACTGAATACCCCCTCAGTCACCCTCTGTTGGGCTGTACTGTATACCCCCTCAGTCACCCACTACAGTGCTGCACTGTAACCCCCCTCAGTTACCCCCTGCTGGGCAGCACCACATGCCCCTTCCGGTACCCCCTGCTGGGTAGCATTACATACCTCTTCAGCTAACCCCTACTAGGCTGCACTGTATACCCCCTCAGTTACTCCCTGCTGTAGTGCACTATTTCCCCTTCAGTCACCCCCTGTTGGGCTGCACTGTATAAAACCTCAGTTACCCCCTGCTGGGCAGCACCACATACCCCTTTAGTTACTCCCTGCTGGGCTGCACTGAATACCCCCCTCAGTTACCCAATGCTGGGCTGCACTGTAACACCCCTCAGTTACCCAATGCTGGGCTGCACTGTAACCCCCTCCCCCTCAGTTACCCAATGCTGGGCTGCCTGTAACCCCCTCAGTTACCCAATGCTGGGCTGCTGTAACCCCCCCCAGTTACCCCCTGCTGGGCTGCCTGTAAACCCCCTCAGTTACCCCCTGCTGGGCCTGTAAACCCCCTCAGTTACACCCCCTGCTGGGCTGCACTGTAACCCCCCTCAGTTACCCCCTGCTGGGCTGCACTGTAAACCCCCTCAGTTACCCCTACAGTGCTGCCTGTAAACCCCCCTCAGTTACCCCCTGCTGGGCTGCACTGTAACCCCCCTCAGTTACCCCCGGCTGGGCTGCACTGTTCTATACATGAGTGCCAGGCAATGACACCATAGATTGCGTTCTAAGTGCCGGAGCGGGCAAATTAACCATAGAGCAGTGAGGGAGCGGGCTGTGTTTCCGGTTTCGGACCGCAGTGCGCAGGCGCGGGCCGGCCATCAAAGCGCTCGGAGGCGGAAGTGACCGGTTGAGAGCTGACCCCGAGCCGGTAACCATGGCCAGACCCCGAGCGGCGGCAGCAGCGACGGAAACCCGTGAGAAACCAGAGCAAAACAACCATGGTGAGACCAAGATAAAAATATATATATCAACCCATAGAGAGACATAGAAACCTATAGAGAGACATATCAACCCATAGAGAGACATAGAAACCTATAGAGAGACATATCAACCCATAGAGAGACGTATCAACCCATAGAGAGACGTATCAACCCATAGAGAGACATAGAAACCCATAGAGAGACATATCAACCCATAGAGAGAAATATCAACCCATAGAGAGACATATCAACCCATAGAGAGACATATCAACCCATAGAGAGAAATAGCAACCCATAGAGAGACATAGCAACCCATAGAGAGACATATCAACCCATAGAGAGACCTATCAACCCATAGAGAGACCTATCAACCCATAGAGAGACCTATCAACCCATAGAGAGACCTATCAACCCATAGAGAGACCTATCAACCCATAGAGAGACCTATCAACCCATAGAGAGACCTATCAACCCATAGAGAGACCTATCAACCCATAGAGAGACCTATCAACCCATAGAAACCTGTCAACCCATAGAGAGACATAGAAACCTGTCAACCCATAGAGAGACATAGAAACCTGTCAACCCATAGAGAGACATAGAAACCTGTCAACCTATAGAGAGACATAGAAACCTGTCAACCTATAGAGAGACATAGAAACCTGTCAACCTATAGAGAGACATAGAAACCTGTCAACCTATAGAGAGACATAGAAACCTGTCAACCTATAGAGAGACATAGAAACCTGTCAATATTTATATATTTACCTATAGAGATATGTATGTATATAAATCTATCAACATATTAAAAGCTGGTTGTCACTTGTGTTTAAAAAATATGTATAAATATGTGAGGTGTGAGAAAATAAAATTAAAAATGTAGAAATTAACATTTTTTTATCCTCCATCTAGGTGCCTCCTTCTTAGCTCCCCGTCAATCATATAAGGTCTGTCCTTTACACCTGGCAGTCAGCACAGAGATGGGAGAAATGAAAGGGACACTATAGTCACCAGAACAACTACAGCTTAATGTAGTTGTTCTGCTGAGTATAGTCAGTCCCTTCAGGCTTTTTAATGTAGATACTGCCTTTTCAGAGAAAAGACAGTGTTTACATTACCCCCAAGTGACACCTCCAGTGGCCACTCAACAGACTGCCACTAGAGGTGCTTCCTGGGGAATGTTGCACTGTGTACAGCACTGAGATTCAGTGTCTTGTCGCCCTGCATGGAGACACTCAACTTTACCCATAGAGATGTATTGATTCATGAGGAGATTCTGATTGGCCACGGCAGCCTTTGGCTTTGCTCCCAGCCCACCTCCTTGATAAACTCAGCCAATCAATGCTTTCCTATAGACCGGGAGCAGAGCCAGCACCAGCAGACTGGAAATATTTACGGTGGCCAGAAGGGCTAGATAGTGATTTTAACAATATAGGATCAGGAGTACATGTTTGTCCTATGTTCCTTTGACATAAATTGGTGAAAAAATGGTGACAAGTTAAAGGGACAATCCGTTTTCCTGGCACTGCAGGTCGCCTCTCCCTCCCACCCCCCAACCCAGGTTGCTGAAGGGGTTAAAACCCCTTCAGTGACTTACCTGTATGCAGCGCCGATGTCCCTCGGCGCTGGTTCAGGGTCTGTCTATGCTCCTCCCCCACCGACGTCATCCGGCGGGGGAGACCTATTGCGCTTGCGCGGTCGGCGGCAGGGGAGACCGCATGCGCATTAGACCTCCCAAAAGGAAAGCATTAAAAGATACTTTGAATGCTTTTCTATGGGGATTTCAGCGACGCTGGAGGTCCTCACACATAAACCAGGAAGTGCCCTCTAGTGGCTGTCTAGTAGATTGGATTGGCTAAAATCGGCGCGGGGCCATATGCCGTTTTGGCCAATCAGCACCTCCTCATAGAGATACATTGAATCAATGCATCTCTGTGAGGAAAGTTCAGCGTCTCCATGCAGAGCATGGGGACGCTGAAGGCAGGGCTATCTACTGTGCAGCCCTAAGCTAGGAAGCCCCTTCCAGTGGCCATTTGGAGGCGTCCCTAGGGGCAATGTAAAAAGACTGTGTTTGCATTAAAATGCCTGAAGGGAGCTATTATATTTACCAGAACTACTACAATAAGCTGTAGTTATTCTGGTGACTATAGTGTCCCTTTTAAGGGTTAGTCCAGTTTTTGAAGCTGCGTCCTTAAAGGGTTAAAGGAAGTGTTTAGTAAGGCTGTGTAATTTGTGTGTAGGGAGGTGTGACTAGAGCCGCATAAACAAACATGATTTAACTCCTAAATGGCTGATAATTGAGTAGTGAGACTGCAGGGGTATGATCTATACTCCAAAACTGCTTCATTAAGCTAAAGTTGTTTTGGTGCCTAAAGTATCTCTTTAACTTCCCATACCTGTTGGGTTTGCAATTTTGGCAATTTGTAACTCGGCTGATTGTGTTCAACCCGGCCAGCAGGCTGGACTCTCTTGCTGTTGTTGGAAAATCAACCTAAGCTAGCATATATGCAAATCATTACATGTAAGGGAATTATTCACTAAAGTGGGAGTTGTAGAAACTACATGTTAATTGCAAATTTTAGGTCAACATAGCTGGTGATTTAAACAAAAAAAAAAATGTGGCTGCATTCAGGATCAGACACTAAACAGGAGTAGATCTAGGTATTTCATTTTTTTTCCCCAAATTGAGTGGGTTGAGGAATACTTGGCTAGTTTGTTTAGTTTATAGTATCCCAAAATTAGTGAATTCCAAGCAATTCTTAGTTTAGTTAAATTTTGTGTATGTCTTTAAATTGCAATTCCTTTTTTGATCTCTCACAATTCCTGGTTTGAGAGTAAAGACCATAAACTGTCAGATTTCAGCTGGTATGACTCTTCCCACAGTGACACATGACTGAATGAATGGAATTCAACCTTTCTTGTTAATCTTCCTGTAAGAGGAGAATGTTATCCATTGAGGTCATGACTCACACTGAACCTGCCTCTCTTGTTTTGATTGCAGAGTTATGACACATTTATACAGTGTGTTTAGCTAACTAGGTGTAGAGAAGCCCCACTGGACCCCAGATAGGGAGGCAGAGTGGATTTCAAGAAAAATAAAAAATATCAATATGTCTGTGTGTGTGTGTTTGTGTCTGTTTAGGTAGCTGCCCTCCTCCAATCGCACTAGAAAGTTTTTTTTACTCACTTTTTTCCGACAACATTTGCCGTGGCTGGTCAGTCAGAATGATCTCCGCTATGGGAGAATATTGCTCATGCCCAGTAAAACAATGTGCCAATTAGCATCTCCTCATAGAGATGCATTGAATCAATGCATCTCTATGGGGAACATTCAGCGCCTCCATACAGAGTGTGGAGACGCTAAACCAAGGACTCTCTATGGCCATCTGAGTGACTGTTGCTAGGCAAGCAATGTAAACATTGCCTTTTATATGAAAAGGCAATGTTTACATTGAAAGGTCTGCAGGTACAGGCTATAGACACCAGAACAACTACATTAAAGGGACACTATAGTCACCCAGACCACTTCAGCTCAATGAAGGGGTCTGGGTGCCAGGTCCCTCATGTTTTAACCCTTCAGATACAAACATTTCAGTTTAGTAAGCAGCCCTGCCGTTCAGCGTCTCCACGCTCTGCATGGGGACGCTGAATTTTCCTCATAGAGATGCATTGATTTAATGCATCTCTATGAGGAGGTACTGATTGGCCAAAACCGTGTTTGGCCCCGCCTCCTTTCGATTTTAGCCAATTCAATTCTTTCCCCATGGGAAAGCAATGAATTGGCTAAAAATGTCTAATTCTGATGTCACCAAGGGGGTGGGGCCAGTGCGGCTGACCAGCACCGCGCTGGAAATAAGGTGAGTTTTTCATGCTTTTAAGGGGGTTTATTGGGTCGCAAGCCACCGTAATGGTGTGTTTTACACTATCGGGTCAGGAATGCATGCTTGTGTTCCTGACCCTATAATGTTCCTTTAATGTATAGGTCAGAGGGAGTAAACATTTAGCTGTAGATTTTCAACTTGGATGCTCAGCCAGCCAGACATACACTTCTTTAGTTTTAGATCACTTCCTGAGTGTCATGGGAAATGTAGTTCCATGGCAATTGGAGAACTCTCTGCTTATTATTCCAGATCCCCATGTGCTGATCTCGTCAACTTGCCAAGTGCCACATGGTGCTCACCCTGCACTGTAGCTATTTCTGCAATTTCAGTAATTGGAAATAGACGTTTATCTATAACAGGATCCAGTTGTAGATATACCCCAAATGAAAACTTACATGCATTTAATTCTTCCTTTTTTTTTTTTTCATTTGAGTTATATCTAAATACCAACAACCAAAAAGAGGAAGATGTATTAGACTCCCGCCAGTATGATTTGAGCTGATCTTGGGAGGCTCATTTTCATGTGAGTTAGACCATTGTGTTTAATTCACACACCCAAACGCCTTACAATTTTACAATATTAACCTTTTCTCTTTTTCCCAGACATGTTTTCCAGTCCCTAATAAAGGGTAGGTGTTTATCTTATTACACCTCGCACGCTCCACTATTTTGGTTCGTGTCTAATACATCTTCCTCTTTTGGGTTGTTGGTGTGGATTGAGAGAGATCCACCAGTGTAGTAGTGTGTGGACTAACACTATTTGACTTATTGTTCCTTAGCGCCTTGATATGCACAGAGCACTGCGTGTTTACTTGTATCTAAATACTGCTTGCAAAACCTGCAGTTCTCTTGTCTGCTGCCTTTTCTAGCTCTCCCCTTCTAACCCCACCCAGACTTTCTGTGGCTGTCCAATCAGAAACTTCCCCATGCAGCTCAATGAAAAGTCTTTGCAAGGCAGGTGCTCTGGGCAATTGCTGCCTCTTAAGTTTAGTGCAAATAAGCTAACCAAACCAGGAAATACCAGACCCGTTGTCTGCTTCAAAAGCCTGGGGGTTGTAACCAGTATAATTTATACAAGTGTTAATTTCTATTGAAATCTGCTTTTTGTTGCAAAATGAAAACAAAATGGGGACACTCTTTACACACAAATCTTTTTTGCAATCTAAAGTGCTTTAGGGGTCTGGAGTGTCCTTTTAACTTGTCTGTAAACATGTTAATATACATGTCTTATTTTTCTAATTTATTAAGGAAAAGCTCACCCAGAAGGAGGCTCCACCCGCACATCCCTGCTCATATTGGTGTCCATTTTCCTGTCTGCGGCATTTGTCATGTTCCTGGTTTACAAAAACTTTCCACAGCTTAATGAGTACGTATTACTGATTTGTTCCAACAACCCTTTCAGTCCAGTTCTTTGCACCATAACTACTAGCTGCGGCTTCCTTTGAGCTGTGGCATTTAGGATGTGCTTTACTTTATCAGAGAAAAGAATGAGAGAGAGAAAACATATCCTGTTCCTGTGTTTGTACTACAGAATATGTTGGAGGTTTATGAATAGTTGTCTTCTTTCTTGCTTTACACAGGGAAGAGCTGGAGATGATCAAAGTCCCTCGGGATATGGACGATGCCAAGGCTCTGGGAAAAGTCCTCTCCAAATATAAGGACACATTTTACGTGGAAGTCTTATTGGCTTATTTTGTTACCTATATCTTGTATCCTTTTTGCTGTTTTAGTCATGAGGTCAGGTGTATCCAATAGGTGCTGCTATCTGAGTTTACCTGGTCCTGCATGGTTCATCAAACAATTCAGCCGTTCTCACATCAATTTGTGCTGTTGATCCAAAAGAAGGCAAATTGACAGACAAAGCGGTTCATATTAACTGGCATTTCTCATGGTTTCCATGATACAGTGATAATTGCGACTTGGCCAGCATTGAGTTCCTGTTTGATCGCAGTGAGCTCCATAACAGTAAGCATAAAACTACCAAAAAATTATCAAACTGGAGAAAACTATTACAACAGGGCTTGTCAGCCAGGATCAATGTAAAGGAGGATTCATGAAAACTGTAAGCTAACTTGTGTGAATTGTCTTGTATGTGCTGTTCTATTTGTGAGGTCAGAGTGTAGATTTATTTATTAAATAATCTAACGAAAAATATTGATCCATATATATAAAAAAAATGTTTTCCCCTATTCCAAGTTTATTGTAAAAAGAGAATTGTCACTTTAAATTGAATGTATAGGTTAGAAAATTTATTTATTTTAAAACTTTTTAACAATGCTGTTTAAAAAAAAAAAAAAAAGTTTTTTTTTTTTCTCCAAAATTCCTTTCTTGTCTAAAATCCGACCTTTCTAGCAGCAGATTTTAATATCTGCAACTATGCTGATCATCCCGTTTTTGCCCAGCAGAAACTTATTTTTTTCTCTTCAAGTTCTATTGTGGACACGGGGACGATGAGATGATATTTGATTGTGTTCATAACAGAACACTTAGTGAATATACCCAACCACTTGTGTATGTCTAAAAACATCATTAACTAGTTACTGGATATTTAGTAAATTATATACAAAAATATATAATGTCCAGGTCTGCAGGCTTTTCTTCAGTCCTTACGTGGCATCCTTATTTTATGTAATTAGAAATGCTGGTAGGTGCAATATTTATTCTACCATTGGCTGATTCACAGCTCTGAGCATGCAGATAAGGGCTCCCTACACATTGTATGCTGACATTGTATGCTGTAAGATAGGGTCTAAATGGAACCTCATTTTAAGGAAATGTGTAGGAAAGCTGGAGTGATTGACAGCCAGGGGAGGTGTGGCTGGAACTGCTGAAAAAACATTTCACGTTTAAAGGATTACTCCAACCAGAGTGTTTCAGAGCAGCTGCAAGGAGAAGCTAGTTATCCACTCCCACATTGTGCTCCCACCTGACTCCCTCAATTGCAAATTGATCTTTTAAAAAAACAACCCTCCGCCTTCATACCTCTCAATGCCAGCCCACAGCACTCACATGTACTGTGAGCCGGCAAAATAGCCCAATCACAACCTGTGCATGGCCTGCGCATAATCACAGTGATGTCAGGACTGGACGCAGAAAAGCAGCAGGGCATATTTCACCAGAAAGATCCTCTCAAGAGGGGGTTATAGTAACTTTTTAAACTCTTGAGCTGAAGTGGGTTCGGAGCTTAAATTGACACTTTAAATTACAATGACTCTTTGCTTATCTCTATTGTATGTAGAAATGGGGCAGTAGTTATAGAGATGATGTTGGCCATTTGTCCTCACATGATCCCTGGACACAATGGTTTGTTAATAAACGCATATATTATAGTCGTCTATTAACTAAACTGAGATTTGCAAATTGATGTGGCAGTGCAATGGTAATTTAATGAACCTGGAACTGCAATCTTTATTCCAGCAAAGCGGTGTTGTTTTTTTTCTCTCCCAGTTTTTCTATATCCCTTTGTCGTCTCTCCACAGTTTTTAGTTTAGTGAATAAAGCGTGTAGAGTACTTTGTACAGACTGTGCTATATCAAGAACATTAATGTTTTTTGCGTCCGTTTGGTGACAATAGATTGTGGAACTGATTTTATAGGCAGTCCATAGACTCAATAATATGCTGATCCCCTCATGGCTGAATTTAACGCTACTCTTTGTTTCAGACCACTACTTTAGCTCGTGTCGTCCCGTTGGCTGCCTTCCCATTGTTTGCTGATTATACTAATACTCTAGGTTTAGCACACCGTGCGTGCTGCACGAGAGCAGGAAGCAAAGCATTCATCCATGCTGAAACCACGTCTGCTTGTGTAGCAGAATACTGCAAATGTAAACCTGGTTGTTCTGCACAGATGGGCACACATAATGGGGGATTAATGGATTAACCATCACTGCTCCCTAACATACATGCAAACCGATTAATAAATTATTAAAACAGATGGATAGTGCAGCATTAAATCATATTAAGACTGGCTGCAGGCCAGATTTCGAAATCAGATACTTGGTCATTGCGCCCCCTAAAGTGATCTATATAAATTACAGCTCACCACTCTACTCCCTGCAGTACTACGCTGTCAGCAAACTTTTCTCACTATGTACTCTCTCATAATGATGGATAAGTCAATTACTCTGGAGCAGCTCTGATCAACAAGTTTCCTTCCAACTTAACTGCAACTACATCTCTCATGATGCTGTGCCAGCCTGTAGTCTTACTAGATACAAGGCTAAGGGGTCTCTTTACTAAATGTCTCAAGGATTGAGGTTACATGGCAGACCCTTTTAAGAAACCGAAACAAGGAAGAAACTCCAATATAAATCGAAAACAGACCTCGCTGTACGCCACGTATGAATTATTTAAAGAGATACCCCACTGCCCAAATAAAAATTTTCTGTTTAGTAGATAAAGCCCCAAATGAAAACTTGCATGCATTTAATTATGAGTTTTTACATTGGGGATAAATCTAAAACTGCTTGTAAAAGATGCAGGTACCTTGTCTGCAGCCTATGCAAGCCCCCCTCTTCTAACCCTGCCCATTCTTTCTCTGGTGACTTACCAATGCACCTCTATAAGAATTCTTTGCAAGGCAGGTGCTTGGGCAATTGCTGAATCTTGAGTTTAGTTCTGTTGGGTTAAAGGGATTCTTTAATGCCAGGAAAACAAAACCTGTTTTTCTGGCACTTTAGAATCATCATACAGTGCCCCACTCACTCCCGCCTCTCATCCAGTGTTGCTGAAGGGGTTACCATAAATTCAGTGCCGATGTCCCTCAGCGCAGGGTCAGGCTCCACTCACACTTCTACCCCGCCGTCAGCCGGTGGGGGAGACCTAATGTGCATCAATGGCTGCGCTCGCATTAGGATTTCCCCATAGGAAAGCATTATTCACTGCTTTCCTAGAGGAATTCCGGTGACGCTGGAAGTCCTCATACATAGCGTGAGGATGTCCAGCGACGTTTAGACTACCAAAATTCGTCTAAGCACCTGGAAGTCCCTGTAGTGGCTGTCTTATAGACAGCCACTAGAGGAGGACTTAACTCTGCAAGGTAATTATTGCCGTTTCTCAGAAATTAGCTGAAGTGGTTTGCGTGCCTACAGTGTCCCTTTAACCTAGGAGGAAACAGGTCAGGTTATCTGACAGCCAGGTGGGTGTAACAAGGATTGTTTATAAAAGTGTCAATTTCTGTTGAAATCTGCATTTTTTTCAATAGGGGAAAAATAGAACATACTCTTCACACATAAAGCTTTTCGGCAAACTAAGGTGTTTTAGGTGTCTGGAGTGTACCATTTTGATAAAACTGTCTTAGTGTTTGTAGCATTGTCCCTGCACAAATGGTGGTTAGAATGACTGAAGCCAAATATGTGTATCGCTAAAACTTGTCAAAACCTTGCCAAAATACCTCCAGATACGCCAATCACTTTATTATGTAGAATAACTGAAGCACAAATCAGGGAAAACCGGGTTGATCAAATAAATGGTTTTATTGTTCAGATTAAAAAAAAGGTTTTGCGAGAGCATCTTCTTGATATCTTTCTTACTTTAATGTCCAGATACATTTTCTTGGGTAAATTATATAATATTTCGCTATGTATTTAGCAGATTAGCTAAGCTTTTACTCTTTACTAAAAACAAGGTTTGCCTGTTTGTTTTGTATGTCCAATATATAATTATAAAAATAGTCCTTTAAAGCAGATCTGGAGTGTACTAGTCACTTTTGAATTGTCGCTCCCTATTACTTTTTATTTATATTTTGCACCAATACTTCCTTAACACAAATGCTGTCAGCCTGCAAACCTTTGCTATCCCTGGTTCCATATTTCTAAGCATCCTGTCTGGGTTTCTCTACCCCTTCCCCTTGGCTCTGTTTCTCGTGTGCCTGGTAGGTATATATGTAACTGCTTATACAGTGTTGAAATGTGTAAGGATGCAATTATTGTATGTTAGCCTTATGGTTTATGACTCCTAAAAAAAATAAGGACCAGCCCGAAGTTACTCTTTGTTACATCAATATGAGAGTGCTTTTATGTTAGAAAACTCATTAAAGAGAAATAAACACCTGAAATCTGTTTCTTTTATTTTTGAACCATTTCTTCTTTTTGCTGCAGTGTTCTGGGCTCGGGGCATCGTTTTGCTATTTGCTTTCCTATCTCGTTGGACGGCCAATTGTCTACAAATACCTGAGTGAGAAGGCAGTGAAATGGTCCCAGCAGGTAATGAAACTACGAGGCCAAGTTATTCATATAGAAATACACAAACACACCCACCATTCCCAACTGCATTCTTAACATTCTACACATTCGTGTTCTGCTATGTCCAGTCTCTAATCACTGGATGCCACAAATTATTTCTACTCCTTTTCGTTACATAGGCTGAAAAGAGAAATGCGCCCACGAATCTCAGCCTTTCTCACATCTATTTTTGCTGTTGATCCAAAAAAAGAAAGGCAAAAACCCAGTTTAGCAGTCAGATCTCTCCTTTGATCAAAAATCTATTACCCCACATATTAAACATTATATTCCAGAATATTATGTTTTTGCAAATATTCATCCAGTTGCTGTTTAAATACATGTATAGACTCTGATAGATTCATCTCTTCAGGCAGAGAATTACACATCCTTATTGTTCTTACACTAAAAACCCTTCCCTTTGCCTTAGGCTTAATCTCCATTCTTCCAGTCTAAATGTGTGTCCTGTGTATAGTCCTATTTATGAATAGATTTCCAGACAGTGGTTTGTATTGGCCCTGAATATATTTGTATAATGCTATCTTATCCCCTCTGAGACACTGTTTTTCTAAACTAAAGAGATTTCAATTTGTTAATTTTTCTTCATAACTAACATTCCTGTTGTTCATTTTGTAGCCTGTCTCTGCAATTATTTCTAGAGCCAGAATATCCTTCTTTAGAACACGTGTGGTCTTACCATTGATTTATAAAGTGGGAAAATAATATTTTGATCCCAAACCTTAATGCCCCTATTTATACATAACAATACCTTACTGGCCTTTGCAACTGCAGCTTGACATTGCACATTGTTGCCTAGTTTGTTGTCTATAGTAATTCCCAAATCCTTCTCATGTGTTGCTATTGCCAATTCACTACTGTTAAGGATGTAAGTTGCTTATGCATTCTTTACCTTTAACCCCTTAAGGACACATGACATGTGTGACATGTCGTGATTCCCTTTTATTCCAGAAGTTTGGTCCTTAAGGGGTTAAACACCTCTTACTACTTTTGTCTGGCTTGAAATTTTTTATCATTGACAACTATCTGTATTCTATCTTTAAGCCATTGTTCTACCCAAGAACAACAGTTTTCATCTAGACCAATTTCTTTTCGAATGCCTTTGCATTAACCAAGTAGATCACATCCACTACAACACCCTGGTCTATACTTCTACTTACTTCTTCATAGAATGCAATTAATGGACCACTATAGGCACCCAGACCACTTCAGCTCAATGAAGTGGTCTGGGTGCCAGGTCCATCTAGGGTTAACCCTGCAGCTGTAAACATAGCAGTTTGAGAAACTGCTATGTTTACATATGGGTTAATCCAGCCTCTAGTGGCTGTCTCATTGACAGCCGCTAGAGGTGCTTCCGCGCTTCTCACTGTGATTTTCACAGTGAGAAAACGCTGCCGTCCATAGGAAAGCATTGAGAAATGCTTTCCTATGGACTGATTGAATGCACGCGCAGCTCTTGCCGTGCATGCGCATTTGGCGGATGACGTCAGAAGAGGGAGGAGAGTCTCCAGCGCAGAGGGAGCTCGACGCTAGATTAAGGCGTTTACCTCTTTAACCCCTTTAGAGCCTGGCGGGAGGGGGACCCAGAGGTTGGGGGCTGGGGGGACCTGTTAACACTATAGTGCCAGGAAAAAGGTTGTTTTCCTGGCACTATAGTGGTTCTTTAAGTTTGTTTGACATGACCTATGTTTCATAAACCCATGCTGATTTTCGGTAATAACAATGTTCTTCCCAATGAATTCCTGAAAATGATCCTTTAATAGCCTTTCAAATACTTTCCCAGACATAGAAGTTAAAGGACCACTATAGGCACCCAGACCACTTCAGCTCAATGAAGTTGTCTGGGTGCCAGGTCCCTCTAGTGTTAACCCTGCAGCTGAAAGCATAGCAGTTTCAGAGAAACTGCTATGTTTCACTGAGGGTTAATCCAGCCTCTTGTGGCTGAAAATCAGTGAGAAGACGCTGGACTTCCATAGGAAAGCATTGAGTAATGCTTTCCTATGGGCGGTTTGCATGCGCATTTGGAGCTGAGTTCGTCAGGGAGAGGAGAGGTCACCAACGCTGAGGGAGACAGACGCTGGATTAAAGTAAGTGGCTGAAGGGGTTTTAACCCCTTCAGCCCAGAGGGTGGGGGGACCTAATGACCCTATAGTGCTATATATTTTTTTTTTTTTACCTGGCACTATAGTGCTCCTTTAAGCTCACAGATCTATAATTTCCATCACTTTGGATGAGCAGTAACACAGTGTCTGTTATTTAAGGATACTGGACGAGTTCATAACATAAACTGAACTCTAAGCCAAAATAACTCCATTAAAGGACCACTATAGGCACCCAGACCACTTCAGCTTAATGAGGTGGTCTGGGTGCCTGGTCCAGCTAGGGTTAACCCTTTTTTCTATAAACATAGCAGTTTCAGAGAAACTGCTATGTTTATATTAGGGTTAAAGGACCACTCTAGGCACCCAGACCACTTCAGCTTAATGAAGTGGTCTGGGTGCCAGGTCCTTCTAGGGTTAACCCATTTTTTTATAAACATAGCAGTTTCAGAGAAACTGCTATGTTTATCAATGGGTTAAGCCTTCCCCTAATCCTCTAGTGGCTGTCTCATTGACAGCCACTAGAGGCGCTTGCGTGCTTCTCACTGTGATTTTCACAGTGAGAGCACGCAAGCGTCCATAGGAAAGCATTGTAAATGCTTTCCTATGCGACGGGCTGAATGCGCGCGCAGCTCTTGCCGCGCGTGCGCATTCAGCCCAGGAGGAGGAGAGAAGGAGGATCGAAGGAGGAGAGCTCCCCGCCCAGCGCTGGAAAAAGGTAAGTTTTTCCCCCTTTCCTCCTTCCAGAGCCGGGCGGGAGGGGGACCCTGAGGGTGGGGGCACTCTCAGGGCACTATAGTGCCACGAAAACGAGTATGTTTTCCTGGCACTATAGTGGTCCTTTAATCCAGCCTTTAGTGGCTGTCTTATTGACAGCCGCTAGAGGGCTTCCGCGCTTCTCACTGTGATTTTCACAGTGAGAAGACGCTAGCGTCCATAGGAAAGCATTGTGAATGCTTTCCTATAGACTGGCTGAATGCGCGCGTGGCTCCTGCTGCGCATGCGCATTCAGGAGGAGAGGAGGAGGAGAGCTCCCCGCCCGGCGCTGGAGAAAGAGGTAAGTTTAACCCCTTCCTCACCCTAGAACCCGGTGGGTGGGGGCACCCTCAGGGAACTATAGTGCCAGGAAAACGAGTATGTTTTCCTGGCACTATAGTAGTCCTTTAAGCACATAAAGTTGTTGGCTATATCATTGCTGTAAGTAATATAGCTTACATGTAACCAATGTACCACAAAACAATGTAACATGTCTCACCTTTATATCACACTGAGACACCGTAACATTATGTCTGAAATCCATGCTGGATACTTTGTACATGGCTAGCCTGCTGTGCACATTCAGTCTCAAAAATCTCAATCTTCAAAAATATAGTTACAAAATCTGTGCTGTTTTCACTATGGCTGACTCTAATTGAAGATTTAATGTTAGAATTACGTTTTTTTTTGCATATGTTTTCTATAGACAAGTCCCATTTGAAAATAGAAGTTTAGGAATCACGGATCCTAAGAAAAGATTGGTTTTGAAAGGGCATTTTTCAGACTTTGTTAATTCATGCCTACTTGCATTATTTGTACCTTGATTGAGCTGACCTCGTGTCACTCTGCACATTGTAACCTAGACAATTTCTATTAACAGATTTATTTTTCTCCCCTCTCTACAGGTTGATCGACATCGAGAACATCTGATTAATTATATGATATTCCTGCGAATAACACCATTTCTTCCGAACTGGTTCATAAACATCACGTCTCCCATCATTAACGTCCCTCTCAAAGTCTTCTTCTGGGGAACGTTTTTAGGTGAGGTTCTGTACTGGTGCTTGAACTCCACCTAGTGGAAAGGAGATGACATTACCTGCTTGAGGCCATGTTATTTCAGTTATAAATAGCAGCAGCAACACAGCTCTATAAATAGAAATGTCAAGAGCGCTTTGTGTAGGAGAAACAGATAGTAAAGGCTTATTAAATCCAGTTAGTGTTAAAAATAACAAGAGCTGCTGTTATTTCAACGTAATCTAAGCTACTGAAAAGGAGCAAGTCGTGAGTAGAACCAGTGTGTTTGTTCTTTTTCTCTTTTCTATCTTGGTTGCAAATTGTTATAAAAAGTCCTCCCAAAGCGCTTGTAATGCTGATACATATCTGCTCTTTTGGGTATTTTAGCGCAATTCATGGGAAGGCCAGATACTTAGGAGGTTAATTCACGAAATTGGGATTTGAAAAACAAATTGCAAAAATTGGAAATATTCTCAAATGTTAATTTGTCTGCAGCATGGGTATTTCAGCCTGAATTGTGAGATTAGGTTTTCATCTCATCACATTTCTCTGTTAAATGATCCCATTAATGAGCTTCTCGGGTTGTATTTTGACACTGTGTTCTTTATTGATCTGCTCTTAAAGCATTCCTTCAATTTCACAATGCTCAGCCCCCACCCACTATTGTTTATTCAGAGTTCCCATATACAATCTCAGTTCAGTCTTAGCCAGTCATTTTGAAGCTTGTTAACTCCCTCGGCAGTCTCGTGCCAGAATGTCCTCAAACTTTCTCCCAGTGATTCCGGCTTTCTGTAATAGTCTTGCTCGCCAAAGTAATTTGCTAAATCTCATTATTTTTTCAGTTTTTTAGAGGATTTCTGATAATGATTTGCTTTCTGGCAGGTGTGGCTCCTCCTTCTTTCGTGGCTATAAAAGCAGGGACCACATTGTACCAACTAACCACAGCAGGCGAGGCTGTGTCTTGGAATTCGGTAATCGTTCTCATGGTCCTGGCTTTGCTCTCTATCCTGCCTGCCATCTTCCAGAACAAACTAAAGAAGAAGTTTGAATGAATCCACGGCTTTCCGGAATATCTTTCTAGGACATTGTGCACAACTTCACACCCTCTGATGTCTGACATCTCGACAACAATGCAACTTTTATACTAAAGACTAGCTTCTTCAGACTAATATCAGATTAAAATATATTTTATTTTCAACAGTGTTCTATAGTTTTACCAGCCAAACGATTTACTTTTTGTTTTTTTACGTACAGTTTTAGCGTCCTGGAAACTGTGAACAGCATGTGGGTTGTATACTCAAACATGACCGTTCGGTAAAAACTGTCAATGCACACTTGAGAAGCTTCTCGGTCAATCTATATATAAAGTGTAACTTCTTTGTGTAAATTGTGCCTCACTTCAGAGACTGATGGCAAATCCAGGGCCAAGCGAGCCTTGGTTATTTCTGAATTCTTGGCTGCTAGTGATATTTATATCTATAGTGTGTGACAATAGGAACTAAAGTGGAATATTTAATCCATGAATCAGTAATGCACTGAATCTGTGCCTCTGTGTATAGCACTATATACATTACAGCACTGTACATAATACAGGAAAACTGAACTTTGTAAAAACCTGTGTAATAAGTCATGAAATATTGAATGCTTTATAGTGATTCTAAGAATAACATTACAGCAAAATCTGGTTTAATGTACATTGATTCACTGAGGTCTGTCACTAAACAGTGAACTCAATTTTTCAACTGCTTTGCAAGCTCACAACTAACAGTTTACTGAATAAGTCTCAAAGAGAATGGAATTTATGCCAGTAAGTCTAATGACTTTGAGCGCATCCGGTTTAATATTGCATAGCCGAACGAAAACATTAGTGACATGAAATGTAAAGCTATTGAGCTATTCTAGATTTTAACTGGTTATTCCTCACAAGGAGTTTGTCTTAATTCATTTATTGATATAAATCTATTCTGTCGGATCTGTATTTATGCAAAAGTTAATATTTTAATTTATAATTTATTTGTTGTATATGTTAAAAACCTTGATTTAAATTGTTCATACGGTGACCAGTTTATTTACTAATTCTTGACAACAGTGTTCCTGCGCAGAAACGCATTTTGCGCACTTACTAAATTCCTGTCTCTTCACCGTATGACTGCAATATGTTTTGCAGACCTAAACAGTAGTGATGTCGTGAACCGCTGCCTTCAACATGGATGCTGTCCAGGAAGTAGGAGGGTCTGGGAGGGAGGGTCTGCCGGAGATTGGCAGGGATGTGTCAGCTGACCGGAGTTCGCCGCGAACGGTTCGCGACATCACTACTAAACACACGTTAATTTCTTATATGTACATTAATAATTTTTACTGCTTTTTTTAAAAATTAATCCAGAGTTATATTCCACTAACTCCATCTGTTCTAATGTGACTGTAAATTGGGTCCTTCTCTCTTTAAGTAAAATTATAATTTTTTTAATTTACAGTTTTGTTCATTTTATGTTGCTACAAATTATTTACATCTTGCTGTTTTTTTTAGTTTTTTTCCTCCTGCTCTCCTTTTAACATTTCGAAATGAATATTTACATAAAACAATCTCTCTTTACATGTCTCAATTTATCTAATCTTTTCTCTCTAATGTTGGTTTCATATAATTTTGTTTAAAGGACCACTTTAGTCACCCAGACCACTTCAGTTCAATGAAGTGGTCTGGGTGCCAGGTCCCCCCAGGTTTTAACCCTTCAGATGTAAACATAGCAGTTTCAGAGAAACTGCTATGTTTACATTGCATGGTAATCCAGCCTCTAGTGGCTGTCTTCCTGACAGCCGCTGGAGGCGCTTCTGCAACGCTGAATGCGAAAATTGCATTCAGCGTGCAGAACTTCCATAGGAAAGCACTGAGGGAGCCCGGCACTGGATTTAAGTAGCTGAAGGGGGGCCCTGAGGGTGGGGGACCTAAGGGTTCTATAGTGTCAGGAAAACCAGTCTGTTTTCCTGACACTATATAGTGATCCTTTAACTGTGTTGCTATATTGACCACACATAGGCACAGCATTGAAAATGGAACTGACTGTTACACCTAATTGCGCTGGGAGAGAGAACGTAAGGTTAGCAAAGGTTTCCCACAATCCATGTGCACAGTCTAGTGTTTTAGACTCTAACTCCCATGACTCTCAGCCAGGTGAAATGATTACAGTAGCAGCTCACAGCATTTTGAGTGCAGGTATAGCCTAAACTGGAATGATAGCCTTCTAATTGACCCTTAACAATATAGAATGTACACAATGAGAGAAGTATCTGTATGCACTGGAGGGGGCAGTATAGGATGTAGCTATACACATTGAGAGCAGTGTCTCTATGCACCATAGGGGATGTTATAGGATGTATCTATATACAGTGGGAGCAGTTCTGTTTAGGCACAGTAGAGGGCATTATTTTAAGTTTCTGTATTCCCCTGAAGGGTTACTCCAGACTCATAAAACAATTCAGCAGCTAAAGTTCTTTAGGTGTGATGATGTCTATTTAACATTTTTATTTATTTTACAAAAACTGCAGATTTTAATGGAAATTGGCACTTTAACCCCTTAAGGACCAAACCTCTGGAATAAAAGGTAAGCATGACATGTCACACATGTCATGTGTCCTTAAGGGGTTAAACTATAAATGATAACTTTGTTACACCCCCTGTGTTATGGAGCACCTGTACCCAGAGTGGTACCTCCCCCATACCCAAACATTAGTTGAGACTTGATGAAGGGTACAAGAACTGGTTTATTCAGCCAAATGTATAGGGTCTCTATTCAGAAATCCTTAAGCCCACTCAGGCATCTATTTCTGAAAAATAATCGAGATTATAACCGGTAAACTAATTATCTCCTGGATAAAAGTGCAACATCAATACCCAAAACATCCATTATACATGAAGTTATCCCCACATGTCATATGTCACTTTAGATATAAAGTGGCAAAATAGCACTCAGATCCATGAAGAATTGGCCAAACGCCACACAGTCAGAGTTTCGCCCTACCACTATCACAACCTTGGCCGAAGAGGGTAAATCCTTTGCATTTTACCGGGCGAAATATCGCCTCATGAAACAGGAGCCCCCTGGTGCTTCCAGGGGGCGATTAAATCATGGGGATAGTAGCTTCCATCCAAAAAGCACTCTTCTGGGTCGTGGAGAAAGTGAGGATACAAAATGACCGAGAAAACCAGAAGGAAGTGGCCGGGCCAGAGTTCCAGAGCACTTTCAGGTAAATAATAGCGTCTGGACGCTCCGGCTCTCAGGGAATGTCTTAAGGGTTAGGGAACAGGGCATGGAGGTAGAAGCTTAATGGATCATAGTCTTTTAGGAGTGAGTTTATCACACTCTGTAACAAGACAACCGGTCCTGTTACAGCAATTTCCCAGAGCACCTACCTTATAAAGATTTCTCATTGAGCTGCATTGGAAAGTCTGTGATGAAACCACCATTTCGTCTAGGCGAGGTTAGAAAGGGAGAGCTTGCAGAGGCTGCAGAAAAGAGATCTGTAGCTATTGCAAGCTGTTTTTAGATTTATACCCAGAGAAAAACTGTATAATTAAGTGCATGCATGTTTTAATTATTGGTATATATAATAAACAGTGATTTATTTTTTTGTTTACACTATTGTATCTGGACAGTGGAGTGTCCCTTTAAATAGAGTAGAATTCAGGACAGTATCTTTATGATCAAATGAATATACCTACATGTATCAGAAAATAACACATGGGGCACCAGAGCTCACACTTAAAGAATCACTATAGTGCCCTAAGGGTGAACCCACCCTCAGGGTCCCCTCCCGTGGTGCTGAAGGGGTTAAAACCTGTTCAGCAGCTTACCTTATTCCAGCGCCGGTAACCTCTCCTCCCCCGCTGTCAGCTCCCGAGTGGAGCGGAATGCGCACGCGCGGCAAGTGCCGCGCGCGCTCATTCAAACAGTCCATAGGAAAGCATTTCTCAATGCTTTCCTATGGATGCTCTGCGGGATGGATGCTTAACCCCTAATCAGGTCAGAAACACAAACGTATTAAAAGCTGTTAAAACTCTCCTTATTTCCAGCGCCGCATGGGTCTGCCGATGCTGGCCCCTCACCTGAACCGTCTCATTGGTCACATCATCAATATGTCAAGGAAGTGGGCATAAGGCTGGGCCAAATGTCAGCTTGGCCAATCAGTACCTCCTCATAGAGATACATTGAACCCATTTGTCTTTATGAGGAAAGCTCAGTGTCTCCATGCAGAGCGTGGAAATGCTGAACAGCTGTGCAGCAGTGCCACAGGAAGCATCTGGAGGTGCATCTAGGGGGCAATGTAAACACTGCCTTGTCTATGAAAAGACAATGTTTACAGCAAAATGCCTGAAGGGAATGATTATACTTACCAGAACAACTACATTAGGCTGTAGTTGTTCTGGTGATTACTATGTACCTTTAACCCCTTAAGGACACATGACATGTGTGACATGTCATGATTCCCTTTTATTCCAGAAGTTTGGTCCTTAAGGGGTTAAAGTTTAAGTTACAGAGCAGGAGATAAAAACTCCTTATTAAAAATGGAACCTTTCTGTTTTTTCCCAAGCAGGCTGCGTGATTGACAGCCAGGGGAGGTGTGTGTAGGGCCGCCTAAACAGAAACAAAAGTGAGTTCACTCCTAAATGGCAGTGAATTGAGCAGTGACACTTCAGAGCCATGATATATACACTAAAACTACCTCACTAAGCTAAAGTTATTTTGGTGGCTATAGTGTTCCTTTAAGTAGAAGTATAGATTATTATTATATTACTATTTATATAGCGCCAACAAATTCCGCAGCGTTTTACAATGGGTGGACGAACAGACATGTAGTTGTAACCAGACAAGTTGGGCACACAGGAACAGAGGGGTCGAGGGGCCTGCTCAATGAGCTTACATGCTAGAGGGAGTAGGGTAAAATGACACAAAAAGGTAAGGATAGTATTAGACTAATGACAGGTACAAGAGAGGAATCAGTCGGGAGCTATTAACAGTTTAATTGATACGCTTTTATGAAGAAGTGGATTTTTAATTATTTTTTTTATTTTTTTTGAAGGAGTGAAGGCTGGGTGAGCATCTAACGGAGGAGGGAAGTGAGTTCCACAGGAACGGTGCAGCCCTTGAGAAGTCTTGAAGGCGAGCATCAGAGGTGGGAGTACGGACAGAAGATAGACGTAAGTCTTCAGCAGATCGTAAGGGCCTAGACGGGACATACTTGTGTATTAGGGAGGATAGATAGGTGGGAGCAGCATTATGTAGAGATTTGAAAGCAAGAACCAGAATTTTAAATTGAGCCCTATAGCTTACAGGAATCCAATGTAGGGACTGACAGAAGGGTGAGGCGTGGGTGGTGTGGGCAGACAGGAAGATGAGCCTCGCCGCAGCATTCATCATGGACTGTAACGGCGCAAGTTGGGAGCACGTAAGACTACTGAGAAGCGGATTACAGTACAGGCATACCCCGCTTTACATACACTCACAAGTAAGGACATACCTGCAAGCGTACATAAAGGTGCCTCGCGAGTACAGACATTCCCGCGCCTCTTCTGTCAGAGAGGGAACAGGAAATGGAAGGTTCTATTCTCGGCCAGAGCAGCTCAGTTCAGTGTCATTGGGGCAAAAACTTTTCACACCTTCTGACATGGCACAGGTTGATCATCTTATTCTATTTTTGTTTTATAGGTTGGGTTAGGATCTGTAAACCTCAAACATATTAGGACAAATTTATAATGCCTACTCCAAGCTGAAAATATATATTTGTGTCTGCCCATACATTGTCCATATTCTGCAATGGCGCCATCCAGTGAAAGGGTTTACCCTGCCATTTTCTATAACTATGACTTAGCAGCTTAGCTGCATTAGCCACAATTCTGAAGATTCAAAGTTAAACCATAAATGCTTAAAGTGATGGAGAGGTGTTTCTAAACAAAGTGTGCGAATAAGCTGCTAACAAATACAGATTGGCACTGTATTGACAGAAAATGGCCCAGTTGGCAGGTTTATTTTACTTTTCCTCCTAGTTTAAGGTTGTCAGATGAGTAAAACATTAAAGATAAATGGTACAATATGGAATGAGATTTTTCTCTTTACTGTTTGTTTTAACTGAATAAAAGCCCACTGGAAATCACTAAATAAATCACTAGAGATAAAATCACCGGAAAATTTGCAGTTGCAGTATCAGTTATGCCTGTAATTGATTATTGCAATGCAGTACATGCATTGGGAAGTGAAAAAAGGTATTGCTTCACTTTAAGTACATTTTTGTTTTACATACATGCTCTGGTCCCATTGTGTATTTAAAAGTGGGGTATGCCTGTAGTCAAGGCGAGAAAGGACAGTGGAATGGGCCAACACCTTAGTCGCATCTGGCGTTAAGTAGGGGCGGATGCGCGCAATGTTTTTGAGATGGAAATGACAGGATTTGGCGATAGATTGAACATGAGGCTTGAAGGAGAGGTCGGAGTCAAAGAGAACACCTAGGCAGCGAGCCTGCGTGGTGGAGCTGATGGTAGCACCGTTGACTTGGAGGGAGACAGACACAGGAGTAACAACACTTAAGAAAGGAAAGACCAGAATTTCAGTTTTGGTCAAGTTTAGTTTAAGGAAGTGGGCTGCCATCCAGGTAGAAATAGCAAAGAGGCAGTCAGAGACACTTGTCAAGAGGGACGGGGAGAGAGCAGGAGAGGACAGATAGATTTGCGTGTCATCCGCATAGAAATGATATTGGAAGCCAAAGGAGCTAATGAGTTTACCAAGGGAGGCAGTATAGATGGAGAACAGTAGGGGACCAAGGACTGAACCTCGGGGGACACCAACAGAGAGGAGTTGGGGAGAAGAAGCAGAGCCAGAGAAAGAAACACTGAAAGAGCGCTGGGAGAGGTAGGAGGAGCACCAGGAAAGAGCAATATCTTGTAGACCGATATTGTGGAAGATAAGAAGAAGCTGTTGATGATCAACAGTGTCAAAAGCCGCAGACAGGTCAAGGAGAATTAGGATAGAGTAGTGACCACGAGATTTTGCAGCGAGTAGATCATTGGATATCTTGGTCAGTGCCGTTTCCACAGAGTGCTTAGCGCGGAAACCAGACTGAAGCGGGTCTAGCAGAGAGTTGGACTCGAGGAAGTCTGTCAATCTCGCATACACAATTCTTTTAAGGATCTTGGATGCAAAAGGAAGTAGCGTGTTAGGATGGTAGTTGGATGGCTTGAGGCCTCAGGCCTTCATCGGGTTACTGTAGGTGCCGACTAGAGTCTTGGGAGGTGTCCCCTCGTACTCCAGAAACTGGGGATTGGTTTGGTCGTTGTTGCGGGTGGCTGGGAGTGTTTAGCCTTTAGATTGCGCCGTTTTTCCGGCCCCAAAGCGGGAGTTCAGACGAAGCACGTCTGATCCCTTCGGCGGTCCGGCCCCATCCCCCCGGAAATACAATTTTTTTTAAAAAAATCTTATTTTCTCACATTTTTTTAACATTTTATTCATAATAAATTATGTTCCATATATGAATAGTTAATGATAAATTAAAGCCCTGTTTCTCCTGAACAAAATTATATATAATAAGTGTTGGTACACTTAATGTGACAGCGGTGAATTATGGTTGAACAGACATATAGCGTAAATTCAAGTTTTTGTTTACGTTTTGTTTTGATCAGAACGTGCACTATTGACTCCGTCCTGAAGGGGTTAAAATAGGCATTGAAAGCAATGTTTCAGTGTTTGCAGATGACATAAAACTCTGTCAAATAATACAATGTGAGCAGGATATTGCTTTGCTGCAGAGGGAATTAGATTGGGGTTACTGGGCACTCAAATGGCATATGGAATGTAATGTACATAAATGCAGTTATGCATTTTGGGTTAAAGAACGCATAAGCAATTTACGCCCTAAACAATAGTGTATTAGGGCTAACAATATACAAGAAGGATTTGGGAATTGTCGTAGGCAACATTATGCAATGTCAATCAGCAGTTGCTAAGGCTGATAAAGTATTGTCATTTATAGGGTCATTAATTCTCACAATGAAAATATAATTTTCATAACACACACACACACCTTGAATATTATGTGCAATTGTGGGTACCTTTTCTAAAGAAGGATATTATGGCACTAGAAAAAGTGCAGATGCGAGTTACAAAATTAATTAAAGGAGATTAAAGGACCACTATAGTGCCGGGCTGGATGGCAAGGAAAGGGGTTAAACTTACCTTTTTTCCAGCGCTGGGCGGGGAGCTCTCCTCCTCCTATCCGATCCTCCTCTTTGGCTGAATGCGCATGCGCGGCAGGAGCTGTGCGTGCATTCAGCCGGTCTCATAGGAAAGCATTTACAATGCTTTCCTATGGACGCTGGCGTCTTCTCACTGTGATTTTCACAGTGAGAGGCACGCAAACGCCTCTAGCGGCTGTCAATGAGACAGCCACTAGAGGCTTTAGAGGCTGGATTAACCTATTTATAAACATAGCAGTTTCTCTGAAACTATGTTTATAAAAAAAAAAAAAGGGGTTAATCCTAGAGGGACCTGGCACCCAGACCACTTCATTAAGCTGAAGTGGTCTGGGTGCCTAGAGTGGTCCTTTAAGTCTAGATATGTAAACAGCAAGTGGATGAATACTTGCAAAAACATAATATTCAGGGATATCATTTTTAATTTGTTGGGTCATAGCTTCTTGATCCAAGGAGATCGCTGATTTACATTGTGGGGTCAAGAATGATTCTTTTCCCTAGTTTTTTGCAAAATTGGAACTACTTCAAACTGTTTTTTTTTCTTCTTTTGGATCAACAGAACAAACCGATGTGAGAAAGGCTGAACTTCATGGACACGCGTCTCTTTCCAGCCTATGTAACTAAGTAAGGAAATCACAATCCTGCATTAGGTTTGGGTGCAGAGACACAGTATGTGGGTTCAGTCCTGATGGATACAATCTATGGAATGTTTAGAATGGATACAATATATGGAATGTTTACAAACACTGTCACACATTGTATCATTATCCAGGCTGCCCCCCCAATTGATGGCTGAAACCCCAATCCTCTCCTCAGTGTTTAGATTGAAATAACACCAGAACGGTGTCTGGTTCCATGCCGGCTGCCCTGCCTGATCGGAATTGGAGTAATTACTGGAGTCTGAGTTAATTATAGGCGTCATAGTGACTAATGGGCTTCCACTGCCGGGATTATGAGAGTTGTAGTCATCAATGCTGTCCTGATGGGTGCTGGGAGTTGCAGTCACTGGTTGGGTAATCCCACTAGCTAGATGATGGGAGTGGCAGTCATTTATGGTGTCCCACTGTCCGATTGATGGGAGTTGCAGTTGTCGATCTGGTGGCATTGGGTGGATAATGGGAGTTGCAGTTGTCGATCTGGTGGCATTGGGTGGATGATGGGAGTTGCAGTTGTCGATCTGGTGGCATTGGGTGGATGATGGGAGTTGCAGTTGTCGACCTGGTCGCATTGGGTGGATGATGGGAGTTGCAGTTATCGACCTGGTCGCAGTGGGTGGATGATGGGAGTTGCAGTTGTCGGTCTGGTGGCATTGGGTGGATAATGGGAGTTGCAGTTGTCGATCTGGTGGCATTGGGTGGATGATGGGAGTTGCAGTTGTCGATCTGGTCGCATTGGGTGGATGATGGGAGTTGCAGTCATGGTTGACCCATGTTTGTGCATTACGTCATTGTCCCCGCATTCTGAGCCTGCGCATCTCTAGCCCCGCCCCCTGACAGGAAGCCCCGCCCAGCCTTCGGATAGCGGTCGCACAGCTGGTCCATCCCGTGATGCATTGCGGTTCCGGGGATCCTGGGCCCCCTCACTGACCGGGGAGACATGAGCGGCAGCGGGGGGCCGGGAGCCGGGCCGGGGAGATTCGCCGATTACTTCGTCATTTGTGGATTGGACACCGAGACCGGGCTGGAACCGGACCAGCTCTCCGGTAAGAACCGGGACCGGGGGGAGAAGGGGGGGGTCCAACATATCCAGAACCAGAACCGGGGAGGGAACAGAACCAGCTCTCCGGTAAGGACAGAGGGAGAGAACCAGAACCGCAATATGGGGGGGAGAGGCTGAGAGATGGGGAGTATGCAATATGGGGGGGAGGCAGAGAGATGGGGAGTATGCAATATTGGGGGGGGAGGCTGAGAGATGGGGAGTATGCAATATTGGGGGGGGAGGCTGAGAGATGGGGAGTATGCAATATTGGGGGGGGAGAGGCTGAGAGATGGGGAGTATGCAATATTGGGGGGGAGGCAGAGAGATGGGGAGTATGCAATATTGGGGGGGAGGCAGAGAGATGGGGAGTATGCAATATTGGGGGGGGGAGGCTGAGAGATGGGGAGTATGCAATATTGGGGGGGAGGCTGAGAGATGGGGAGTATGCAATATTGGGGGGGGAGGCTGAGAGATGAGGAGTTTGTAATAGTGGGAGGCAGAACTGGGAGAAGGGGAGTCTGTAATATGTGGGGATTCCAAGAGATTTGACAGAATTCAGATTGTTTGGGCCAACACTGGATCTTCATCTTGCATGCTGTGACTGTGACCCTGATAGAGTTGGGGTACAGCACAGATCCATTGGTTCTGGGTTTAGTTTATATCTCTGAATTAACTCCACAGTGAATGAGGCCTTTTCTATGACATCAGTGGTGGGATGTCTTTAGGTCTCAGTAATTTTAGGGAGCGTGTGATTACAATCCAGCAATCAGGCACCTTGTGAGTGACTGAATGGTCTTCGTTACATTTCAAAATAGTCCTGTGATGAATACAATTTATTGTAATGATCATTTTTTATGACACTTGAATTCTAAAACGGGTGAAACCTCTGGTTCTACATCCTATAGCCTGAAGGAGGTAATTCTGCTCTCCAGTTTATCTCCGGTTAGATACGGATAATGCTGGATGGGAGATGTATCTATTGTGTACGATGACTCACTTGTTCAGAACTCTCGCTACTTGTCCTGAAGACCCCTGAGTTAGACATTTGGGGTGGGATTCCATTTTGCTAATGGAATATATTGATTCCCGCCTCTAGGCATTGTGGTCAAAAACCCACCCTCTTTTATTACATTTTAGTTGTTTTGAAGCTGTCCCTTATTTGGGGTGTTTTGAAGAGTTTATAAACAAACAGTCCTCTAGTCAGTAATACGAGCTCTGGCAATACACGATTCAGTAGAAAATATAAATAACAAAGAGTTCTCGGCTTTTAAAGAAGTGGCAACATTCTCATGTTTACCAATCAAGTGATAGATTCCTGCATTTACCTGACTTGATACATTGGGGTGCAAATTGCTGAAAGTGAGACAGAACATTCTATTGGTTTCCATGGTAACTGCTCCACATTTCGCAACGTGCCCCAGAATTGATCTTCTTACTAAACTGTATTTCAAATTCAAGACCAAAACTAGCCAAACTGGAAGCATAGATGACTTGGTCCACTTGGTCATTTTAGCTTTAAATGTAAAACTAATTAAGGTTTATTCACTAGACAGTGAATTGCAGGGATTTTAAAACCTATTTAGGCCACGATAGCTGTTTGGGGAACATTCTCTGCTGTTCCTACAATTTGACAGTATTACTTTTTCAGTTCCCTGCTATTCTCTGTTTGGTGAATAAGCCCCTTTTTGTTTAAGTTGCCGCTGTTTTCTAATTTAGCAGTTCCTTACTGCTAATTCAGATTTAACTGTCTGTACCTCGCCCTGTATCCCTGTCCTTGCTGAGATTTTTGTAAAATCCTCTCTCTAGAGCAGGATTCCCTTTTACTGCGCACAGTGTTTTGCTAGATCCAGGTAATTATTTCTGCAGACACATATCTGTTACCGTTTTACCTGCTGCATCTAGCCCGAGACGGATTGTGTCTGGTTCCCGAATGCATCCAATCGCTGTAGGGAGAGTTGCATCGTAGAGTAAATACAGGTCATATAGGATGGTATTTATTTTAAAACATATAGGATATCTGCCTAAATTCTGTCTGTCATATGTGTTATTTGCCTGTCGAATATAAAGTAAGAGCCATTAAATCTGCCTCCTGGCTGCCGGTGGGATGCTAAATCTGTGTGGGCTATTGCAGACACTGAGCTCGACTCTTAGGAAGGGGGAGTTTGTTACCACACGGTTAATTGTCAGTAATTCACTCAGGAATTGTACATTTTATTCCAAAATTACCAAATTGTAAAAAGCCTGCTATTTTGGCTCAGAATTGGGCAGTTTGGCGAATGATTTGTGAGTGTTTCAGTCATGTAGGGACATAGTTTAATTTCTCTGGGATTATGTCATCGTTATTATTAGTCATTGCTGCCAGAGAGATGGGGCTGAGACCCCTGCTTTTTTGATAGCGAGGACAATTTGCATTAATTACACTAATGAGGGCTTGGCTGATGGGATGAAAGAGATCTGTTTGGCATGAGGATGAACGTTTTACATGTTTAACCCATACCCTGCCATCTAGTCTCTGTGCAGCCCGCTGACCGAAAGTTAATGTCCTTCGGGATGAGTCAAGAACGAAAAAATAAATAAATAAAAAGGCCGAACACTTCACATCCCTGAGTGGAGACCTTAACTGTCAGTTCCTGGTTGAGAGATTGAAAGCTGCGTGTACAAGACTGTGAGATCTAAACAGATTGTAAACTGTCTGTAGGAGACTGTGAGATCCAAACAGATTGTAAGCTCTGTAGCTCAGACTTCTTGATCTTAAATGAATTGTAAGCTCTGTAGGTCATAGGTTGCAAGTTTTTTTTAGCATAAACGCTTAGTGTTAATTATGTGTGGATCAGATTGGCCTATTGAAGCAGGTTGTAAGCTCCGTGGATCTGATTGCTTGATCAAAGTGGATTGCTAGCTCTATTGATCAGATTGGCTAATGCAGATTGCAAGCTCTGTGGATCTAATTGCTAGATCAAATGGATTGCAAGCTCTGTAGACCAGATTGTAGACCAGATTGATTGAGTTGGATTACAAACTGTGAATCATATTGGCTGATTGGAAGTGGATTGCTAGCTCTGTGGATCAGATTGATTCGAAGCGGATTGCTAGCTCCGGGGGTCAGATTGATTGAAGCAGATTGGCTGATTGAAACGGAATGCAAGATTAAAACGGATTGCAAGCTCTGTGGATTGCTTGATTTAAGCACACTTTGTCTACTAAAGTGAATAAAAACAATCTTTATTGTCGATGAGGTATAAATAATTCTCTGTTTCAGGATTCCTCTAATTCTTATAAATAACCAAAGTGTATTAAGTTACAAAACTTGGTGATTTTTATTAAAAGTACTTTCAATCCGTGTTTATTACAGGCTCGAGGGGTGTGTGTGGCGTTCTGCTGCTTCTGTCTGTATGTATTGACAGACGGAAGGAGAGGCCCGGCGCGAATCCTTATGTCTTACAGATTCTCTGTGCAGTTGTCTTGTGGCCACAGTTGCTAAGTGAGTGGCAATCGCATTTGTCTATTTTTGGTTAGAAAGAAATCCTGTGAGTGATGATCTTTCAACATCTGGGGCCCTTCTTGGCCCATTGGGGACGCTCACAGTTCGCAGCTATTTCGTCGTATGATGATTCCATGGATGATGTGTCGGTCACGGTCATGTTTGTAAAGCTGTTTATTGGATACTGCAAATAATATACCAACATTGAGAGTAGGGATTTGCAGGTAAATAACTTGGTAGTAGTTACATTATTTTGTTACAGGTACAAATAACTGAGTTTTGAGAGATTCATCATGGCTAATTATACAAACAAGTAAAAATAGTGGAATTTTACTGGTGTGAGATATCGAGATAAAATTGAACATTCTCTACATCCTGTAGTTGATGGTCGTCATAAATGATGGGTCTACTGCACATACAGCGAGGGCCAAAGTGGACCTCCGTTAAAACAACTGTTCGGCGAGCGAATAATTCCAGAAATTTCCAGGTTAATGGGCCGCTACGTTCGCCCAACCTTTCAGTTCCCGGTGACTTCCTGTGGGGATATCTCGAGCGTATGTACGTGAACAAACCGCATACAACTTGAGCAGCTCAAGGAGACTATCTGTGCAGAAACCTGAGTGCTAAATCATTAACTAATGTTATGAACAATACAATCGAAAGATCTGACATTGTGAGGCGCCAAATGGAGCTCATTTAAAAGATGTCAACTTCTGTACCTAGTCAAACAAATCTCGTACGTACAGCATTTATTTTATGGAATATCATTGGAATTAGTTTATTGATAAATACGTTCTTGACTCCTCAAAGCCTACTCTGAACTTTGGTCCACCTTTTACCTCCTAAGTGTCCCCATTTAGGAGGCACAGTCCCTATTATGGTCTGAAATCCTCATTTTCTCTACTAATGTCCCTCTTTTCTAGCACCATATTGTTGGTGTGTCTGAGTGTAGAACAGAACTCCACAGCAATAATGCTCCCAGTGATGTGTAACACATTATTTGGTTTATTGTAATGGTTGTGGTCTTTGAGTGTATGGGTGCACTTCCTCCTGGGTTTTTTTTTTTCAGTGTTAAAGGGACACTATAGTCACCTGAACAACTTTAGCTTAATGAAGCAGTTTTGGTGTAAAGAACATGCCCCTGCAGCCTCATTGCTCAATCCTCTGCCATTTAGGAGTTAAATCCCTTTGTTTATGAACCCTAGTCACACCTCCCTGCATGTGACTTGCACAGCCTTCCATAAACACTTCCTGTAAAGAGAGCCCTATTTAGGCTTTCTTTATTGCAAGTTCTGTTTAATTAAGATTTTCTTATCCCCTGCTATGTTAATAGCTTGCTAGACCCTGCAAGAGCCTCCTGTATGTGATTAAAGTTCAATTTAGAGATTGAGATACAATTATTTAAGGTAAATTACATCTGTTTGAAAGTGAAACCAGTTTTTTTTTTCATGCAGGCTCTGTCAATCATAGCCAGGGGAGGTGTGGCTAGGGCTGCATAAACAGAAACAAAGTGATTTAATTCCTAAATGACAGTGAATTGAGCAGTGAAATTGCAGGGAATGATCTATACACTAAAACTGCTTTATTTAGCTAAAGTAATTTAGGTGACTATAGTGTTCCTTTAAGGCAGTCAAGGAGAAAGAAAAGGGATTTCCTCAGCAGTTAAAATCTTTTCTGTGGATAGAATGAGGACTTTCACTGTCTTTTTCTATACAAAACAAAGCCGAGAGGCTGGACTGCGGGTGCAGGGAGAAACCCCTCAAAACGGAACCCTGAAACTCCTCTCACCATAACCACTAAAACAAGCCATGTTTTGTAGAGGTTATGGTGCTGGGAGTAAATGTGCTGAAATATCTGGCAGGCGAATATCTAAACCAAGAGCAAATACCATTGAAACCAATGGAATTTTCCTCCCTAATGCCCTATTTTAATACACTAACCCAGATCAACTCTTCATACTCCATATTCGGGCATACGCAACCTTTGGCACTCCAGATGTTTTGAACTACACCTCCCATAATGCTTTGCCAACATTATGGATGTAAGAGCATTATGGGGGATGTAGTCGACAACATCTGGAGTGCCGAAGGTTGCCTATGCCTGCACTATGTAATATTGTGTAAAGAGACCCTAACATGATCAGCCACAACATTATAACCACTGACAGGTGAGGTGAATAACATTGATTATATCAGTACAATGGCACCTGTCAAGTGAACAGTCCATTCTTGAATTTCTTGTGTTTGAAGCAGGAAAAATGGGCAAGAGACAAGATCTGAGTGCCTTTGACAAGGGCATCTCCAAAACCAGCACGTCTTGTGGGGAGTTCCTGGTATGCAGTAGTTGGCACCTACCAAACGTGTTGCAAGGACAGGCAATCTGGTGAACCAGTTTCAGGGTCATGGGCGCCCAAGGCTCATTGATGCACATGAGGAGCGAAGGCTAGCCCGTCTGTTCCGATCATAACATAATGATTGCCAAGTTATAAAGGTGCAGAACACACAGGGCATCACAGTTTGCTGGGTATGGGGCTTCTTATCCGCAAACCCGTCAGTGTGCCCACGATGTCCCCTGTCCATCGCTGAAAGTGCCTTCAATGGGAACGTGACATCAGAACTGGAATACAGAGAATGTAAGAAGGTTACCTGGTCTGATGAATCACATTTATTTAAGATCAGGTGGATGTTGAGTGTGTGTTGTTTACCTGGGGAAGAGATGGCAGCAGGATGCACTATGTGAGGAAGGCAGGTCGGCGGTGGCCGTGTTATGCTGTGAGCAACATTCTGCTGGGAAACCTTGGTTCCTGGCATTCAGTTGGAAGTTACTTTGACACATACCACCTACCTAGAGATTGTTGCAGTTCCCTGGTGGCTGTGGCCCCTTTCAGCACGATAACACACTCTGCCACATTGCAAAAATTGTTCAGGAATGGTTTGAGGAACATGACAAGGAGTTCAAGGTGCTGCCTTGGCTTCCAAATTCCCCAGATCTCAATCCGATTTGAGCATCTGTGAGATGTGCTGGAACAACAAATCCGATCCATGGAGGACCACCGTTGCAACTTGCAGGACTTAAAGGATCTCCTGCTAATGTAAATATCTTGGTGCCAGATACTACAGGTTACGTTCAGAAGTGTTGTGGAGTCCATGCCTCGACACATCAGAGCTGCTTTGGCAGCCCGAGATGGACCTACACAATATAAGGCAGGTGGTTTTAATGTTGTGGCTGATTAGTGTATTTAATATTTTATAAAGAGTACATTATATATAATATAGTATAGAGAATGCACTATAGAATATTGTATAAAGAGTGTTATATTTTAGGTGTAAGCATGCCGTGATGGCATTTAAATCCACCTTCTTTAGTTGCTACTTAGAAAATGGCCTAATTACTAACGGCGAACATTGTGAGAGAATGAGACGGTGCGTTTTGTATAATTGAAACATTTGTGATAAGCAAGAAGATTTGAGTTAAACGCAATCTGTAGGAAAACTTCCTGTAGTTTTTATTAAAATTCTCTCTGGTGTGAGTTCAGGAATGCAAGCCAGTTACTGTATTTCCTTTGGCTGAGTAATGTGCCCCCAATAAAGGATGCTGCTATTTTAGGACTCACTTTTCATGGTTGAATTGAGGAAATGGTTCGAATGGTCTCTCTGCTGAATCTCTGGGGAGTGGACCACTTTCAGACCAACACAACACAATGAGGTCATAGTTAGTGAGTCTGAGTCCTCTCCAGAGAAACAGTTGGTATTGTTGGGAGTAAAGCATTTTGGGTGATCAGCTGGCTGTTGGTATCCAGCTGGTGCATATAATTATATTTCACAGAGTTCAGTGAATTGAAAACTTAATTGCAAAATTTAGCCTAAAATATCCAAACCCCATCAGTATAGCTAAATTTGGGGTCCCCCATTTTCCCAGATTTCTACCAACTGGGCCACAAGAGGCTTGTTCCTTTTGAAATCGGTAGGGATTATTTGGTTTCAGACTTGTGTACACAGGTTAATTATGTGCTTTGAAACGATTGCACTGCCAGATGGAATCATGGGAACATTAATTAGAATGACATGCCCCGTGAGTGCCACTTGAGGCAGCTACGATACAAAGAAGGTTTATGTTAAATACAAACAAAACAAAAAATTAACACCAGTAATAATGCTTACGGGCCAGATTTAAAAATATTAATATCTCAAATTTTAAATGATTTAACATATCCGGTGAATTATAGATTTGTTTTTAGAGGTGTGGATTTATTTATTTACGCTACGTACATTTTGTAAGTACTGGTAATTTGTGTTAATTGATTAAACATTATGTAAAGTGGCTGGCTAATTTATTGGAGAGAATGCTATGCATAGGCTATGAACTAATTAGTATTAGTATTAGTATACCCCTATGGATTTATTACTTCCTTTCTGGCTCATTTTCTGTATGACTGATCTGACCCGTTCTGGGTTACTGCTGTACCTGCTAAGCTCCTCTGACTGCTCACAATGTGCTCAGCTGGTTTTGCTGTCACTGTTCTGTCTGGCTGTGTCCAAACCACCGAGGCTGCAATTTGTATCTGCCGACAGAATGCCAATGGGACAATTATGTCTCCTGATCGTCAGGAGTGTAAACGCTTTACAGCTACGGATATATTGACATGAAATGCTGCAGTTTCTCTATAGAACATCTTATGAGGCCTGCAAAGGTTGAATCTGTACCCTGCAGCTAATAACTCCCATTACCCTCAGCCATCTACACCAATAAATGCTTTAAGTTAACAGTTAAAACATTTTTGTTCCTTTATCGTTCACATCTTAACATCTGTTGTTGTTAATCTGACATGGCTATTGTACCCCCAACCAGAGATCTAAAGCATTTACTGCAATATTTTCCAACTTCCTTATCACTCTGATTGCCACGGTTAATTTTTCAGGTGTCCCTTGCCCACTCTCGGTAACTTTGGCGCAATGTTACTCCATGCAGGCACGTGATGCAGTGTTAGTCACACAGATAATCCTTGAAATTGGTTTTGGTGTTTTGAAGTTTAATGAAAGTATTAATCCAAAATGTATTCAGGAAATATTTGGTGTTATTGTCTCTTGTTCCTAACGTAAGGTTTATATCTCATAAAGGGAATGTTATAGCCTTGTCCGGTTTAACACCTAGCTCTACTGATATGGCCTCTCAAAGGACAACTGTCACCTCAAAAGTATTTAATTAAACAGATCGTCCCTGCTTCACTCCTTGCACCGAAACAGGGAAGTCCAAAAAGACTATCTGACCCAAGGTGTATGTTTATGGCTGAAGGATCCTGTTATATACTAATGGTAGGGTTGCGTTTATCTCGGTTTTTTTTTTCCTTTAGATATTCTTAAATTAACAAAATGTATATTTCCCTTTAAAACTCCATCAAAGGATTTTTATATTAAAACAAGTTTTGACGTGGCATTTATCTGTTAAAACAAACAAACAAATAATTTAATGTATATATTATGTTTTTTATCGGAAAGTCTTGCACTATCTGCAGAAGTTATGTTGGAGAAAAACTAAAAGGGGAAAAAAAAAGACCCCTTTTAATCTACTGTGTTGTTATAGAATGTCACACCCTCTTTACAAAAAATAATTTAGATCTATTTCAGCGACTGTGATCAAGATTTCAGCCTGTCCCAGCTCTCTGTGTAAACTAATCCATTATTTGGTCTCTCATTTTTCACGATTTTGATGGCTTATATTTGGCTGAAATGTTTATATGTTCATGGTTTTAGTATTTTTTTCCCCAGTTCTCCCATTTCCAGGAATGAAGGTGAGGACTCCACTGCCATTTTAATTACTTGCTTTTCCCATTTTAAGGATTACATTTCTGGGCTCCTTCCCCCCCCCCAACCCCTTTACTCAGCAGACAGTGAAAATGTCGTATTGAGACAGGTTTAGAGCTGTTGGTATGTCTATGGCTTTATTTGAGGAGTCAAAAAATTCCAAGTGAAATGTTTGGGTTTACTGAGAATAGTGAATACTGGACCTTTAAATAGGCCCCTTTGTCTTTATTGCCACTGATTAACTAGCGGGAAACTTCCCGAAACCCTTTCTTTAATAGAACTTGAATTTTATTTTATTTTTTTTAATTGAATGGCGCAAAACCAGCAAAAAGATAGAAAACAGGATACTTATTAAAATATATTGTAACTTCATTCGATCTATTTTTAAATTTTTTTTTTTAAAGTGGTTCTGTCACGGTTTGGGTGCTTTGGGACTTTGCATAATTTACAAAGACCCCTCACACGGTGACATTGATGCTGGTTGCAAAGTGGGGCAGGGAAAAATGAGATTTACTTACCTGAACTTTGAATTCTCACCTTAGTGAATAACCTTTACTCATAGGCAAATGATAGAGAGTCAATTAAAAGGAAATTTTATTCAGACATATCATCCAAAATGAATTCTAGCAGGGAATAGGAGTCTTAGTTACTCGTTTAATTGAACTCATTAATTCTCCTTTTAAGATTCTCAGGCTTTTTGTACCAAACGTAAGAATTCACTTTGAATTCTCCCTTCATTAAAAACCGGTGTCAATAACCTAGAAATACACCCCAACATTGCACTTATAACAGCATCTCGTTGTCATTAAAAACACAATGTGGGGTTACTGAACATGTGTTGGGGACACTCCCATGCAGCCAGTCATGCGCATGTTCAGCAATTTCTCCTATAGAATATCGCTGTGAGATATAAAATCAGACTGAGTGGCACAGAGAGGCACATCGATCTATAAGGTCTATAAAAGGCCTTTCTGGTGCACAAACCTGCCAGGTTAGTAGCCACCCAGGGCAGCCCATGTGCAGTGATCTGTGGAGCCAGAAATGCCCACCTAATGCAAATAAAAGCCATTAATGATGCACATTTACTGCGGTGGACTTTTCATGGTCTTCGCAGAATGTGTAGATCAAGGCCAGCTGGTTAAGAAGACAAAGTTTGGACACGTTCTGAGTCACCTGGAAGATGCTCCATTTACCTCTTTTCCTATTTCTCCATTTGCTATGTGACGGGTTAGATCTTTGCAGCAGCTGAACAAACCAAGTGCATGTGACGGGATGACTTTACTGAATGAAACCCTAACCAGACTGCCCATTCCTTATATGAAGGCACAGTCTGTACAATCTGCGCATTCCTTAAATAAAGGCACAGCTTGTACAGTCTGTCCATTCCTTCTATAAAGGAACAGCCCGTACAGTCTGCCCATTCCTTCTATAAAGACACAGCCTGTACAGTCTGCCCATTCCTTCTATAAAGACACAGCCCGTATAGTTTGCCCATTCCTCCAGCCATATACCTCCTAACAGTTATATCTTGTTGGAAATTTCAGGTCTGAATTTGTACTCGCCAATGGCGAGGGTGCGAGAGTTCTGGCGCCACTATTTATAGTATTGGTTTGTTTAAACCCCTTGAGGTATTTGTAATTTTGTCTCATGGTATTGGTGTGTTGTAGCTGAATTCCTCTTGTTGTTTTATTTAGCTCTATGTGAGTACATTCAGGCTTCTAAATCCACCGATGGTGTCGGACGTTTCCTTTCCAGCTCTGCAGAAGGTAAACGGATTCCAGAGAATGGACGTACCTGCTCTTCTAACCTCTGCCATTCTGGTCTAAGAAAATTCTAACCGTGTAGCCGCATTGCTTAATCTGGAGTAGATAAAGCGGGGATTAGGTATAAAGAACAATGTGTAGCAACCAGCGGGGACTTTCCACCAGTTTCCACGGTGATAGCTCCACGTTAAAGGATCAGTAACGCCACAAAATAAATGGCTTCACATGTAAAATTAAAGTCAGGGAAAACTGTATGTGACAGTCATTACATGTTGAGTTCACATGTGCACACGATGGAAAGTGCTAACAAAAAAAATCACAAACGGTAAAAACAGACTTAATCTGTCACATACCGTCACTTACCGTATCTCACTCTGATTCTACATTTTATCTTTTTCTTCCTTTTTCTCCCCCCTTCTTTCTCCTCTCCACACGTGTGTGTTTATAATACGCTCATTTAGATGAATTTCATTTGAGGCGTTAGTGTTCCTTTAATCTTTGTACATGAACCCTACTTATGGTAACACTGTTAAAAGCAGGTCTTCCCAGATGGAGCAGTGTCCGTTCAACTTGGAGTCTGCTCACTCTGTGAGTGCCTTGTACAGGGAGCAATAGAAAGATTTTATGGTGTTTTCCTCTTGGTTTTTTTTTTTTTTTTTGAATTTTTTGCAGAAGCAGAACGCTATGATAATAGCATTTTTATTGCAGCAATCTGTGACCTGTGACGTGTAACGTTGCTGTGAGAGAGATAAAAGCTTTGCCGTGTTAGTATGCTATATGCATTTTAAGAGGATATGTTGATCGATTAAAACAGAATTTACCTGATCAGCTAACAGCCACCTAAATATTGCAGTAGGGTGAGTGAAGGGATTTTCCATTTACAAATAAGACATTGTTTTAATTCCCTTTAAGTGCAAGACATCTCCCAAATAGACTGTTGATGTCTAGAAAGAGACAGGCGTGGAATGGCGTTACCATGGTTACGGATCAGCCGATGGAATCGCTAGTCAGTCAGTCTGTTGCGCTAACAGTTTATTTAGGAATGCAACTTAACCCATTAGGTGCAAGGTTACAGCTTTGAGCAGGTTAAGAATTCTTTTATTGATCAATAGAATTTCTCGACCGTAGTCCACATTAGCCAGGATTGCAGTGACATCACCAATCCAATTGGTTTCTAATTACATCTTTATATTGCTCCCCGTTACATATTTGGGCTACACAGGGTCTGCCTCGGTTATCTCAATCTGCTACTTATGGGTTTAATTTATGTAGGCTCTCTGCTGCTTTTGTTAGAAATGCTTTGGTAGGTTTAGGGTCGCTACACTGTCCTTCCAGCTTCTCTCTACGACTCCCAAATGGGATCTTTTCAGTGATTTGCTTGATCAGATACTGCTATCCGTGTGCGCAGGGTTTTACGCTTATTAGCCGCAACATGTCTTAAATGAAACGCACAGGAAAAAACAGCAATTCATCTCTGTGCGGTCTTAATCCTAACTAAAATAAAGTCCAGGTATGCTCGGCTTTCTGCGTCACATTGAAAATATGTTGGCGCTTTATTAAGAATCAATGATAGAGCCCCCACAATATTTACCCTTCTTCAACGAGGGAGATTTGCTAAGCTGGGACGCTGCAGACTGAGTGCCAGTCATTCCATGTCTGAAATGATTAAATCACAAAGATTGCCCGTGTTATTCTCTTCCTGACTGCTAATTCCTTTACTAGCGCATTAGACTTAGACCGTGCAAATCTGAGTTGCTGCTTTTTTTTTTTCAAATGCAATCTAAAAACCAAAAAGAGGTTCTAATTGTGTGAATGTCGATTTCTGTCGAAATAACACAATCTGTTTGTCAGGTGTTCTTTAACTCTCATGCTACACTAACCAGCTTGTTCTCTCCTGTCTGCCTGGTGATCTGCTTGGCCTGTTTGCCGTGACGTCTATAAGGCTGGATAAAAGTTCTCACTATATGTTATCTCTCTCTCTCTCCCCTCCCTCTCTCCCTCTCTCTCTCTCTCTCTCTCTCTCGTTCAAAGGAGAGAATTTTGAGCAGACTCCCCTTAGACGTACTTTCAAATCAAAAGTCCTGGCCAGGTACCCCGAGAATGTGGAATGGAACGCGTTTGACCAGGATGCAGTAGGAATGGTGCGTCCCAAATTTTCTAATCCGTTGCATGCGATGTGCTTCCTTCCAAACCTTAGTTCTATCGGCATTTATTAAACACTATAAACCAGCTGCATTGATTTAATAATCTGTTCCGCCTTACATAGTTTAACACAAGTGTAATTCTGGCTTTTGGAATATATTTCATATGTCGCAGTCATTTCATGAAATGTAACAACTTTCATCTGTGTTTAAAGAAAGCCATTTTTGGGATGTGAGGTGGCATGGCAGGGGGATAAATTCCCTGTGAATAACAAATATGATCACTTTCTCTGTGTACAGTCTGTATTGTAGCCTGCCTGCCTAGTCAAGTCTTGTACCACCTGCTAGTGAATTAATTAGGCAATATTACAAATTCTAGGCCTAATTAACCAACCCCCCCCCCCGGGAAACTGATATGTATTAGCTATTAGAAAGAAAGGAAAAAAAAATGCTTTTGTTTCTAGCATTACGTTTTATAATAAATTTATGCATGCTGTGTATATGGTCTGTTATGGACGCTAGTGTGATACTCCCACTGCCCGCATTACCGCAGATTGCACCAGAAAAGTGTTTTTTAATTTCTTTCTACATTATGAGAGATTCCGTTATTGTTTGATAGTGTACTCAGTCTGATAATCAATCACATATCAATGTATCCAGAAACGTTTATCACGACGGTTTGTTTTAATGAAATGTTTTTGCAGCTATGCATGCCGAAAGGACTGTCCTTCAAGACGCAGTCAGATTGCCGGGATCCCCAGTACCATTCCTTCATTATCACCAGGGAAGATGGGTCAAGGACGTTTGGTTTCGCTCTTACATTCTTTGAGGAAGTCACCAGCAAACAGATCTGCAGTGCCATGCAAACGCTTTATCACATGCACAACGCCGAGTACGACATCATCCACACATCGGCCACCAATGGCAGCGGCCACGCAGACTGTATGGAGGACTGCAGTGACACATCAGTGTCCAAATTGCAACGTTTTAATTCTTACGACATTTCACGAGATACATTGTACGTGTCTAAGTGTATCTGTCTCATTGCACCCATGTCCTTCATGACAGCCTGTAAGAAAGTTCTGGAGCAACTTCACCAGGCTGTAACGTCCCCCCAGCCTCCTCCATTACCGTTGGAGAGCTATATATACAACATCCTCTATGAGGTGCCTCTTCCCCCAGCCGGGAGGTCCCTGAAGTTTTCAGGAGTTTATGCGCCCATCATCTGTCAGCGGCCAAGCACCAACGAGCTGCCACTCTTTGACTTTCCCGTCCAGGAGGTTTTTGAGTTACTCGGTGTGGAAAACGTTGTCCAACTTTTTACGTGCGCCTTGTTGGAGTTTCAGATTCTCTTGTACTCGCAGCGTAAGTAATCCGCAGCAGAATTGCAGGTAATCTTTATCGCCATCCAGGGAGGTTAGTTTTTTGGGATTATGTGGCTATCCGATTAGGACACTGGCCTAAAATAGGATTTAATTTGCGTTAAAGGGATATAAACACCAAAACTAATTTACATGAGCTATATACCAAAACCACTACATCCCAATGGGATTTATTAATTAAACCAGCAATTATGTAGAACTAGGAAAATAAATGAAAATGTTAAGCCAAATTTAGAGTTTGAGAATAATTCCTGTTATTTTACCCTAAAGTTTGCAATTCTCTCATCAATTCTGCAAAATTCCTGCTTTATTGAAACCTCTTGCATATATTTTCTTGTCTGGGTAAATGTCGGTAAATCTAGATTCATACATTTTCCTGGAATTTAAAATCCAGTATAGCCGGTGAGGATGCCTGAGATTTTGTGGGCTGATTAGTGCTTTAATTGGATCATTGCCTTGCTATTTCAGATTACCAGCGGTTAATGACGGTAGCCGAGACCATCACTAGCCTGATGTTTCCGTTCCAGTGGCAGCATGTCTATGTCCCGATACTCCCGGCATCACTGCTCCACTTCCTAGACGCTCCCGTCCCTTATCTCATGGGATTGCACTCAAACGGGCTGGATGACCGGTCTAACTTGGAGCTCCCACAAGAGGTAGGAGCATCTCAGATGTCCATGGACACACGGTTTCTGTAATTAATCTGTTGGAATGTTCAGAATTACCCAGCTGCCCTCTGTTTCATTCTATATCTATAGTAGTTATCTAGATGAATAAACATGATACATGTTTAAGGTGCTAAATGTTATGATCATCCAGTCTCTATGGACCAACACTCCCACCGCAGTCAGCCAGCCAGAGGACAGACCGTATCAGCCTTGCGATTCTTGGTCTCTTCACAGTGTGCTATGTGACTCATACACATCTCGCCCTGTATAATCACTGGATTGTTCACTAGATGTCAATGACGCCTTGTCTTCGCTATAAACAGATCTTTTATGAATGCTACGGATTGCTTTGTGGGGGTGGAGAATTTGCAATGCAGGGAGTGAGATAACTGGCCTAGTTTTTCCTTTCCACTAGAAGATCTTTTTTAAATTTACTAATCCCTGTTTAAACCCCCCACATGTCAGGTATGATATTTTTTCCATTTTTATTTCTATTTTTTGTTCCTTTATAGACTAGGAGATATTAAATATGTTCGTCATGGTTTATGGTCCTTTCTGTAATCCACTAGAACAGTGATGGCTAATCTTGACATCTCAGGTTTTCTATGAGCTACATTTCACACAATGCACGGCCAGCATTTACATACAGATAATGTGGGGTGCCAAAGCTTGTACATACATGTCTTCTGTTACCTGTAAGAGATAATGAGTGAATTGCTGTTAGCGGTAAGTTGGGTCCTGTTAACTCTCGAGATGTGTGTGCATTCGTATTATTCCGCCATCTTGCCTTTTTTGTGTAATTTTTAAAACTCCTTTCCTTCCATACGTGGTGATTGATCACATTGACTCTATCCCGTAAAGTCTGATGGAGAGTTTGCTTTTTCATTCTTGTGCCAGAAAGAGGGGTTTGTCCATTCTTGTTTCTTGCATTTTATTCTATAAAACATAATCTGTTTCCCTCATTTCTCACTGCTTTGTCTTTTAGGCCAATCTTTGTTTTGTCGACATAGACAACCATTTTATAGAGTTACCCGAAGACCTTCCCCAGTTTCCTAACAAGCTGGAGTTTATTCAGGAGGTGTCTGAGGTTCTGATGGAATTTGGAATCCCACCGGAGGGGAACCTGCACTGCAGCGAGAGCGTATCCAAACTGAAGAACCTCAAGACAGCTGACCTTGTGTCTGATAAGAAGAATGGAAACTTAGCCCGTTCCCCGTTAAACTCCTTTGAACTTCTCAAAGAAAACGAGACGTTGGCTCGAATTCAGGCTCTTGTCAAGAGGACCGGAGTTAGCCTTGAAAAGGTGAGTTAATTACTCACAGCCTCCTTAGAGACTGTTGCTTGTCATCTGTTGCTATGGCAAAGCTGCCTTCTTAAAATCCTGATGATTAAGTGGTAGACCCGTAAAGATTCGTATACGACCATTTAAATCCTCTTGGATCCATCATGAATATAAACGTTGTAACCGCGACACATGCTGAAGGCTGAGAGACAGGCAGACACGCATTGTTTGTTAAAGCTGTGATTAGATACTGGAGTCTGTTTACCTTATTATATCATCCTATATTTAACAGTATCTCTTTCTTTAGAAAAAAATTAAGGTATGTTAAGGAATGCTGATTGTACAGTTTATTATTTTGTGCTAAGAAAGCCGTTTCTATGTTTATAAAAGCAGGTTATATGCATGTTCGTAGAATTATCCTGTAAATCTATTCTGCTCTTATAAACTAGGTGTTTATAATTTGTCACTTTTAAACATGACTGCTGTCTTATTGCAGGTGGAAGTGCAGGAGGAGTCCAGCAGCAGGAAGGATGGGAAGGCTCAGTGTGATGAGCATGAGCTGCGGATTAATCAGCTAAACATCCAGGTCCGCGAGGTGTTTGGGAACCGTTTTACACAAATGTTTGCAGACTACGAGGTGTTCGTCATCCAACCGAGTCAGGACAAGGATTCCTGGTTTACAAACCGTGAGCAGATGCAGAACTTCGACAAAGTGAGTGTTTGCTTGTTATTGGCTGCTCGCTGGCGACAGCGTGTTTGTGGCTGCTCGCTGGAGGCTGCGTGCGAGTGGCTGCTCGCTGGAGGCTGCGTGCGAGTGGCTGCTCGCTGGAGGCTGCGTGCGAGTGGCTGCTCGCTGGAGGCTGCGTGCGAGTGGCTGCTCGCTGGAGGCTGCGTGCGAGTGACTGCGTGTTAGCGGCTGCGGATAAATCTGAATGTTTTCAAGAAATGTTTTTGCATTGACCCAGCATACTAAAATAAATTCTGTTATTAATTATAATAAAGTTAAAACTAAAGTTACACAATTTCCTGTTCTACGTGTCACAGAACTTAGGCAATAGGAGATGAAGGGAGACTAGAGCCCTCTTACATGAAGGCTGTGTTCCGATTGGCTGCTTGCTATTTTAACCATTTGGAGTATATTTAAGTTTGTGTACAATTTCTAGATCTCCTGCTCGTGATTGTATATCTTTTGCTTGGGACTGTTCCCAAGGTATTTTTGTTAGTCGTGGGGTTCTGGTGGCTGCTGGTTTTGTGTTTTTTCCTTGTGATTGTCACTCCGTTATTATGTTGTGTTCTCTAGCTTGCAAGTCACAGATCGTAGCACTTTGTGGAACCTCCCATCGTACAGACTGAGCTTACATATCTGCATATCGGAGGTCTGTTTTGACCAGTCCATCTTTGAGACAATGACTTGCAGAGCTTCAGAGCCCTTAGCCGCTGTCCCTTGACTTCCCCATTTTAGCTCATCGTGTGAATGCAATTATTGCCCAATATCGTGTTGCTTGTTTTTCGGTCGGGTTAACCCATTCCCTACCAACCCTGTGCATGATTTAGTTTTTCCATGCAAAGTAAAAGAAAATATCTCTCTCTTTGCTCCACTGCTGATCCTTACGTGGCAGAGAAACAATTTTTCTCCTGTTTGTTGGTGACCAGTTTCAGATTCACCGTCCTGATTCCCCCAGCAAACAAGCCAGTCTTTCTTTATTCGATGTTCCTACAGCTGTCTTTAATTTTAACTATTTAATTGCATCACAAGCAACACCAATGTGTGTACCTTGGTGTTATTTCCCTATTATATCCTTTAGATTGTAAGCTCAAACGTTATCTTGCTAAGCAGTTTGTATAAAAGTACTGTATTTGCTAAATTGTAAGCTCATGGGCAGGGTCTGTTTCTTTTGTATAACTGCATGTTCATTTTTTGTCTTTATCCCCCTATTGTACATAGCTGCAGATTATGGTCGCGCTTTTTAAATACCGTCTCCACTTTGCATATGTTGAAAGAATAGTGCTGCAGGGAGTGGGGAAGGTTTGGTATCTGGGGCACTGCAGGACTTCGGTGCAGGGTGCAATAGCAGCTTGTAGTGTCTATCTAGAACAAGTATCTAATTTTACCTAGATAATTGTATTTAATCTGAAGGTACTTACAAGCACTCAAAGCCTGTATATTGTGCTTACATTTTGGAATCCGTATCCCAAGACATGCCTGCATGTTTCTTATAAAAGCAAAAAAATTTGAGATTGGCGACCAAAAGTCGCATAACAACCCGGTAATCACTCTAGTGGCTGTCTGATAGACAGCCACTAGAGGTGGAGTTAACCCACAAAGGTAATTATTGCAGTTTATAATCATCTTTGCAGGGTTAAGGGACCTGGGACTACACACCAAGACCACTTCAATGAGCTGGTTGTCTATAGTGTCCCTTTAATCATTACCACCCCCATGCTTTGTGTGAACACCCTGCCCAGTTGCTCCATAATTTAATATCCGGGAGAATATTTGAAATGTTAGTTGATTGGAGCGGATAATCCGTAATCCAGTAAATGATGCAGTCTGCACCGTATATTTCTCCCATGTAAAAATACAGACGATAACCCAATGATGTTGGAGTAATCTATAAAGAGTGATGCGCTGAAAAGCCATGTGGCATATGGGGCGATTAAATGGCCTGCATAGAATGCTTAAATATTTTTTTGTTTACGCAGATCCCTATCCTTTTGTGTATAGGTTGTCAGGTGATAAAGTGATTATCATCATTTATATCGCACCAACATATTCCGCAGTGCTTTACAATTATAAAACAGGTGCTCTGGGCAATTGATGCCTCTTGTGTTTCATTTCACTGAGCCAACCAAACCAGGAAGGAACTGGAATGGTTGTCTGATTGACAGTCAGGTGGGTGTAACAAGGTTAATATATAAAAGTGTCAGTTTGTATTGAAATCCACACTTTTGGTAAAATGAAAAAAAGAGGACACACTCTTCACACGTAAAGCTTTTCAGCAAGATAAACTGCTTTAGGTGTTTTTCCTTTGATACTCCACTGGAGTGCTTAGTTACTAGAGAAAAAAATAATTATGTCTGAATTTCCCTACTTTCTTTTATTCACTTTTTTCCCCCTGAGTTTTGATAAGTTATATAAAAAAACGAATCAATTCTAACAAGTGAAGGCCCAACACGAGGTCAGGGTAGGGTGCTAAAATCTTTAGGGATCGACACTTCAAAGTCACAATATTGTAATTGGGTAAAACCTTGTGCACGTAATGTTGGGTCACATGGAGGAAAAAGGTAAAATTACTAAAGAGAAAGCAAAACTGCTCACACAAATCTCATCCAGAGCACCAATCAGACACTGCTCTGTGAGGCAGAAAGAGCACACGCCGGACCACAAGCTGTCTAATAGATAAATGTACAATTCAATCCAGTTCCCTCTCCTTTTTTTTCCCAATATTTAGATCCCTGCAAACATATAACCAAAATGGGGAAAAAAATTAAGATTACCGCAGATAATCCAGAAATTCTATGGTTTGCTGCACAGGAATACCTTTTTATATTGATTGATACTGCAAGTGAGCTAGGGAAATAATAATTCAGACACATTTACAGCCTCTTCTCATTGTTTGTTTTTGATGAAGCAAAGTTTTCTGTCGGCATTTACAATAAAATTTTAATTTATTTAAGGACATTTAGAACCATTCAATGTATCTCTTTTCAGGCATCATTTCTGTCGGATCAGCCTGAGCCGTACCTGCCTTTTCTCTCCCGATTCCTCGAAACGCAAATGTTTGCCTCGTTTATTGACATTAAAATTATGTGCCATGATGAGGATGACAAAGATCCTATTCTACGGGTATTCGATAACCGAGTAGACAAGATTAGACAATTAAACGTCCGGACGCCAACGCTGCGCACGTCGATGTACCAGAAATGCACAACTATTGAAGAAGCAGGTGAGACTCTCTAAGCCTAGCTTCAGGTAAAACACAAACCTCTTAAGGTTCCATATTTAGGGATGGTTTTAGAGGAAATGTAATAAATGTGTTTAATCTCAGCTGGTGATTCCCTTACCCAGAAAGTTACTCACCTTAAGTTGATCATGTTATCGGCACGTTTTTTGGAGGACCGATCTACCTTCATAAAGGGTTGATTGGACACTGGATGAATATGTTGCCCTTTTTTTAAAAAATCACTGGGTCCCACAAGCAGTTGTTATTTTGAGAAGGGGCCGAGAGCTAGCAAGCTCATAAAATGACAAAGGAACGTGGAGCTCCAAAAGGCTCTGACTGGGCTGTAGATCTGGAATTAAAGATCTGTCCTGTTGGGGACCGATATGGTTTCTCTTGTCTGATATAATGCAGATATGAAATGCACTATAATCAATTAAATGCAAGTAGTAAAGATTACTGTGTCTGAGTCATGATTATCTTTTCATTTACTCAATTACTGTATATATTTAAGGATGTCCAACCACAAAGCATGAATTATTCATGTTTTTTTTGTGTGCAACTTATTAGTAGTTAGTAGTTCTTTGTACAGCTAATTTAAAAACAAAACAACAAAAAAAGAAGCCTCCTTTTAACGTCTGTTTTTGTTTCTATGGTACATACGATATGTGGCACGTGACGACCTGTTTAACCCATTGAGATACATTTTCATTTTTTATTTATTTATTTATTTAATTTTATTGGGGGGGGGGGCTAAGGGTCTCTCAGTCCCTTTCAACTATTCTCAATTCTAGGAGATGCAGTGCCATACATTTACAGGAGTGGGAGGTATAGAGACTAGCGCCCCCCCCCCCACCCTTCCCCCAGAGGATTACCCCCAGTGTAAAGCTAATAGAGCCATATCTTTTCTTTCTCTGTTGACCAGTGAAAGCTATAGAACTACGTCTATCCAAAATCGATCACACTGCAATCCACCCGCATCTCTTAGACATGAAGATTGGGCAGGGCAAGTACGAACCAGGATTCTTCCCTAAACTTCAGTCAGACGTTCTCTCTACTGGGCCGGCTACGAACAAGTAAGAAAAATGGCATTGTTTGTAAACTTTAATTTATGATACATCTGCGACACTCCAACAAGATAGCATTTCGTCAGTATTCATTTTCCATGTGTTTGTTTTGTTTTTTGTTTAATAATAGTTTTGTTTTTTTTGTTTTTTTTAACATAATGTCCTCTACGCTGTTTTTAACTTCATGCAATCTATTAAAGGAGTACTGCAGTTTCTTAATGTGCTTTGGGTGTAATGTTTCTATCCCTGTACATTCTTTATCAATGTGTGGATTTCAGGAGAAATCGTCACTTTTACTATACTCCCTTGGGCAATAACTTGCATTACATCTTACTTGTCTTAATCTCTTGTTTTGGGACTCCTTGTCAGCGAGGCCCTCGGAATGTTCCCCACGGATGGGGTTAAGGTACATGGTGTGATCTTTAGTTTCTCCGTTACATTGCCGTGATGGCTCTGAGTGCGCTGTCATCTCTGGTACAAATCTCTACTGTATTCATCTGTGACCAAAATATCACCGGATACATTGTATTGTTTCTGCAGATGGACTAAAAGAAATGCTCCGGCTCAATGGCGACGCAAGGACCGTCAGAAACAGCACACAGAGCACCTCCGGTTGGACAACGACCAGAGGGAGGTAGGGATGTCCCTGTACTGTCAAAAATAATGGGGCAGTATTTATGTAACACACAGACCCCAGAATCCCGACAGGAAGTGAAGACCACAACTTTCATTGGTTGTGTGTAGCTCTCTCTCACAGCAGACTTCACCTCCCTGTTTCCAGTCCCCTTTCTCAGTCACGGTAATACAAGCCACTGATCCTGACATGGTGGAGGAAGGTTTTTATCTCTGCTGGGGCATTTTGTGCAACTCTACCCACTCCAGACATTCTTTGTAGTTCTTTTCTTAACCTATCGTTTCTCCCATTCAGGTCCTAAAAGCTGCAATATGTACTAAGCTCCGTTTTTAGAATTTTCTTCTTTCCTATCATGGTCCCCTTTCCAGTTCTCTAAATCTTCCTATACTGTGCTCCTACCTCAGACAACTAGTGTACTTTGGCTATACACCCCTTACCTCTATCCCTTTGGTGTGTACATTCGTCGTTCACTCAAACCTCTTACGGGTACATGTGTGCGACCTGTTAGAGGCACAGTCTCCAAACTGAGCAAAGAGAATAGTAATCAGGTGCTTCCCAAACCTTCACTGTAGCCAGAGCCTGCTTTCACTCCATACACAGCGCTCGGAGATCCAAGATAGTTAGTCAGCGCTAATTAACAATGGGTAGGCAGCGGCCCCAACAATAGGAATCCCTCAAAAACACTTTGACAAAATCACGACAAAAGAAAAAGAGAGAAAGGGCTGCGCCACAAGTAAATAACGATAAAAGGTACAACTGTATCTGGCACAAAGGCAGATTGGCCTAGTGCAAGAAAAATAAAAGTCTCACAATATAAGTTCTTGATATCTAAAGGTGAAAGTCAGTGCTTGATAGGGTGTACTGTCCTCCGTTCTACTTGGCCATAGATAAAAATAGAAGACAAAAGACAGGGTAGGTGATAGTGCAGCTTGTTTGATTCTGTCAGATACAAGTAAGAAAAAATAGCGATGGAACACTCACATTTAAAGAACTACAGCTAGCTCCAGTAGTAAGGGTGTACAGCGGTATGATCCCCTCTTTAAAGGATATACAACAAGTGTCCACCACGTCCACACCAAGATGATATCGAAGACAGGGGACAGGTGACAGTGCAGTTGTTAAATACAGTCAGATAAAAGTATAAAATAGTGGTGAAACACTCACATTTAAAAGAGATATAGCCAGCTCTAGCGATAAGGGCAAACAGCGGTATAATCCCCACTTTAAAGAATATGCAGCAAGTGTCCACCACGTCCACACACGCAGGAAAGGCAACAGATAGTGCTCTCAATAAAATAAAACGATAAACATGCAAGAAATGTAGATAATGTGGTTTAAGGCAACAGATCTGATTTCATATCAAATGACAACACGATTTATTTATTTATAGAAATATATACAAGAAGCAAGAAATTTGGGGAGTTCAATCCGCCAGCCTAAACTCTCAAACCTGTCCCCCTCTGTGATCGCACAGACGAACTGGAAATTTGTAGAAGGATTGCTGAAGGAATGTCGCAACAAGGTGAGAAGGCATTCTGTCAGAGTCTGTGCTCTCATTCTAGATTTTTGGGGGCTCCATGCTACAAAGTAATAGCCTGCTTTACCGTAAAACACACAGCCTGCCCGTACCTTGATTGTTCATTGACAATAACCTCTCCTTACCTTAAAGGGAAACAATATATCCAGAGATGCATGGTTTTAAATTTATATAATTGCTGAAAAAGTAAATACATTTTGTAATTTTTGTGCAAGTATTTTGTAAGCCCTAAAAACGTACCTTTCAATATTATAAGTGGCCTCTGTGGTTGAAGAATTTGTTTGTACGGTTCCGCTTCCTTTTTTTAAAGTTTTTAAATGTATGCATCAGCTTTTTTTTTATACAGATTATCTATCAGCATTTTGCTGCCTCAGCTCTGAATTCTGCAAGTATTTAGACTCCTAATGAATGGCTATAGATGGTATTTTACATGCTTTCATAACTACATTTGAGATTTGTTATCTAGAAGACAATGCGTATGCTAAAGTCCTGACAAAGATCAATATATCTTCAGGTTTACTTTAAATGCAGCATATCTTCAGTTTTTAATTGCCTGCAAAAACAAGGAGAGGAGCACTTTAAGGGTTTATAGTATCCGATCAGATATTAAACGACCACTATAGTGCCCTGATGGTGCCCCCAACCTCAGGGTCCCCCTCCCGCCAGGCTGCATGGAGAGGAAGGGGTTAAATCTTAACTTTTTCCACCGCCGGGCTCCCTTGGCGCGGGGAACTCTCCTCCTCCTTTCCCAGTCATCGGCTGAATGCGCATGCGCGGCAAGAGCCGCGGGCGCATTCGGCCAGTCTCATAGAAAAGCATTCTCAATGCTTTCCTATGGACGCTGGCGTCTTCTCACTGTGAAAATCACAGTCAGAAGCGCGGAAGCGCCTCTATCGGCTGTCAATGACACAGTCACTAGAGGCTGGATTAACCCATTTGTAAATATAGTAGTTTCTCTGAAACTGCTATGTTTACAGCGGAAAGGGTTAATCCTAGGTGGACCTGGCACCCAGACCACTTCATTAAGTGGTCTGGGTGCCTATAGTGATCCTTTAAATGCAAGATTTGCCACAAAAATCGTAACAAGGCCTAGATCTGTACGATAAGATTTAATAACTTGCATTATTTTTTGTAAATTTAATCTAAGTGACACAACATGTAGGTAGATATAATGAGCCAAACCTCTAAATGCCAGGCAGATTGAGGATATAACGGATTGCAGTCAGAGACTGAGAGCCCTCCACCCCCCCCCTCCCTCCCAATTTTCCAGCACACCTTTTTTGGTAGATGGTATAACAAAATAACCGCAATGCAACTAAAAAGGCCATTCGAAGGAAAGGAAGCCCTACACCACTTTAGTGATTATTGTAGGGAGGTGGATTCCTGTTTTAGGGAGTTTGTTTCTAATAATGTCCACTGTATCTCAGACAAAGAGAATGCTGGTAGAAAAGATGGGCCGGGAAGCTGTAGAATTAGGCCACGGAGAAGTGAGCATCACAGGAGTAGAGGAGAATACTCTGATAGCCAGTCTGTGCGATCTTCTGGAGAGGATCTGGAGCCACGGTCTGTTGGTGAAACAGGTAAAACTTGTCTCTGTGTGGATGAGTGACCGCGTCCCTTTCTGTCTCAAAAATCCATGAACTGTCCCTCTGTCTGCCACAGGGGAAATCCGCTTTGTGGTCCCACTTGCTACACTATCAGGACAACAGGAGAAGAATTGCAGGGGGAAGCATCAGTACCTCAGGTCATTTTACAATTCATCTATACTGAATGATGGTATTTAAATTATTTTCTAGTTTGTTTATCCAGAACGTTTTCTTTTATGTAATATTTTCATTTTGACAGCACAACTCCTAGGCAATGAATTCCCGATCGTTAATGCCCTTCCTGTAAAGAGCCATTTGCTCTGCTGTCATTGATATTTTTTCCCCCCTGCAGTGAAGTAGAATCCTGCTCACACTGTATTACCCAGCTTAACATCGTCTGCTGGCACGGACAGATCATTAATAAACTGATTTAAAGAAAAACTCACCCGGAACAGAGCCCTGGGGGTCACTGCTTACCAATTTGGCCCAGTTTACAAAACTTCCATGAGACTCCTCGCCGTACTCTGAACGTTTCAGTTTAGACCTATCTTTCAATGTGTGCAGTAAGCGTTCTATACAGGATAGTCTGAATGAGTATTGTGTGTGTCACAGACTCCATTGGCCCAAAATGAAAGGTTTATTAAAAGTTCTTCATTCATTTTAGAAATCTTTTTAGAAACTGAAAGACGGAAATCTGACCCAAATCCTGTGATGTGTCCTCTAAAAGTTTCACTGGTGCAGGACATGAGGTGAGTTATATTATAGCATAAGGCCCAGTATTTCCTGATACAGTCACACATGTGTGTTCATATAGATGTAATTACTTGTTTTGTTAGCCATTTTGTATGTGTATCCTAAATTGTATTTAACTTTATTTTTATTTTCAATATTTTTCTATTTAAAAAAAAATAAAAATAAATTATTTCTGGGAGTTCAATGTGAATTTCAAAATTACCAAACAGAACACTAAATTGATAATTTTTCTTATTTTATGGCTATTCTGGCCTACATTTTTAAATTCTATTTGAATTTCCTGCATTACTAACCTAAGTAAATTACTCTGTAAAATTGTGAATTCTTTGCTGCCAGGTTTGTGGAATGTTTAATCAGACTCCTATTTTCTTCATCAATATTTTCACAATCAATTTCCTCACCTCAATGAAGGAGCGTCACGTTCCTGTTGAAATCAAGCTTGGCAAACGCATGTGTTTGTGCGCACGCCTGGGAAAATCATTCACATGAAATGGCTGTGAACACAGACATATGCACGTCACTCTCTGCTGGTCATTGTTATTTCCTAAAACCAGACACCGTTGTTTACTGGGGGTTATAACACACAGAATGAGATCAGACGTGTTTTTATCCTCTTTACTTCAATATTCACAGAGCCACAGAGTTCCTGATTTACTCATTATAGGTCTGATTTGATTTAATTTAATGTTGTTTCCCCTTTCCAGGCACATCCAGAACATCGGAGAGATTAAAACTGATGTAGGAAAAGCCCGGGCCTGGGTCAGACTCTCTATGGAGAAAAAACTTTTCTCCAGACATCTTAAACAGCTTCTCCTTGACTACGAACTTACCAAGTAAGACACGTGGCGCACGGGGTCATTCAGCTTAGGTCTGATGAGTGTTAAATTCCTGTATCGAAACACGTCTGAATATCAGTTTCTCTCTCATTGAAGAATTGTTTTATTCTAGAAAACTCTACAAGCGATATGCCTTCCTACGCTGTGACGATGAAAAAGAACAATTCCTCTACCACTTGCTCTCCTTCAATGCCGTCGATTATTTCTGTTTCACAAATGTCTTCACAACAATCAGTGAGTTTAATTTTCTATATTTGTTCACATAGGAGAGTTTACATTGGTTCCAAAAGCCAAATTATTGTCCTTCGTTTATTGTCCTAGAGAGGTGGAAATGCAACCGCTTCTGTTTCTTGAGAACTCATGAAGATTAGGGGCACAGAGTACTAAAGCTGGTTTTGCTGCATTGAGGGCAGAGAACAACTACAGCCAGCCAGCCACCACCCACCATCCATCACCCATAGGCAGCCTGCACATTAAAGTGTGGTCAGGAAAGCGCGACAGAGCCATTCAGCGATTAGGAAAGACAGTGATCCACGATTTTATGTTGTAATTAATAAATTTTTATAATGCGTGGTGCCTTAAAGATGGTCAATGCTAAAAAAAACAAAAAACATGTAGACGAAAATTGCAAAGGATGCGAATTATTAAGGATTTCATAAACTAAACATTAATTTGTGATAATGAGCTATCCTAGTTAGAAACATTTAGTCCAAAACACTGCTTTTTTTAGCTGTGGGTAAAGAGGCTATCTATATAAAAACACATGTTGTATAGGGTTACTGAGATGTCCTGCACTCACACTGCGATTTTGCACACTGATCTTGAATCCAGAGCTGGAAGTTGCTCACATGAAAGGGTTAAAGCTCAGAGTTTTTAATTATATTGGGTTTGTCTTTGTTAATATTTCACATTTTGCTGTGTTCATGCCTCACATTTAAAGCTTTGTCCCAGAGCAAAATAGCCAAAGCTTTGACCTTTTCTCACAGTAACAAACTTTTCTTCTACTTCCAGTGATCCCCTACCATATTCTGATTGTTCCCAGCAAGAAGTTGGGGGGCTCTATGTTCACGGCCAACCCTTGGATCTGTATATCTGGGGAGCTCGGGGAGACCGGTGTCCTGCAAATTCCCAGGAATATCTTAGAGATGACATATGAGGTTTGTGACTGTATTCATGCATTTAAATCCAAGTTCTGAAATAAAAATAATCAACACATCTCTTCCTGAAACCCACAGGTTTATTGGGAAAACTTGGGGAAGAAGCGGCATAGATATGTTGTTGTAGCAATTACTCTTTAGCCACTATAAACATTTAATCTCATTGAAGTGGTTATGGTGCCTGGTGTCCCCTGGTACTAACCCTCCTTTCAGGGATAAAGCTCTTTTGAACAGACCCTAAAAAAAGATCCCTGGCCCCAACGGGAAGTATGGTTAAAGTAGAGACTTCTTTGTGGCCATACCAAATCATACCAGCAGTGGTTGCTGTGATAAGCTGAATGTGACCAGCGAGCACCCTCAGCCAATCACAGCCACCCATTGCTACTCAGAATAATACTTCCTCATCAAAACCAAGCAGCACAGAGGGAATGGGCTGCTGGGGACTCTTGTTTAGCGTTAAAACGTTAAATATGCAGAATTTAATGCAGAATGGAAGGATGGCGTCAGGGGACTCCAGACACTATAACCACTTCAATGAGATGAAGCAGTTACACTGCTTATGTGTCCCTTTATTTCTGCATTCCTGATCAGTGAAGTATTTCACAGCCAATAACCATATGGAAGGAGATCAAAACAAAGGAATTGGCCAAATATATTGTAATCAATAAAACCTAGACTTCCTAATTTTGATTGATATCAGAAAACGGTCTATGACTTTTATTAAAATACTGCAAATTCCGAGCATGTTGATATTAAAATCCTATTTCTTAAATTAGATGTTTGCTTAACACCTTAAGGACACATGACATGTGTGACATGTCATGATCCCCTTTTATTCCAGATGTTTGGTCCTTAAGGGGTTAAAGGAGCACTATAGGCACCCAGACCACTTCAGCTTAATGAAGTGGTCTGGGTGCCAGGTCCATCTAGAATTAACCCTATGTAAACCCTATGTTTACATATGGGTTAATCCGGCCTCTAGTGGCTGTCTCATTGACAGCCGCTAGAGGCGCTTCCGCGCTTTTCACTGTGATTTTCACAGTGAGAAGACACCAGCGTTCATAGGAAAGCATTGAGAATGCTTTCCTATGATACTGGCTGAATGCTCATTCAGCCGATGACGGGAAAAGGAGGCGGAGAGTTCCCACCGCCGAGGGAGCCCGGCGGTGGAGAAAAGGGTGAGTGTTTAACCCCTTCCTCACCCTTCAGCCCGGCGGGAGTGGGACCCTGAGGGTGGAGGCACCCTCAGGGCACTTTAGTGCCAGGAAAACAAGTATGTTTTCCTGGCACTATAGTGATCCTTTAAATCTGTGGTTTCAGAACAAGTGAGATACCATAGGACAAGTCTAATTGAATCCCTTTACACTGAAACATGTGACGGCAGATAAGAACCATTCGGCCCATCTAGTCTGCCCAATTTTCTAAATACTTTCATTAGTCCCTGGCCTTATCTTATAGTTAGGATAGCCTTATGCCTATCCCACGCATGCTTTATGGTGTTAAACTCTACCACTTCAGCTGGAAGGCTATTCCATTCATCCACTACCCTCTCAGTAAAGTAATACTTCCTGATATTATTTTTAAACCTTTGTCCCTCTAATTTAAGACTATGTCCTCTTGTTGTGGTAGTTTTTCTTCTTTTAAATATAGTCTCCTCCTTTACTGTGTTGATTCCCTTTATATATTTAAATGTTTCTATCATATCCCCCTGTCTCGTCTTTCCTCCAAGCTATACATGTTAAGATCCTTTAACCTTTCCTGGTAAGTTTTATCCCGCAATCCATGAACCAGTTTAGTAGCCCTTCTCTGAACCCTCTCTAAGGTATCAATATCCTTCTGAAGATACGGTCTCCAGTACTGTGTACAATACTCCAAGTGAGGTCTCACCAGTGTTCTGTACAATGGTATGAGCACTTCCCTCTTTCTACTGCTAATACCTCTCCCTATACAACCAAGCATTCTGCTAGCATTTCCTGCTGCTCTATTACATTGTCTGCCTACCTTTAAGTCATCAGAAATAATCACCCCTAAATCCCTTTCCTCAGATGTTGAGGTTAGGACTCTATCAAATATTCTGTACTCTGCCCTTGGGTTTTTACGTCCAAGATGCATTATCTTGCACTTATCCACATTAAATGTCAGTTGCCACAATTCTGACCATTTTTCTAGTTTACCTAAATCATTTGCCATTTGGCTTATCCCTCCTGGAACATCAACCCTGTTACATATCTTAGTATCATCAGCAAAAAGACATACCTTACCATCAAGATCTTCTGCACTATCACTAATAAAAATATTAAAGAGAATGGGTCCAAGTACAGATCCCTGAGGTACCCCACTGGTGACAAGCCCAAGCTTCGAATATACTCCATTGACTACAACCCTCTGTTGCCTGTGACTCAGCCACTGCTTTACCCATTCAACAATATTGGAATCCAAAATTAAAGATTGCAGTTTATTGATAAGCCTTCTATGTGCAACAGTGTCAAAAGCCTTACTGAAATCTAGGTAAGCAATGTCTACTGCACCACCCTGATCTATAATTTTAGTTACCCAATCAAAAAAATCAATAAGATTAGTTTGGCATGATCTCCCTGAAGTACACCCATGTTGTCTCTGATCTCGAAATCCATGTGTTTTTAGATGTTCAACAATCCTATCCTTTAACATGGTTTCCATCAGTTCCCCCACTACTGAAGTAAGGCTTACTGGCCTATAGTTGCCCCACTACTCCCTATTAACTTTCTTGTAAATGGGCACAACATTCGCTAACTTCCAATCTTCTGGGACTACTCCTGTTAACAATAATTGGTTAAATAAATCTGTTAATGGTTTTGCTAGTACACCACTAAGCTCTTTTAATAGCTTTGGGTGTATTCCATCAGGTCCCATTGACTTATTTGTCTTTTACTTTTGACAGTTGAAATAGAACCTCTTCCTCTGTAAACTCACGTGTAATAAATGACTCATTTATCCTTTTTCTTAACTAAGGTCCCTTTCCTTCATTTTCATCTGTAAATACCGAACAAAAATATTAATTGAGGCAGTCAGCTAGACCTTTATCCTCTTCTACATACCTTCCTTCTTTTGTTTTTAATCTAACTAACCCTTGTTTTACTTTTCTTTTCTCATTTATGTATCAAAAAAAAGTTTTGTCCCCCTTTTTTACTGACACTGCTATTTTCTCTTCTGTGTGTGATTTGGAAGCTCTTATAACTTGCTTAGCCTCTTTCTGCCTAATCTTATAGATCATTCTGTCTTCCTGTTGTTTGTTTTTTTAATTACTAAATTACTAAATGCTAACTTTTTGTTTTTTTACTGTTTTGGCCACATCTGCAGAGTACCACAGTGGTTTCTTGAATTTTTTGCTTTTACTGACAAGCCTAATGCAATTTTCTGTTGCATTTAGTAGTGCAACTTTTTCTCTTGGACTCCATTTAAATTTCTCCAGTCTGATGATAACTCATTTACACATTCTAATTTTAGAAAAGTCTGTTTTTCTAAAGTCTAAAACTTTTGTTTTTGTGTGGTGTGACTCAGTCACTGTTCTTCTATTAAACCACACTGACTGATGATCACTGGATCCTAAACTTTCACCTACAGTAATATCTGATACCAAATCTCCATTTGTTAACACTAAATCTAGTATGGCCTCTTTACGAGTTGGCTCCTCCACAACTTGTTTTAGAGACAATCCCAGTAGGGAGTTTAGAATATGTGTGCTCCTGGCACAAGCATCTATTTTTGTTTTCCAATTCACATCAGGAAGATTAAAGTCACCCATGATGATAACTTCCCCCTTCATTGTCATTTTAGCTATTTCCTCAACTAGTAGATTATCTAACTCTTCTATTTGTCCTGCGGGCCTATAAATCACACCTACACAAGTTACTGTGTGATTACCAAATTCTAACGTAACCCAAACGGATTCTATGTTGGCCTCACTAACTTTTATTAGGCTAGATTTTATGCTATCCTTCACATACAGGGCCACCCCTCCCCTTTCTTGCCTTCCCTGTCTTCTCTATAGAAAGAGTACCCTGATATTGCTATGTCCCAGCCATTTTTCTCATTATACCATGTCTCAGTAACAGCGACTAAATCTACACTATCAGTTGCCATTATTGCCACAAGTTCATGGATCTTTTTCCCTAAACTGCGATCATTTGTAGACATGACTCTAAGCTTAAAAAATATCTGCATCGAATTACACTGATGCTTACCCCAGCCTGCAAATACCAGATAGCCATCTCAGGCCTCTATGAGATCCTTATAGGGTGTGACACCCCTCTCCCCCTGGCTTGAGTGATGTGGCTAATTCTTATTGGACAATAGGCGTCTGCTGATTTTATATATAGGATACCCTACCCTCACTGGGTAGGACCGTTATTTCCTAGTTTTTAACCCCTTAAGGACCGAGGACGGTTCAGGACCGTCATCGGCATTTTTGCCTTGAGGACCGATGACGGTCCTGAACCGTCCTAACGGTCAGAGCTACTTACCTGATCGCCGTCGTTCCCCCGGCGGCGATCAGCATGGCTCCGGTTGTGGGGAGACTGCCTGCAGCCCAGACAGTCTCCCCACGGCAGATTAGGACCCCTGTGGCCATGTGATCGCTTAACAGAGCGATCACATGGTCACAATGGGTGTCCATGTGTCTGCCTGCAGGGGGACTGCCTGTGCTGACAGGCAGTCTCCCTGCTAGTGTAAAATCAATTTAAAAAAAAAAGTTAGTGTTAATAAAAAAAAAAAATAATAATTATATATGTGTATATATGATATATAGACATATATTATATAGATATAATATGTCTATATATCATATATATAATGCCATACTAAGTGTATTTTTATATTAATATGTACTTATATTAATATAAAAATACACTTATAATTAAATTACACACGTATATATATAATATATATAATAACTATATATATTGTATATATATATTATTATAAAATATAAATAATAAGTCATTTAAATTAAATAATTTTTTTTAAAATAATAATAAAAAATTTTAAAAAAATTATATAGCTATATGAAATTTTATTCTAACTGTATTTTAAAATTAATATATATATATTTATATCAAAATACACTTAGAATGAATTTGTATATATATCTATGTATATAAAAATAAATAAAATAAGAAATATACATACGTCCATATACAAAATTACATAAATAATTATATAAATATACACGTAGACTTCAAATATATAAATATGCATATATATTTAAATTCTACGTGCGTATTTATGTAATATTTTTACATAATTCAGTAATTTTATTGATTGCAATTTGAGGGACCTGCCTGCCAACCCAGGCCGAAATTCCAGAGAATTTAATTTGCTAGCACTGTATTTTACCCTGTAACGTTCTACGACACCCTAAAACCTGTACATGGGGGGTACTGTTTTACTCGGGAGACTTCGCTGAACACAAATATTAGTGATTCAAAACAGTAAAACATATCACAGCGATGATATTGTCAGTGAAAGTTACTTTTTTTGCATTTTTCACACACAAACAGCACTTTTACTGATGATATAATTGTTGTGATACGTTTTCCAGTTTTTAAACACTAATATTTGTGTTCAGCGATGTCTCCCGAGTAAAACAGTACCCCCCATGTACAGGTTTTATAGCATTTTTGAAAGTTACAAGGTCAAATATATGGGTCAAATATTTTTACATTGAAAATGGCCAGGTTGGTTACGTTGCCTTTGAGAGCGTATGGTAGCCCAGGAATGAGAATTACCCCCATGATGGCATACCATTTGCAAAAGAAGACAACCCAAGGTATTGCAAATGGGGTATGTCCAGTCTTTTTAGTAACCACTTGGTCACAAACACTGGCCAAAATTAGCGTTCAATTTAGTTTTTTTACTTTTTTCACACACAAACAAATATGAATGCTTACTTTGGCCAGTGTTTTCGACTAAGTGGCTACTAAAAAAGACTGGACATACCCCATATTGAATACCCTGGGTTGTCTACTTTAAAAAAAATATGTACATGTGGGGTGTTATTCAGAGATTTATGACAGATAATAGTGTTACAATGTCACTATTGATAAATTTTAAAATGTATGTTTTGAAACCGCAATATCCTACTTGTACCTATAGCCCTATAACATGCAAAAAAAAGCAAAAAAGCACGTAAACACTAGGTATTTTTAAACTCAGGACAAAATTTTGAATCTATTTAGCAGTTTTTTCATTCGCTTTTGTAGATGAGTAAAAGATTTTTCAAGTAAAAGTAAAAAAACATGTATTTTTTTCAATTTTTCATCATATTTTTTTATTTTTTTTAAATTAAAATACATGAGATTATATAAATAATGGTATGTAAAGAAAGCCCCTTTTGTCCTGAAAAAAACAATATATAATTTGTATGGGAACAGTAAATGAGAAAGCGGAAAATTACAGCCAAACACAAACACCACAAAAGTGTAAAAATATGCCTGGTCGCAAATGTACAACATCGCAAAAACAGTCCAGTCCTTAAGGGGTTAAGCACAAAACACGTATTATTATAATGCATTATAGTAGGGATTGACCGATATTGATTGTTTTAAAGCAGATACCGATGATCTTTGAACTTTCAGGTCGATAGCAAATAACTTACCGATACCGATATTCTGAACATTTACCATTTTAAAAAAATAAGCTCTTTCTACACAAATCTACTGTTAACTGAACATGTTTATTATTTATTTATTTTTAGCAAATCTTTTTTTTATTAAGGTAAATGCACAAAATATCCATGCCAGTCAGAATTGTTTGTTTTCAAGAATATGTGGGTGTGTAGTGGATGCAGTGAGAGTATTTGATTAGTGAATGCAGTTTATGTTTGTGTAGTGGATGCAGTGTGTGTGTTTGTGTAGTGTATGTATACTGAATGCAGTGTGTTTGTGTGGTGTATGTATAGTGAATGCAGTGTGTGTATATAATGAATGCAGAGTGTGTGTGTGTAGCTTGTGTAACTATGTAATGTGGTGGGGGGGCATTTTTTAAAATGTATTTTTTAATATTTCATAAATTTTTTTACATTTTGTTTTAGTCCCCCCTCCCTGCTTCTTACCTGGTCAGGGAGGGGGGATATGGAATTCCCTGGGGGGCATGCGGCGGTCCTGTGGGGCCCAGCACACTCTTACTTACCTTCCCAGTTGCTCCCCTGTCCAACTCATGGTAACCCACCGGAATCTCGAGAGTTAGACAAGGGAGCTGCTGGGAAGGTAAATAAGAGTGTGCTGGGCCCCACAGGACGGCCCTGGTCTGCATTATCGGCTATATTGGTATCTTTATTCACCGATACCGATGTTGCTGATAATACAGAATATCGTCAGACCGAAAATCGGTAAATCCCTACATTATAGCATGATTAAGGTTGTCATGCCAAAGAAAACGGTTTTAATTTTTTTGCTCAATTAATTTCTTAAATGCACACTAATGATGTATAAAAAACAAACAAGAAAAACGACAAACCCGGTTACTGTTCTAAACTGTTCTAAACAGTGGCCACTAAGCACTTAATCCCATTACTGCGCTCCGGGATTAGTTTTACGGCAGAGCTTGAGCAGGATTTACATTGTCTCGTGTTCGTGTCTTTACTGCTCAGTGCCAGAATCTTGGAAAGCTGACGACCGCGCAGATTGGACATGACAACTCCGGGCTCTACGCCAAGTGGCTGGTAGAACACGTCATGGTTCGCAATGAGATAACGGGACACACTTACAAGTGAGATGCTAACTTATTTAACTTTGTGTAGAGCACCATCTTTATCCATGTACACAAGAACTAAGTGCAAGGGAAAATACTTCCCCCAGTATGTTCTCAAATACATTTGTTACATTTTAAGCTTCTTATGTCTAACCAAGGCATGTAAGGTCTTAAAAAGCATGCACACACACACACATGGTTTCACATAGAATGGTTTTAAATGATTCTGTAAAGTGTATCCCAGTTGATTTAAAAGATACAATGCTGCATAAATAAAAAATATACTTCATATTACGTATTTTTATCTAATAAAATAAAGTGTTTACACTGAATATTTCTTTCTATAACCATAGATTTTTACACTGTGTGCCTGTGCAGTTTCCTACAAGTTTGCGCAAACATGTGTACAAGTGTAAATGTTGTTTTCCACTGCCTGCGTCGGATGCGGAAAATAATTGGAAATAATTTTCTGTGTCCAGGTTTCCATGCGGTCGGTGGTTGGGGAAAGGGATGGATGATGGAAGTTTGGAAAGAGTTTTGGTTGGCGATTTACTGACACCAAACACTGAGACCGAAGAGCGATATTGCCGAACGCCCCCATTGCAGCACTCTCCCAGCATGATCCGCAGGCTCGTAGCAATCTCGCCAAGCAGCAGGCCAAGTAAGCCAAGCGCCCGATTTAAAGGGCAAAATGCACAGATTGTAGGATTGTCAATTGGTCCATCAAACATAGTTTGTTTGTTTTTTTATCTAAAAGCACAAATTTCATCTTTTAAACAAAAATTGCCAAACTGTGAAAACATTACCAAGGATTTTCCATTTGAACTATTCTAATGTGATTTCGTGACAATTCCCACTTTAATGAATTAACCATTATTTGTTTTAGACTGTTTCCTGCTCAGAGCAGACGTGCATCTTATGCCAAGTGTTCCTCCTCTCACCTATTAAGTCAAGCTTTGCTAGCTTCTCTGCAAAGCAATTCCTGTATCTGTACACTGTGTTTCTTTATAATATGAATCTAATCTGTTTCTTCACTAACAGGGTTATTCTCTGAAGTGAGAATTCAAAGTGCATTTCAAACTATGGCCTAAAATTAGCATCCCTTCTTACTTGGAAGGATTTTTATAGAGTTATTAGAGAATACATTTTGTAATTCTCTGAAATTACATTATTACTACCTTATAGTAAAAATAGCATTCTTCGGATTGCATCTAAAAATTCGCACCAAAAACAGAGTTGTGCCATGTTGTTTTTATTATATTATCTTATGTATTGGGATCTATTCACTGAATTGGGATTTGCTGATACTTGACAAGAGAATTGCTATTTTAAGGCCAAAATATCAGAGTGAAAAAAAGAGAATTTTCACACTTTGCTATTTTGCTTTTAAGCCCAGTTTACAGAATGATCTTTGAATGGCATCAATGCAAATTATGTTTAAAGATCCAGGCTTGGTTTCCAAGAGGCACTGCTCAAATCTACTATAATCAAATCTTAACGTAAAGCGCACAATTTGCATCCCGTCTTCCCCCAATTGGTAACAGTCGTGTTTTACAGTTTGCTGTTACTTCTGGAATTACAGACTCCTTACGTCTCTTTTTTTCATTTCTTCTTCCACCTGCAACCCTCAGTTTCTTTCTTTATCGTTCTTTACATCTTCTCCAATATTCTCTTACAGAGTTAAATACAGGTCAAATCCAAGAGGCGATTGGTGAGGCTGTGAATGGCATTGTCAAGCACTTCCACAAACCAGAGAAAGAGGTATTGAATGCCGAATCATAATATCTACCAAAGTGTCCTGTGCCGTTACAGCCAATATTATCAGCATTAGCCGAATCTGCCCAAAACCTCAGCGCAAACAATAGAGCAACAGATGGAAGCACTTTAGTTATAGTGCATTAAAAATGATGCACATACAAACATGCCTAAATATTAAAAATACGTTTGAATATGCTGCAAATTCTAAGGCATTGCAGCCTCTTAAACTAGGAAGGGACTTGGACAGTCATAACTATCTATAGCACTCTATAGAGGTACTTCCTGGGCGCACCAAGGGTTTCTGGGACCTGTAGTCCTTTTTAATTGTAATTAGAAATATTGCAGTTTGGGAGAAGGTGTGGTCAGCCTATGGCGAATAACAAATTGGTGTTTAAAACAGAAATCTTAAGGAGATTAAAATAAAATCCAAAAATCTGTATAATTTAAACCTACACAATGCAACATAATGCCCCTTTAAAGAAGCTTTCATCTTTATAGCACTGTGTTTAAAGACATCTGTGGCATCTTGTACCCACGTATTTTGCCCCAATGTGTGTAAAGAGACCAGAGTGAAAGAAGAATTAGAACCCCCAACTGCAACTTGTCATCTTAGACCTTTTAGCTGTAGTGATCGGTGTTGTTGTCCAACAGCTATTATTGCAAGCTAAAGGACATTCTGCTGTAATGGGAAATGAGCAATATTTCAGCATTTTTAGGGAATCCATGGATATGGGGTCGTAGAGCTCCAGTGTTCTCACTGTCTGCATGTCTGATACAGAAGATGCTCAGATGCTCTGTTTGTATTCTTGTAGCAATCTCTGACACCTATTAGCCTGCTTGACTCACCAGTGTTCCATTATTTTGCAGAGAGGCAGCCTGACCCTGCTGCTGTGTGGAGAGAACGGACTGGTCTCTGCACTGGAGCAAGTATTTCAGCACGGATTCAAATCCCCACGCCTCTTCAAAAGTGTCTTCATCTGGGATTTCTTAGGTAAGCCGAATGGACCATTATATTACATTCACCAGCAGCCTCACCGGAAACTGTATGAGATACACCCAGGGGAATACTAAGGGAATCGCACGCAAACAGGGAAAGGCAACAATGGTTCACAGAGCATGCACTCTAATTGACGAGCGAGTTCAGGGACTCCACATGGTGTAACGGCTGCAGATATTATTGCCTTGCGATTAACATACATTGACGGGATTGGGGGATTATAAAGAACACTCATATGGAGGCCGACATCTATTTAAAGAGATGTGTCAGACACATCATGCAGTGAAGCTCACCGCAGTCAAAGGGTGCATTAAGTAACTGTCTGTACTGACATTAGGACTGTGAATTTACACCCACATCCTGTGCAAATTGATAGCCGTAATCAATAACCATAATGTGATATCTCCTGCCCTCCAACTCATAGTGGTGTCGGGGACAGTATACCAGCTCTCCCACCCCCTCCCCTCCTTATTTATAGATACAGTTGATTTATTTGTTATTGACGGTAAAATCAATAAAATGTATATTCAAAAATAAACTGTATACTATTTTATATTTTCTTTAAAATATTTTTAAAAAATCAAATATTATATATGATCATTTGAAATGTTTATGCCGTGGTTGAGTGAGTTATAAAATTTATTTAATAGCAGTATTTAGTGCAGGAAACCATGAGAGCACACAAACCCAAAGACCGATTCTACCTCTTACTGACACAAACAGCAGAAAAAATGTAAAATCCATTCCACTAATTGGTTTGCCAGCTGCGGTTCTGGGAGGGCTGGCTGGTATATGTGGATCACAAAATCTGCTGATTTATACAGTAAGAATTTTTCTTTTTCATATTTATTCTGATAAGGTGTTTATGGTGTTTTCTTGCTTCCCGTGAAATGTTCAGTGACTCTGCAAGCTGCCATATCAGGAAACGGAATGTAATGTACAGTTTTAGACAAGCGTCTGTCAATGTACAAAGCAAAATATACTGAGTTGTAGGGATACACAGTGATTGCTGTATGGATGCACTAAGTGACTTTATAATATGATTTATTGGCAGAAAAAGCACACCTGCATTATGATTCCCTGGAGCTGAGTGAGCTGGGCACCGAGGAAGATTGGCAGAAAAGGGCTCGCAAGTTCTGTCGCTTTATCACTGCCATAAACAACACCCCACGAAATATTGGAAAGGACGGCAAGTTTCAGATGTTTGTGTGCTTAGGGGCCCGGTAAGTCTGCTTTTCAGTTTGATCCCTCATTGTCCTCTGAATTCTGTGCTGATGCTGTGTATTGTGCAATGATACCCCAAACATTGCTCAACGGCAGTTCTCAGACTATCCTGTAAATCTCCTACTAATTATCCACTTGCCAAAGGAAAAGTGTGTGGAGTTTCTTTTTATTAATCCATCGCGCTGCAAGTGTTTGGGAACTATGTTTCCCAAGATTCTTTGCCAGCGTGCATTTTGACAGGGCGCCATAGAAAGTGTGGTTTGTATCCTCCCCTTATTACTACAATTACTACAACTAATTTAACTTTCTTTGGTAAAATGACATCTAACAATCTCCAAGACCTGTTAAGAACATGCACCTGCTGTCTGACAAATGCAAGCATTTCGGTTTGTGGTGAATGGCGATGATTGATTGTATTTATCGCTAAGGAATCCTCCTGTGCCTGTCGATCAGACACTAGAGACACTTCCTTGTAAAGACTTTCAGTGACTGAAAGTCTTAATGTTCATCTTCTCATAAAGAAGCATTGTCTCAATACTTTTCTATGAGCAGCATCTTATTGGCTGAACATCGCGATAGCTGCACATGGTATACTGAGCCCCAATGCTTCTTTTTGTGAAGTGTTGAATTAGCCTGAGATCATCAGTTTGGCAGCAGTGCTGAGACTGGGACAGAACTGGAAAACGGGTGTGATTAACTTGCTTATTTTCCCTTTAAAGTGAAATCATTATTCTGGGAATTTAGGTTTCCAGCACTGCCACCCACTTTCCTCAGTAAAAATTATGTTAAATAAAGTGAATTGAAACTAGACCTGCACAGCCAATTTAATGCTGCATTCCTCTAGTCAAACACTGCTATCTGCATTTAATTGCAAAACCAAGTTTTACTTTGTTCTGGGGAGAAAGCACATCTAGTGGCCATCAGGAATATCGACTTTAGAGGTGGATTTAAAACATGGGTATGTAAACATTACCATTTCTTAAAAATGGTAATGTTTCACATTGCATGTTTAAAATGGCAGGACCTCTGCACACAAACCACTTCATTGAGATGACATTGTCTGGGTGATTTAGTGGTCCTTTTAAAAGTAGATTCAACAGTTTAAATAAGCAGAGGAACACTTTAACATTATACATGGATATTTTATTTATAATGTGTGTTTCTTTATAATATGAATCTAATTTGTTTCTTCACTAACAGGGTTATTCTCTGAAGTTAGAATTCAAAGTGCATTTCAAACTATGGCCTAAAATTTGCGTCCCTTCGTACTTGGAAGGATTTTTATAGAGTTATTCGAGAATACATTTTGTAATTCTCTGAAATGAGAATAATTTGGGTTTCTAAAAAATAACTCACATAATCCACAGTAAGCCACTGTCTGAGCATAATGGGAAATGGAGTTCTTTATGCTAGAAACATCTTCACACTGAAGGGAGAATATAGCATCAGTGCAGCCATTTCTTGAAGGCCAACTTTCCATTGCTGCGGCCGTTATTTAGGGACCGTGTAGCAAAACTAACCGGGCTCGTGATTAACCCTTTGTTTCCCCCTCTCTCTTTCAGGGATCACTATTTGCACCACTGGATTGCCTTGCTCGCGGATTGTCCCATCATAGCACAAATGTACGAGGACACAGCTTTAATTAAGGACCATACGTTGGTGAACTCGTTGATCCGCGTGTTACAGACTCTTCAGGAGTTTAATATCACTTTAGAAAGCTCTCTAATTAAAGGAATTAACATCTGATCACAAAACGGAAAACCCATTAACTTACAAGAAATTTGCAGCGCCACGGGAGAGGCTGTCCTTTGCGAGGCTTCTGGGATCGTTGGTCACATCTAGTGGGATGAGCAGAACTTGACACACTCTGTGTAAAATACCCTCTAGAATGCTCTTTTATAGCTTGGGTTCTGACTTATTCCATTCTTTTATACAAAGAAGTTAAGCGGGAATACTGCACAGCTTATTATAAAGCTTCTTTATTCGCCCGCCGTGAAAACTGCGCAGAACTTAATGCCTATCATGTTACTGGATCAACATAAAAATGTTTTCTAGAACGTCTGTTACAATGTATTGACATTTCGCTTAGATGGCATATCTTCACTTATTTGCTAAAACAAAAACAAAAAAAATATATATACATACATATATATTTTTACATTTTATTGTGCGAGGCTATTGTTGTAGAAAGTCACTTTTTTTGTTGTTTTGTTTTTTCTTTGTCAGTATTATTTTGTCCGTGAACAAAAGGTCAAGAGAGGTCCCTTTATATAGCGCAACACAAATGCACAGAAAGTGTTTTCTTTCAAATGTTTTTTTTTTACATTATTTATTAACTGTTTATGCTTTCATTTCCTTATCACTTCAGTGCCAGAGTAGTCTAATGCATCGCTGTAGGAACCCTCTAAAGATTATTGGGAGCGTGTTCCTGGATCCAAACAGCCCCATAAGGGTCAGCAATGGTTGCCCAAAATATTATCTAATTCTGGTGCTTCATAGCTTCTGTGATGCAATAATACAGGGCAGTTAGAACTGTTTTATGAAGGAGATGTGAAGGAGGCAATGATGGTCAGGCTGCTGTCTGAAAAAACATAAACCATTAACCCCCTCCAAGCTGCTCCCTTGGGGACCAGATGCTGGAGGCAATTTTTGCACAATGCAGGCTAAAAATAAATATGTTTACACAATGTCTCTGTGTGTTTTGTTTACTTTAAAAAAAAAAGTTACAATTATCATAAATAAAAAGTGACTTTTTTAGTGGGGGAAAGCACTTATCTCAAAACCAGAATTTTTTTCTTTTCTTTTGTTTATGACTTGCAAAGACTCAAAATAGTCACCAATGAAGCTATGCATTTCCAATCTGAGAAGGGGAGGTTAAAAGGGTCAGGTGAGTCTAATTTGTGACCTTGTTTCAAAGGGCTGCTGGGAGGTAAAATGTGACTTTTGGAATATCTCACCTTTTAATAACATGAGTTGTGCCTGCACCAGGTTTCCCTTGCAATGTTAAATTTGGTAAATCTTGATTATCTTGGTGCAAATGTTTTCTCTGAACAGAGGTACAAGTCATGCAGTGGGCAAGGTTGTGCATATATCGCAATCAGATTTCAATAATTCATACTCTGGCTACTTGATCACCTTGCTGAAAGTTTGTTTTTCCTTAAAGGGTCGCTCCAGATCCCTAAACAAACTGAGCTTGCTGAAAAGCTTTGTGAGTGTCCTCAATTTTTTAATTTGCAAAAAGTGCAGGTTTCAATAGAAATTGACCCTTTTCTAAATTAACTTGGTTACACCCCCCTGGTTTTCAAGCAGACAACAAGTAATGTTACTTCCTGGTTTCGACTGCTCAATGCAGCTTATCTCAAGAGTCAGCAATTGCCCAGAATACCTAACATACAAAGACTTCTCATTCAGCTGTATTTGGAAGTTTCTGATTGGACAGCCACAGCAAGTCTAGGCAGGGAAGGGGAGAGCTAGAAAAGGAAGCAGACAAGAGAACTGCAGGTTTTGCAAGCTGTTTTTAGATATATTCCCTTTGTAAAAATACATAATTTTGTATTTGGGCAGTGGAGTGTCTCTTTAGCTCTTGCAGAACGTGTCCCTGCACAGCTCCGTAATTCATTATGAGCCCACTGTGTGCGTTAACATCTATCTGCCCCAGCCTGCTTGGATCCTGCACAACTATGAAAAGTCCTGCTCATTCAGTAGTGGAAGCTTTATATACCCCACTAATTTACAGACTTAACGCAGTGATCAGGAATAACAGTACGCGTCCGAGCACTGAACACAGACAGGTGGACAAAAACACAGAGTCCTGAGTGTGTGTTGATGAAGGCGGCTCTTTGATTTTATAGTGTACCATCATAAACAATGCTAATTGCCTGGTTGGTATTATTGTTGGATTTAAAGTGAATTTCAAATTTTTAAACCAAAATAGCAGAATAAGATTCAATAATAATGCTTTAAACGTTACTGAATAACTTTGTGCTATAATATCTTCGTTTTGGGCTGCCGTACTTAGATGATGGAATGCGCCAGTGCTGGTTTAGATATTTACATTTAATTCTGAAAAGTGGCCTGGTCTGGTCTATACACACATGTATATGAAGATAGTATTCCTTCAATGTGTCTGATTCTCTTTGCTTAGGTAGATGTAAATCCATTAAGAACTGGGTATCCGGTCATACAATCCCCAAAATTATAACACTTCTTATCAAGGGGATAGGCAAATTTAATATTTATTGTGACGGCATTAAAGGGTAGAATTCAAGAACATTATGATTATTGTAGTTAAAATTGGTTACTTGTCCCATCAGGACAATACAAATAAATCCTGTCCCTTCTACTGTTATAAATCAGAAGATGTGTTATACTTGGTTTCCACAAGATGGCGATGTTCTCTTTGTGGTATAATAAACTGGATATTGCAGTTTTTAGTTAAATGGCTTGTCCGCATCTTCTATAGCGACACTCTGCTATATTAGAGCCTATCGCTGCCAACATTTGTATTCCCTTTGGGGGTTGTGTTATTTGTGAAAAATGTCACTTATAAACCAGTGGTGGATTACATTTCCCATAATTCTGGAAAAGCATCAGGTTCGATGTAGTCCGCAACATCTAGAGTTCAAAGGTTGCCTACCCCTCATAAAAACAGAGTAATGGCCCACCGTACCTTACTAAACAGAGCTCCCCATTCTTCTCAGGAGTCTGGGTAATAACCCGCCTTACCCCATAATCACACAACATACAGAGCGTCCCCTGCAGCCAGGGATTCTGGGTAATAACCCGCCTTATCCCATAATCACACAACATACAGAGCGCCACCTGCAGCTAGGGATTCTGGGTAATAACCCGCCTTACCCCATAATCACACATTATACAGAGTGCCCCCTGCAGCCAGGGATTCTGGGTAATAACCCACCTTACACCATAATCACACATTATACAGAGTGTCCCCTGCAGCCAAAGATTCTGGGTACTAACCCGCTCTACCCCATAATCACAACATACAGAGCGCCCCCTGCATCCTGGGATTCTGGGTAATAACCCGCCATACCCCATAATCACACAGTATACAGAGCACCCCCTGCAGCCAGGGATTCTGGATAATAACCCATCTTACCTCATAATCACACAGTATACAGAGCACCCCCTGCAGCCAGGGATTCTGGATAATAACCCACCTTAGCCCATAATCACACAGTATACAGAGCACCCCCTGCAGCCAGGGATTCTGGGTAATAACCAGCCTTACCCCATAATCACACAGTATACAGAACGCCCCCAGCATCCAGTGATTCTGGATAATAACCCGCCTTACCCCATAATCACACAGTATACAGAGCACCCCCTGCAGCCAGGGATTCTGGGTAGTAACCAGCCTTACCCCATAATCACACAGTATACAGAACGCCCCCAGCATCCAGTGATTCTGGATAATAACCCGCCTTACCCCATAATCACACAGTACACAGAGCTCCCCCTGCAGCCAGAGATTCTGGGTAATAACCCGCCTTACCCCATAATCACACAGTATATAGAGCACCCCCTGCAGCCAGGGATTGCAGGTTAACGCTACAGACAGGTCATTATTTATATTTCTGTATTTTCCAGTGAGTAACTTGTTCTTATACATGAGATGACTTGTGGCCTCAACTAACATGAACACCTTGTATCTCTGAGCCGCGGAATATATTTGTCAGCGAGTAATTGCATGAAGGCCCAGTGAAAATAAGGTTTGTGGCCGGTTATTTTGGGTAATTCCCCAGACACCCGCCGGCCTCTAGACAATAAACAGCTGTTTTGGGGGAGTCGTCATTCTCTCCTTCAACCTTTACGCCAGCCTGGGAAAATGACTGGACCACGTCCTCCGATTGCCAATTACAGGGATAAACTGTTCCATGCTTCCCAAATCACAGGCTTATTTATACACTTGTTTGGGTTTTTTCCTCTTTTTTTTTTTTATAGTAAAAAAAAAAATGTTTTGTTAAATTTGAGTAATAAACTCACAATACTGGATTTCTGTATTGCATGTTACACATTTTATAAATAGAAATAATAAGTTCTGCTTCTTTAACAAAAGGTTTATTTACTAAATAATGAACTGAGTTTATTTAGAGAATATATTCCAAATTGTCTAGTTAGAACAAAAATCTACAGTTATTTATGCTGGGTTGGTTTTTATGATGAAAGGGACACTCGAAGCTCGCACACACTTTAGGTGCACTTTGCAGATTAGGTTACAGTTACTTACACTGGGTGAGTCTATATTATTAAAGGGGCACTCCAGGCTCCTACACATGTTAAATGCACTGTGTAGGTTAGGTTCCAGTTAGTTATATTGGGTGTTTTTTTTTTTTTTAATATTAAAGGGACACTCCAGTCCCCCCATACGGTAGGTGCACTGTGCAGGTTAGGTTTACAGTTAGTTATACTGGGTGGGTTTATATTATTAAAGGGACACTCCAGGCTCCAACACATGGTAAGTGCATTGTGTAGGTTAGCTGACAGTTAGTTATACTGAGTGGGTTTATATTACTAAAAGGACAATCCAGGCTCCCACACGTTAGGTGCGATGTGTAGGTTAAGTTACAGTTAGTTATACTGGGTGGGTTTATATTATTAAAAGGGACACTCCAAGCCCTCACACACTAGATTAATTGTGATCACATTGCTTAGGTTTTGTTACAGTTAGTTATTCCCCTCCCCATCTTCAGTGTTTTGCTTAAAAAGTACTACGGTACACAGTTAACTTTTTGGGTGAGTTGTAGCTAAATTGCCAACTTTTTGCCTGTATATCTATATGGGTGGATATAATGTGCCTACACCAACCAACCGAATGGGAATCTGCACACTTCATATGACCACAAGGTAAAAATCTGGACAGGAGCTGGCTTACCCCTCTAAGACAATCCAAAACACAAGAGGTCCAGACACCCTTGCCTAAAATTTGGGGGAACATCACTCATTTTTCTCTCATTTAGACCTGATCGCCAAAGAATGGCACTGGTAATACAGGTGCATGTTCGATTAAGAAATAAAAACGGAGTATGTTAGCTGATAAAATGTCATACACATCCGAATACATTATATATGTTGGTCGATGTGATACATTTAAACAGAAATTCATTTTACCAGGAGAACCATTTTCTGCTAGGATACTGGAGTAAAATGAGTTAAAAAGACAATAACCTTAAGAGGGTCCAGGCTATAGTAGAAAAGGGCAATTTATGGCTGCTATTAACAAGTACAAAGGGATTGCGAAGATTTTTACAAAAGTATATAAAACACTTAGAAAAACGAGACTGTATGGCTCCCCTTCCAGACACGAACAAAGGAGCCCATCACTCATCACACTTTTTGCATGGGAATTACACCAGATATAATGAGGCATTATATACCAATAATGTCGTTAACCCCTTCTCAGCTGGAAGTATAAACCCTGCCCAAGAACATACCAAGGGCAATCCTCACAAATTACCTGGGAGAGTTTTACCAAAACGTCAAGGGTAGTGTAAGCCAAACTACGATCAATAGCGACATAATGTGTGACCGCACTAATTTTAATTAACTAATTTTGTTGCATATGTTCATACATAAAAATATTCACACAAATTTTTTTTTTTCTTACCGCTTGTTAGAGATATAATCCCGCATTAAATTAGTAGCAATAATTAGAAATTGATTTAAAAAAAAAATATGTAAAACCAGCTCGGAATGTTATGTAGCTTTGGAAATCCGTTCTCTTTACACATTATGCCTCGTGTTTGAAATCTCTTACACTTTGCGTCTTGTTTAAAAGCTTGATGTCCGTTCCATTCTTGTTGGAGAAGTCCATAACATAGCTCACTTACTTTGTGATTTGGACATTATATCATAGTAAAATTCTACTAAACTATTACTGGAGAATGAAGGTATCATTATATAACCAGTGACTAGGGGTTATTCACTCTATTGTGATTTTACATGGTCTCTGTAGTGCCAAACAAATTCTATAGCGCTGTACAAGAGTTAAAACGATCAGTGCAATCAGTATTTCAATTTTCTTATATGGAGAAGGCTCTAAAACAAGACAAATCAACTATTGCCTTAGGGGAAGAGTAGAAAATGAGGGCTCTGCCAAAATGAGCTTACAATCTAAACATATGTGTTGGAAACTGCAAGATTTAGGCCACAATAGCGACCCTGGAAAAATTCTCCTTATCAGGCGGTTTATGAACGATTTTACTTTGAATTTTGTAATAAATTCTGATTTCACCAGAATTCTCCTCTTAGTAAATAAACCTTTTATTCATAGCAAAAGCATGTAAGAAAGATAGAAGAAGAAAAACAAACAAACAAAAAAATCGTCATGAGATTTTTCTCGTTTGAGCACGAATTCCTAGAATATGTGTTTGTGTCGCACAAAATGCAGAAAAGTTGGGAACTGGTGTAATATATTTAAACAATATAGGAAAGTCCCGCAATAGATGTAATTTATTTTCACACGTAACATGTTACTTACTCTGCAAACAGCACAAACATTGCTGAACCATATCAATAAACAGAGGTATATTGATTCACATAAAAATATTACAGAGATACACAGGAAATTATTTTAGGATTTGCAAATCTATAGTTTAACCATATTGCAAATTAGACCTAAATGACATTACGCTAAAGTACGGTCATTAAAGCAGCTCTGTCACCAAAAATAAACTTCATCTAATATGTCTATTTAGCTCCCTGTGTCTAAAACTATATTTGTTTATCTCCTGAATGTTCTAGTGGTCATTAAAACACATAAAGAAATGTGGGGACTACTTCCTGTTTAGCAGAGTGTCAAAACCTGACAATGGGCGGAGCTAAAAGCAAGGTTCTGTTTCAGTTATCAATCAGATTTACCCACAATCCATCAGTAAAATCAACCCCACAGAGGGGAAACTGCAGGCATTATGGCAGAGAACAAAATGGCTGTTCTCGGGAATTGAGATCACAAGGGAGAAAGGATAGTAAATGTAAATAAAAGTGGAACGATGGCAAAGTGTACTCAGCAAGATACAGAAGGCATGAGGAAAGCAAAATGGAAAGAAAATAAGGGAAAGGCGCCTTAATAGATAGAGCATGAATGAGGACATGTGATGGTTAATGGAGGTTGGCTGAAGGTGTGAGGGGAGGCTGGCTGCAGGGGTGATGGTGAGTGGAGGCTGGCTGCAGTGGTGAGGGTGAGTGGAGGCTGGCTGCAGGGGTGAGGGTGAGTGGAGGATGGCTGCAGGGGTGGAGGTGAGTGAAGGATGGCTGCAGGAGTGGAGGTGAGTGAAGGATGGCTGCAGGGGTGGAGGTGAGTGGAGGATGGCTGCAGGGGTGGAGGTGAGTGGAGGATGGCTGCAGGGGTGGAGGTGAGTGAAGGCTGCCTGCAGGGGTGGAGGTGAGTGAAGGCTGCCTGCAGGGTTGGAGGTGAGTGGAAACTGGCTGCAGGGGTGGAGGTGAGTCAAGACTATCTTTGGCTGTAGGTGAAGGTGAGTGCACATGTGAAAGGTAATGGAGACTGGCTGCAGAGACTGTATGGATGATGGTGAGTGGAGGCTAGTTGTGGCGGCTGAAGTGAGGGCTGTCTATGGTCCCTGTGAGGGCTGAGTGTGTCCCAGGGAGTTAAGGTTGTGTGAGGGCTGAGTGGGTCTCAGGGAGTTAAGGTTGTGTGAGGGCTGAGTGGGTCTCAGGGAGTTAAGGTTGAGTGGGGTCCCAGGGAGTTAAGGTTGTGTGAGGGCTGAGTGTGTCCCAGGGAGTTAAGGTTGTGTGAGGGCTGAGTGTGTCCCATGGAGTTAAGGTTGTGTGAGGGCTGAGTGGGTCCGGGGAGTTAAGGTTGTGTGAGGGATGAGGTTGAGTGAGGGCTGAGTGTGTCCCAGGGAGTTAAGGTTGAGTGGGGTCCCAGGGAGTTAAGGTTGTGTGAGGGCTGAGTGTGTCCCAGGGAGTTAAGGTTGTGTGAGGGCTGAGTGTGTCCCAGGGAGTTAAGGTTGTGTGAGGGCTGAGTGTGTCCCAGGGAGTTAAGGTTGTGTGAGGGCTGAGTGGGTCTCGGGGAGTTAAGGTTGTGTGAGGGATGAGTGGGTCTCAGGGGGTTAAGGTTGTGTGAGGGCTGAGTGTGTCCCAGGGAGTTAAGGTTGTGTGAGGGCTGAGTGGGGTCCCAGGGAGTTAAGGTTGTGTGAGGGCTGAGTGGGTCCCAGGGAGTTAAGGTTGTGTGAGGGCTGAGTGGGTCCCAGGGAGTTAAGGTTGAGTGAGGGCTGAGTGTGTCCCAGGGAGTTAAGGTTGAGTGGGGTCCCAGGGAGTTAAGGTTGTGTGAGGGCTGAGTGTGTCCCAGGGAGTTGGGTTGTGTGAGGGCTGGTGTGTCCCAGGAGTTTAAGGTTGTGTGAGGCCAGGTGTGTCCCAGGGTTAAGGTTGTGAGGCTGAGTGGGTCCGAGGGGAGTTAGGTTGTGTGAGGATGAGGTGGGTCTGAGGGAGTTAAGGTTGTGTGAGGATGAGTGGGTCTCAGGGGTTGGGTTGTGTGAGGCTGAGTGGGTCCCAGGGAGTTGGAGTTGTGTGAGGGGCTGAGTGGGGGTCCCAGGTTAGATTTGTGTGAGGGGCTGAGTGGGTCCCAGGGAGTTAAGGTTGAGTGGGGTCCCAGGGAGTTAAGGTTGTGTGAGGGCTGAGTGGGTCTCAGGGTTAAGGTTGAGTGAGGGCTGAGTGGGTCCCAGGGAGTTAAGGTTGAGTGAGGGCTGAGTGGGTCCCAGGGAGTTAAGGTTGTGTGAGGGCTGAGTGGGTCCCAGGGAGTTAAGGTTGAGTGAGGGCTGAGTGGGTCCCAGGGAGTTAAGGTTGTGTGAGGGCTGAGTGGATCCCAGGGAGTTAAGGTTGAGTGAGGGCTGAGTGGGTCCCAAGGAGTTAAGGTTGTGTGAGGGCTGAGTGGGTCCCAGGGAGTTAAGGTTGAGTGAGGGCTGAGTGGATCCCAGGGAGTTAAGGTTGAGTGAGGGCTGAGTGGGTCCCAAGGAGTTAAGGTTGTGTGAGGGCTGAGTGGGTCCCAAGAGTTAGGTTGTGTGAGGCTGAGTGGGTCCCAGGGAGTTGGGTTGAGTGAGGGCTGAGTGGATCCCAGGAGTTAAGGTTGAGTGAGGCTGCTGAGTAGGTCCCAGGAGTTGCAGGGTTGTGGCAGAGGCTGAGTGGGTCCCCGGGGAGTTAGGTTGTGTGAGGCTGAGTGGATCCCAGGGAGTTAAGGTTGAGTGAGGCTGAGTGGGTCTCCAGGGGTTGGGTGCATTGAGGCTGAGTGGGGTCCCAGGGAGTTAAGGTTGTGAGGCTGAGTGGGTCCCCGGGGAGTTAAGGGTTGTGTGAGGCTGAGTGGGGTCCCAGGGGTTAAGGTTTAGTGTGAGGGGCTGAGTGGGTCCAGGGAGTTGGGTTGTGTGAGGGCTGAGTGGGTCCCAGGAGTTAAGGTTGTGTGAGGGCTGAGTGGGTCCCAGGGAGTTAAGGTTGAGTGAGGGCTGAGTGGGTCCCAGGGAGTTAAGGTTGTGTGAGGGCTGAGTGGATCCCAGGGAGTTAAGGTTGAGTGAGGGCTGAGTGGGTCCCAAGGAGTTAAGGTTGTGTGAGGGCTGAGTGGGTCCCAGGGAGTTAAGGTTGTGTGAGGGCTGAGTGGGTCCCAGGGAGTTAAGGTTGAGTGAGGGCTGAGTGGGTCCCAGGGAGTTAAGGTTGTGTGAGGGCTGAGTGGGTCCCAGGGAGTTAAGGTTGTGTGAGGGCTGAGTGGATCCCAGGGAGTTAAGGTTGAGTGAGGGCTGAGTGGGTCTCAGGGGGTTAAGGTTGAGTGAGGGCTGAGTGGGTCCCAGGGAGTTAAGGTTGAGTGAGGGCTGAGTGGGTCCCAGGGAGTTAAGGTTGTGTGAGGGCTGAGTGGGTCCTGCAGGGAGTTAAGGTTGTGTGGAGGGCTGAGTGATCTCAGGAGTTGGGCAAGGAGGGGAGGCTGAGGGTCTCAGGGGGCGCAAGGCTGTGTGAGGGCTGGGTCTCTGGGGGTTGGGTTGTGTGAGGGAGCGAGGACCCTGCAGGGAGTTAAGAAGCTGGAGTGAGGCTGAGTGGGTCCCAGGGAGTTAAGGTTGAGTGAGGGCTGAGTGGGTCCCAGGGAGTTAAGGTTGTGTGAGGGCTGAGTGGGTCCCAGGGAGTTAAGGTTGTGTGAGGGCTGAGTGGGTCCCAGGGAGTTAAGGTTGAGTGAGGGCTGAGTGGCGGAGGAGGGGGGAGTTTGATCCTGTTAATGAGGTGGGGGGGAGCCAGCCCGGGGGGAGTGGGGGAGGGACTGGACAAAACCCGACAGATTGAGGAGAATGAGGAGAGAATAGAGCGAGTGACAGCCAGGCTGGGTTGCTCCAAGGGGCCGGACACGGATAGCCAGGCTGGACTGCTAGCTGGGGGCCGGACACGGACAGCCAGGGAGGAGTAACGCAGGGTTAGAGCAGTGTGAGCAGAGACTGGGTATCAGAGTTAGTACCGAGAGCAATGGTTCTTAGAGAGAACAGGACTAACAGGCTGGCTGGGGGTCTCTAGAGGGGGAGCTGGGGGTTAGTCTGATCCGGAGTGTAAGTTGAGGGAGGTAGGGGGTCTTTATAGGATAATTAGGGGTCAGTGCCCCCTGTACGTAGAGCCGGGAAGGAATGTGAGAGGTCTCTGGAGGGAGAGAGCTTGGGGGTCTCTGGGGATAGAGTGAGGGGGTCTCTGGAGGGAGAGAGCTTGGGGGTCTCTGGGGGAAGTTGAAGGGTTTCTAGTGAAGGGTTGAATTGCAGATATTGGGGTCTCTCAGAGGGAGGGATTTTGGGGGTACACAGGTGGAGTGACTCCTCTCTCCCCTGTCACTATGGTGTCTATAGAGGACATCTCTTGGCTAGTTCTGCTGATTCTTCCACTTTGCACGTCTACCCACCCCGCTTCCAGGACACAGAGTGGTGAGTACACAAGGGTTATGGGGGTATCACTGAGAGATCTGTACTAAGAGAGTAATGGGGGTATCACTGTGAAATCTGTACCCAGAGGGTTATAGGGGGTACCACTGTGATATATTTACCGACAGGGTATCGGGGTACCACTGAGATATATTTACCGACAGGGTATGGGGGTACCACTGTGAGATCTTTACTGGCAGGTTATATAAGGTATCACTGTGAGATCTTTACCGACAGGGTTTTTTTTTTTAGGGGTATCACTGTGATCTCTGTGCCTTGGGGGTATCACTGTGTGATCTGTACCCAGGGGGGTTTTGGGGGTATCACTATGTGATCTGTACCCAGGTTTTTTGTTGTTTTTTTTGTGGGGGTTCACTGTGTGATCGTTACCCAGGGTTTTGGGAGGGGGGGAGGGGGCGGGGGCGGCTATCACTGTGTGATCTGTACCCAGCGGGGTTTTCGGGGGTATCACTGTGTGATCTGTACCCAGGGAGTATCACTGTGAGATCTTTACCAACATGGTATGGGGGTATCACTGTGAGTTCAGTACACTGGGGTTTTTACGAGGTATCACTGTGAGATCTTTACCAACAAGGTATGGTGGTATCACTGTGAGATCTGTACCCTGGAGGTATGGGCAGGGAATATGCTTTTTGAAAGCAATGTTTAAAAATTGACAGTGAGTTTATGGGGCTTCATAGTAGCAGAATGCGTTATTGGATACTCTATCTCTAACTAAATCATAGCGTCAGGAGAAGTGACTTAATCCCTCCAAGGTAACATTGCACCTGTCACTGGTCCTTTTAAAGGGACACTGTAGTCACCAGAACAACCACAGCTTATTGTTTTTGTTGTGGTGAGTAGAATCATTCCCTTCAGGCTTTTTGCAGTAAAGGTCTTTTCATAGAAAACGCAGTGTTTACATTACAGCCTAGGGATACCTCCAGTGGCCACTCCTCAGATGGTTACTAGAGGTGCTTCCTGGGGCAGTGCTGCATTGAGACACTGAACTTTCCTAGAAGATCAATTGATTCAATGCATCTCGATGAGGAGCTGATTTGCCAGGGCTGTGTTTGGCTTTTGCTGGCTCTGCCCCTGATCTGGTCCTTGACCAGCTCAGCCAATCCAATGGTTCCATATGGGAAAGCATTGTGATTTTGCTTTGATCACCACTTCTGATGATGTCAGCCAAGGAGGCAGATCAGAGGCAGAGCCAGCACCAGCAGACTGTAATAACGGTAAGATTTTACTATATTTAGTGGGGCCAGATGGGCTAGATGGTGTTTTTAACACTAAAGGGTAAGGAATACATGTTTATGTTCCTGACCTTATAGTGTTCCTTTAAATAAAGTGAGAATTTAGTGCATTTCATCTTTAAAGGTACACTCCAGGCACCCAGACCACTTCTGCCCATTGGTGTGGTATGGGTGCCAACTCCCACCACCCTTAACCCTGCAAGTGTAATTATTGCAGTTTTATAAACTGCAATAATCACCTTGCAAGGTTAGGTCCTCCTCTAGTGGCTATTAGAAAGCCACTAGAGGGACTTCTGTGTTCTTAGAAGATGTCCTGAAACTATGCATGAGGACCTCCATCGTCGCCAGAATCACCATAGGAAAGCTTTGAATAATGCTTTCCTATGGGGGGGGTCTATTGCGTGCGCTTGCACGGCCATTGCCTCGCATGCGCATTATGTCTCCCCCGCCACCTGACGTCGAGGGACATCGGCGCTGGATTCAGGTAAGTCACTGAACGGGTTTTAACCCCTTCAGCAATATGGGATGGGGGTGGGAGGGAGAGGGGCACTGCAGAGTCCTGCAGTGCCAGGAAATCGGATATGTTTTCCTGGCACTGGAGAGTCCCTTAAAGACCAGCATAGTCATTAAAGCATAACTGACTTGGGTTTAGCTAATTTGGCCTTAAAGGGACACTATAGGCACCCAGACCACTACAGCTCATTGAAGTGGTCTGGGTACAGTGCCCATATTGCAGGGCTTGACAAATTTGTTTGGAATATAGGAGCCAGCTAAAAAAGTTAGGAGCCAGTCATTTTCAATGAGAGTGCAATTCTTAAAAGGACACTATAGTCACCAGAACCACTACAGCTTGATGTAGTTGGTCTGGTGTCTATAGCCTGTCCCTGCAGGCGTTTCAGTGTAAACAATGCCTTTTCTGTGAAAAGGCAGAGTTTACATTGCTGCTTAGTAACACCTCTGATGACAGTCACTCAGATCGCCACTAGAGTCCTGGGTCACTGCTGCACCACGTGCAGCACCCAGGTTCAGTGTCTCCACGCGCTGAATGTTCCTCATAGAGATTGATTAATCTAATGCATCTCTATAAGGAGATGCGACTTGGTACATTTGCTGCGCTTGCTTTCTTGGGGTCCAGTGGGGCTGCTCTCTTCCTGTGTGCGAAGGAGCAGTACTCTGCCTGTAGCTGTTCTCTGCTCCCTCGTGCTCTGTAATGATGCTGGGGCTGGAAAGATGTCATATTCCGGCTCCTGACATCATTAGACCGCGTGAGGGAGCAGAAAGCAGCTGCAAACAGAGTACTGCTCCCTCGTGCGCCGCGCACATTGCTCCCGCGGGCGGCCGCCTCCAATATTCTTCATGACGGCCGCCATCAAAGCTCGCTCCCACACTAACTAGAGAGCTGGCAAAGCCCAGATGCCAGGGCGACGTTTCTAGTCGCCGTGGCAATCTTAGTGCTGCAATGTAAAACATTGAAGTTTTAGAGAAACTGCAATGTTTACATTGCAGCACTAAGACCGCAACTAGAGGCGCTTCCGGAATGTTTCTAGACTTTTGGTCCGCTAACTGATGCTGGACGTCCTCAGGTGCTGCGATCAGTGAGTCAAATAAAGCGTTTTTAAACCTTTATTCACCACGAGAAGGGGGGGGGGGGATGTAGGGGGGTGGCAGGAAAGCAGCTTTGTATTACTGGCACTACAGTATCCACTTAAACTTGAAACTCACTTTACTTTATCAGGTCTATTCACTAAAGTGAGATTTTAATCTCGCACATTATTAGATTCACTTAGATCAAGCTTTTACTTTTCCATTCCTGGGTGCTACAGTTTATGTTAACTCCTAATAATATTTATTGAAGTAATTGAAAATGTAATGTCGACATCCCTTAGCAGTGACTGCCTGGCACTCCAATGTTATAATAATATAATAATATATTGGTATGCTGTAGGTGGGGGATTTCCTAATTACTTTCATTTTAGCAGGTACTTTGTGACTCCTCGATTTAATGAACATATTTAATTCTTACAGCAGTGAATTGTGCATTCTGCAGTGAAGCACTTTTCCAATACCCTATATATTCTTGTTCTGATGCAGTGCAGGGGCAACGCTGGGGTTAAACCCATGGAATTTTGGACACTTAAGATGTGAAGTTTCTTCTGTTTGCAAACATAGCTTCGTCTTGACTTCCTGGTTACGGTACAAAATATCAGCGACAGTCCGCTGTTGGCATCGGTGGGGTTAAATCAGGGACGATTGGCCCCACTATAGCAGAAATTTTAAATAAACAAGTTTCTGATAGACGGATTGCAGATGGTTTGGTAAATAGAACACAGAGTAATACGCTCTGTGCGAAAGAAACTTCTAAATTCCCAGACTAGACTATTGCATCATTACTGAAAATAATTGATCAGTTGTGCAGATTACAGTGTTTTGCCTAAAATATTTGAGATTTTCTGTGTACCTGTTACTGTTTTTATGTATATGTATTTCTGAAATTAAGTCTATGCTGCGGCAAAGCATTAATTATTATTTTTTGCACTGCCTAGGGTCTGCTCCCTCTCTCCCCCCTTTGCTGGAGCCAGGGACTGTCCTGACTCCCTTGCCCTTGTGCAGATCATGGCCATCGTCGTCACGATTGCGCTGTCTCATCTTGCCAGGTTCTTTCCTCCTTGTGGGATCTCCTGAGGGGGTTGTGTGGGCGGTGGGGGCGCTCAGTGCGATTTATATCTTAACGTAACGTTTACATAGTGTTACAGTTCTAAACTCAAGATGAATTATTTTATAATTGTCCTGGCAGTCCTGTATCTCTCTCTGACTTGTCCTATTGGGGAGGTTTATGTTGGAAAATATGAACCAATAGCTACTGAGAAACCATAACAACTGCTACTTTTTGTTTGTCTTGCTCCACAATAGCAAAGTATAATGGCTGATACTGCGTCCTGCAGTCAGAGGTTTTTGGGGTATCTTGGAGCAAACCACAGGATTGTTCCACCCTTTTCCATGACAACTGCTCCAATTTTTTTTAAAAACTTTGCCCATAAAACCAGTTCTGGACATTTATTCCACACACAATTAGAATAATAATTTTACACCAAATTCCCGAATTTCACCCAAACCAAGCATCGTAGGACATTAGTTACCAATGTTGCCTGAAGCAGATATTTACTAAACGGTTTACTGCGGCTGACAAGATTTTCAAAATATACAGTAGAACAAGTTAAAAGAATATCAAACCATTGTCAATTCATTGACTTTTCAGTGGGGCGGTTTGGGTAATGTTTAAAGGAACACTATAGTCACCAAAACAATTTTAGCTTAATGAAGCAGTTTTGGTGTTTATCTCCTGCCCCTGTAGTCTCACTGCTCCATTCTCTGCCATTTAGGAGTTAAATCATCTTGTGTTTATGCAACGCTAGCCACACCTTCCCTGACTGTGACTGATACAGCCTGCATGAAAACAAAAAGGTTTAGTTTTCAATCAGATGTTAACTTACTTTGAAAGTTATCTCTTGCTCTGTAAATTAAACTTTAATTACATACAGGAGGCTCCTGCAGGGTCTAGCATTTTTTTTTCACAGAGCAGGAGATAAGAAATAATAAATTAAACAGAATTTGCAGTAAGGGAAGTGTAAATATTAGATGACTGTACAGGAAGTGTTTAGGAAGGCTGTGTAAGTCACATGCAGGGAGGTGTGACTACGATTGTATAAACAAAGTTAGTTAACGCCTAAATGGCAGAGACTTGAGCTGTGAGATGGTAGGGGCATGATCAATACACCAAAACTGCTTCATTAAGCTAAAGTTGCTTTGGTGACTATAGTGTCCCTTTTAACCTTCAGTTTGTAAAATTGAATGAAATATCTGCTCCGCTCACTGGAAGATCTCAAAATGGCTGAGGGTGATGTGTCTTAAAAGCTTCAGAAAGAAGCCTGTGAAGTGAAAGTGAGTTTTAATTATGTTCTTCAACATGGCACACACGGAACAGAACATAAAGCTTTATTACCAGCTCTGGTTTTTCCGTAGTTATTCACTAATTATTACTAACTGAACAGGGAATGGCATATTTTATTGTAAAACAGCAACAGAGTAGGAAACATAGCTTAACTTGAGAATGTGCATCCCATCATCATTTCCCAACAAAATCCAGTTTAGTGAATTGGATGTTTTGTTTGGACCCCTAACTCCCAAGAAAAGTACTGAAGTCTTAATATATAAAAAAGACTGCATTAAATGTTGCAATAATAGAGTATTGCGTTCCGCAGGACATATTGTAGATCTTCGTGGATCTTGCCAAGCTCTGCTCTCTTTTTCCCAGAGGCATATCGATGTGAAAAATTAAAATAATTTCCCTCCTCATTCATCCCCATTGCACAATCTAACTTTCATATTCTTATTTTGAGTTCCCACTAGAAAGTTTGGGATATTGCCAGTCTTAGCCCGTCAGTGCCGGCTGACCGAGAATAGCCATAAGGCTTGCTTGTTCACATACCCTGGTGCTTGAACTGCGTTATTGGTGTCCAGACACAATATTTCCCAGCGTTTGGTTGAAGGAAAAGTACAGTCTTATTGTGCATGTGAAACCAACCAGGATAAACGTTTTTCACTCTTGCAGCATTCATTGAGATCATCTTGTGTAAAAGTTGCAGTATGCTCTAAAAGGGGCAAGTGTATTCTTTAAAGGGACACTATAGTCACCAGAACAACTTTAGTTTAATGAAGCAGTTTTGGTGTATAGAACATGCCCCTGCAGCCTCAATGCTCAATCCTCTGCCATTTAGGAGTTAAATCCCTTTGTTTATGAACCCTAGTCACACCTCCCTGCATGTGACTTGCACAGCCTTCCATAAACACTTCCTGTAAAGAGAGCCCTATTTAGGCTTTCTTTATTGCAAGTTCTGTTTAATTAAGATTTTCTTATCCCCTGCTATGTTAATAGCTTGCTAGACCTTGCAAGAGCCTCCTGTATGTGATTAAAGTTCAATTTAGAGATTGAGATACAATTATTTAAGGTAAATTCATAGCCAGGGGAGGTGTGGCTAGGGCTGCATAAACAGAAACAAAGTGATTTAACTCCTAAATGACAGTAAATTGAGCAGTGGAATAATCTATACACTAAAACTGCTTTATTTAGCTAAAGTAATTTAGGTGACTATAGTGTTCCTTTAATGTTAATTTTTAGACTTCGATCAGTGGAATATTTAAAAATCTGAATAAAACACTTGACTCATTACCGTGGAAACCAATACAATTCTAACCACAATGATATATAAAGTGGTAACCTGTTCCATGGTGCTGTACAATGGATAACCAAAACATGTATCCAATTGCAACAAAACTGATTTAGCTCACAGGATGAAGAGTAAGTGACCGTTCTACTCAAAGGAGCCTACAATCTAAAGGAAGTGAGAAAAACAGGTAAAAATTTCCAGGTATTCAAAGAAAATATTGGTGACTAGGTGCACTAACATAAAGACCTGGGGCCCTAAAAAAAAATAAAAAAATTCTCTCCCAGTAGTGAGTCCTATCACCGCTGCTCTGCTCCACCCTGGGAGGCTGTCAGTGACCACAATCTCCCTTTACCAACATTTTATTTATTTATATAACTTCACTTCCATGTGCCAATTGCAGGTTTCCAGCTGTAATTGGTGCATGCGCAGTAATTGTAACAAATGCAGTGATTCCCCAGTAGAATACTTTTCATAGACTACTACATCCCTACTAAAGCTCCCACTACAGCTGGCTGTCCACTTAATGGCTAGGGGAGGGTGTACCATAACCTGTAAATGCAAGTGATAAATTAAATAAGAAGTCCCATCATGGCTGTAATTTGAGGTCGGAGTTAGGTCAGTGGAATATAATTCTGTGTTTATAGTTCAGAGCTTGATGCTGTATTTGCCGAAAATCTCATTGATATCTAAAGTCATTTTGTGTCCAGTGATTCAGTATTACTTTATCTCCACTATCTGTTAAAAACTGACCCCCTCATATATTTTTTTTTTTATCCACATTTGGGGTTTTTCAATGAACTAGGAATTCTGAAGAATTGATAAGGAAACTGCAAATCCTATTTAAAAAAAAAAAAAAAAAAGCCAATTTCTGCAGCCGTGGTATTTTTCAGCTTTGGCCTAAATTTTGCGACTTCCCTTATTGATTCTCCAAAATTCCTGATTTAGTAAATAACCCTGCAAATGTCTCGTTTTGAATTAGCTTGCTGTAAAGTTTGTCTAATTTCCCCTAAAATCTGTTATTTTTACAGCTACCTATAAAATTCCAGCGTGAGCGTGGTTATAAATCAAACCCTGACTAATCTATATTTTATGTATATGTATATTTTGCATTTTAATGTGAATTCATATAAACAAACGCATTTCTTGATAATCCTTACAATAGGGCCAGTATTCAAGCTTTGTACGGCGTCACTGGGAAGCTGGAGGAGCGAGCAAGAGAGAGCGCATCAGTCACTGGCAGCGTCCTCTGCCAAGTTTAACTTTCCAGAGAAACTTTTAGACACATCATTAATATGATTCAGGATTTTGAATATTTCAAGTAAGATAGGAAGCTTGTGGCTTTGCAGCAATAAAAAGACCAAGTGTGAACAGACTCAGCATTTTAATGATGCAGCAATGTAAATGTGAGGACTGCGTTCTGGTAAATCTTGAATTTTTGGAACTGGAGCTAATTAACAAATGACCATTTAAGTTGCTTGCAATATGAGCGGTATGTTACACACACACACAGTTTGTGTGCTGCTTATAATCTTTTAAAATAACTTACCTGGAGGGGTTTTATGCACTAAACAGTTCGTCATGCTTTGCTGCTGAGCTGTCGGTTACGATAAAACCTTCAATATTCATTATAACTGGCGCTAAGGAGTGATCAAAGGCAAAATTAATATTGCCACAAAAATCACTTCTGCGGCTCTGGGGTAGGTACCTTTGAAAAAGCTGGCTACTGAGTAATTCATCCTTGATCAGCTCTGCCATTATTTCACATGTGGTACCCCAATGTGAGTAGTAACCTCTATGTTACATACCTGTCTCTTGCTCTCTCCTAAAGGGCAGAACTCTATTCTCTATTCCAGCTCTGCTTCACTCCCACCTTATTTGATTGCTATTCTTTGTCCTTTTGTGTTTTACACCCCACCTCCGATAGACTGTAAGCTCGTTTGAGCACGGTCCTCTTCAACCTATTGTTCCTGTAAGTTTTCTTGTAATTGTCCTATTTATAGTTAAATACCCCTCTCATATTATTGTAAAGCGGTACGGAATCTGTTGGCGCTAAATAAATGGTGATGATGATGATAAATCTAAAATGACTGAGCTTTTAGATCTGACTGCTAGTTAAGTGCAGGTTCAGAGTTTAGTGAATCCGAACAATTCGCTTGGGAACATTTCCTTAAAATGTAACCATGCACCAGGCCTCTCAGCCACTGGCACTCACATGACTAAATGCTGATGAACTTTCTTTGAACACATTTAATATAAATCTCATGGAGGGCCATCTGCAAATGATAGACATTCTTTTCGTCTTGATAAGACATTTGACAAAGTCCAGCAACGGAGTGCTGACGATGTGACACTGCTATGGGGTAAAACTTTAAAAAAAAAGGTGTAGTGTTTATCAATGATAATATTAAGAAACCTTTTTCTCCCTTTAATGCATATCGTGTTTGCAATATCAAAAATAGTTTGTAATTCCTGACCGCTACAAAGAGGTGGAAGTGGCATTGTAGTGATATTAACCTTATTAATGACAAAGTTGTGTTCCAATGAATTATTTTGCTGTGCATTGGGCATATCTTTGGATCAGAAGGTTAAATAAGAAGAATTCTTTAATTTAATGATCTATATAAAGACCGTTTAGTACTGGACGTCAAAGGTTAATGAACCAAATCCCACTTCTATCACCATCTTTTCTCTGCGGTCCATTTTGTAGTTTGGGAAGAGTGGGATTTGTGGGGTTACTGGAATACATTGCCAACTTGTATAGCACTGTTCAGAGACAGACATAAAACAGCAGACGTGAAAAAATGACTCATCCATGATGCACTGTGTGTGGTGTTTATTTTAAGTGTGACTATACAAAATAAACAAGTATATTGCATGCTTGTGGTATTTTGTAGAAGATATCAGTTTCCAAATGATGCAGATTTAATTTACACTAGGTTTTAAACATTTGGTTGTATTATCTGATAACTTCCATAACCCTGAAGGTTTCAATGCTGTGTGGTTTCAATGCCTAAGTGTGTGGGTGTGTTTTGTAATACAACCATGTGGCTTAGTTCCACATTTTGAAGATTACGGTGTAGTGTGACAAAATACTATGTTACATAAAGAGTAGTTTATACCTGGAATTGGCTTCCAGTGGAATTGGTAAAGTAAAGGCTAACCATGCAGTAGAACGTGGAGTAGATACCTGAAATATCTCTCCAGTGGAAGCCGTACAGGCTGACTGTGATATAGAAAGGGTAGTAGATACATGGAATGGCTTTCCAAAGAAATCTGCCAAGGCTTTACATTGTAAAGACCACTTCTGTTTTTTTATTTTATATATATATTTATTTTTTGTGTGCAGAAAAATGTATAACAAAGATTGCAATGCCAAAAAATAAAGAATCGTGTTCTATAGCACAGTTATGACATAGAACACGATCGGGGATATTAACTACAATGAGAATTGCTTGGAATTCAAAGTTAATTTCCAATTTAAAGACAAAATAGCCAAACTAAAAACAGACGTGGAGAATTTTCAAATTTGGCTACTTTGGGCAAAATGTTTGTTTAATTCTCACTTGAGTAAATACCTCAATTTTAGCATAGTTGTCAATGTAAAAATGATGTAGGGTTAATTTTTGCTGTGGTACCTTGTAAAAATTGTATTTTGGTTTTGTAAGGGATCATTTTGGCATTGTTTGAACAAGTTATTGAGTGTGTCTCTCTGTCTACCTGCACCCGCAAATCCTCTGTACCCTGAAGGAACCAGCAGCAAAGGGTTAAGGAGTCCTTCCAAGTCTATAGTTAGGGTGTCTGGGATTCAATTGTAATTGGACATTCCAAGCACCTAAAGCAATTTAGCTTGCTGAAGTACTTAAAAAGTGCAGATTTAAATTAAAATTTTACCTTTTATAACTAAATCTTGTTACAACCCCAACTGTTGATAAAACAGTTTGTCCTGTTACTTCCTGGTTGTTAAGCTCAGTGGAGCTAATCTCAAGAGGCTGCAATTGCCCAGAGTACCTGCCTCGTAAAGACTGTTGTTATGCGTTATGTGATTGTTTTCATTGTGGGTATATCTACTGTCTACTAAAGTTGTTTGTTTGATAGACAGGTGAGTGTCCCTTTATAAAGACAATGTTTCATTTATTTTTTTGGCTGTTACCCTGGTAACAAGTCAGTCTGAGGTTTCCTAGTGGGCAGACTAGCTGTGCTGTTTGGGCGGTCTGCCTATAGAGGTTATTAGTTACATGATTGCTATTCTTTTCAGCCCTGGGACAGGTGATAAATTATTAACTCTTTCTGTTATACAGGTGTTGATGAATGTGCTGAGGGAATTGACGGATGCCACATTGATGCCATCTGCCAAAATACTCCCAACTCCTATAAATGTATTTGCAAGACCGGCTTCAAAGGGGACGGTACGACGTGTGAAGGTAAGATGCGGACACTGACATTTCTCTATTAGACGGCATTTCTAAAGTCTTTTTTCTTTTTTTTAACCTTCAGTTTATCTTCAAGCCAGTTAAATGACATTAAGGGTCAGGGTGGATTCTTGAGAAAAGTTACAACATTTACACTAAAATATCATATTTAGAAAATAAAAGCTGTAAAAATCACAGAATGTGCCAGCTTATTCTTAAATCACTGTTTAGTTAATAGGGCCTGCTGTGATTTGCTTTTTTTATGATTGTCAAAGGCCTCTAACAGCTGAATGAGAATCTATTTCAGGGTTATTCACTAAACTGTAAATTGAAGGTGTATTGCAAACTTTAGACCAAAATATGACTAAAAGGAATCTGCCATCTTAGCCTGATTATTTTTTTGTCAATTCTCCTCATTAAATCATTGAGGGAAATGTAGTAGATGTAGTAATACGATTAACCATCACTGGTTTATGATTTGATTTCGGCTGAGGGTTTTAGGAGTTGTACCATAGCATTTGGAAGGGTTCTAAATGGCCAAACTTTAATCACGTAGAAGGCATTGGAAAAGCAGTTTTATACATCCCAGCAGTTTGAGGAATAGGGGGATAATTTAACCCTTTATTTACTGACACAGAGTGGTCCGAGTGCATTGCCAAAAATGTACTTATTAGCTAGAGTGTGTTCCTCTGCACTCCAATTAAACGGTACCACAAAAACCTCAATTTGCAAGACAATCCTAGTTAGAAGTCACAGCAAGTGTGCCCTGAGCCGCTTGTGCCAGAGACCTGCTCATCCATCATGCAGACTCTCTCTTTATTGTGCAGACATTGATGAATGTGATAATGATTACAATGGGGACTGCGTCCACGAGTGTACCAACATTCCCGGAAATTACCGATGCACCTGCTACGATGGCTTCAAGTTGGCACACGATGGGCACAACTGCTTAGGTAAGACTGCTTATTAACCAGCTGTGTACTCATTGCTGTGGCAATGGACTCGGCACTGTACAGTGCTCTTGCCGACTGCTGCACATTCTACAATACCACAAATGATTTCATCTGTTGAATGTATGTCACTATAAAGAGAAACATGTATATTTTCAAAAATTTCCTTTTATACCAGATTTAGATTTGTGAAATTTTTTTTTTTTTTAAATTCTCTTCTCCTAAAGCACCAACATATGTTGAGGTGCTGTACAACTTAATATTTGTTTATACTCCGTGTGGGTTTAGTTTGCAGACACCTCCACAGTAAAATAAGCGCTACGGAATCTGTTGGCACTATATAAATGGCAATAATAATAAAATAATAATATAATCAAATGTACACTTAAACAGCCTAAATTGCTGCAAAATCATTTTTGATTAACCGAGCTCAGATTTCCTGTAAGTGGAGTAAAATCTGTGCTGTGCCTGGTACAAATCACATGTTCCAATTTCTTATTTCTACAGAAAGCACAAGTTGGCACGTAGACATTTTAGACCTGTTTTTTTTCCCTATTTAGAAGATACAATATTTGATTATATATTAAAGTATCTGACGTATTTGTCTTTCCCAATTACAATAATCCAATTTATCAGAGTCTTAAATAGCCCAAAAAATACATGTTTGATAAGATTTCATCCCGATCCTTTTACTGTTTCCATGAATTTTTCCTTTAATCATTTAAATTCCATCACTCAGACCAGTTAATATCACACAGACCGATATGGCTGAGAGGCAATAATCAGAACACAACGGTCCAGGTATTGAGATTCTGACAATTACTCTCAGCTCTGCCTCTATTGTCAGGAGAATGCCACAATGGCCACCTGATGGGCTTTCAAGGCCCATCCCAAGTCAATTTCTTCACACTTGCGGAGAAAGCCCGGGCTGATGGCGTTAGTGACAGCAATAAACCTTAATGAGCTCACTCTCTTTGAAGACATCAATGAATAATATCCCTCTATTGTATCAGGCTCTGCTGAGCTGTAAAGGCCTGGCGGGGCCCAGCAGGGAGTCGCTGGCTTTGTTAAATGAAGTTAATTCTTACTGTGCATATTAAGGTGAAAAGCTAAGAATGGGGCCATTTCTCTGCCCTGCTAACCAGGTATGGCATCCTATTTAACCCCTGTGTGCCCTGCTGAGAACGCCATCATCAAAAATGGAAATTGATGTAAAATGGTATTGATATTAAACAGTTTAAAACAGATCAAATCTAATCATTCCAACAATATGCATCTAGTCTGTCCGTTAGGACATTTCAGCTACGTATCTAGTGAGCTCAAAGACACTAACACTCTCAAAAGTGAAAATGGTTGAGAAGTCCCCCTTGGGCCCAGAAACTCATGTTTCCATAACTATCCCAGAGTTCCCAGCTTCACATGCAAATGAGGCACTGTTTTCAGACCATCCGCAACTAGAATCCAGCCATGAACAGTAGTTTGTATCTTGTGGGTCTCATTAGTATGGTGCTAGTTCTAGTCTGGGAAGTTTTTGTTTTTTATTGCAGAATAACCTGATAATCAGCCCAATAATCCTTCTATTCCTTTACTGTATTATGTTTACAGCTTCCTCTGGATGTCTTTTCTAGATACCTATTACCCTTTCTGGAAAGCAGCAGTTCTTCACCTTATAATTCCTCAGATATCAATATTTATTTCATGCTCTGTTTTCTAGCTCCCCCTCTTTAAGAGCTCACTTTAGCAGACTGCGGATAGCAGGCTTTTTAGCATGTCTGAAGGCCCATTTGTTTTAAGGTCACATTTAATTTCCAAGTCTATCCTGGGCAATGCATGTAGGTTAGCAGAGCTGATGAATCTTTGCCCAGGTTTGTGTGAGCTTCCTTTTTTGGTCTGTGAAATGCGTCTGTCGTCGATATAAACCGTATTGCCTTTTGCCTTCTAGATGTGGACGAATGCCAGTCTAATAATGGTGGCTGCCAGCAAACCTGCATTAACAGCATGGGCAGCTACGAATGCCACTGCAGAAAAGGATTCTTCCTGAGTGACAATCAGCACACCTGCATCCAGCGTTCTGAAGGTAAGACTGGGGCTGGCTGAGATTGATGGGAGGTGGTGACTCTATTAATGGACTTTGCTTTAAAACATGTAGCTCTGTAGTATATTGTGTTACATTGTAATGCTGACTGTGTCTTAATGTGTGGACGCAGGCCTCTTGTAACGTGTCGGTGTGTCAGTACACATGTGTGATGGTCAGTGGTAAGGAGTAAAAGGTTTGGAGAGTCCCTGCTCAAACAAGCCTGCAATGAAGGCGAGGTTCAGTTGAACAGACGAGCATCCAGTAGAAAGGCCACTAGTCGTACGGTCTGTATACATACCAGGGCCATGTAACCAGACTCTGCTTGACATCTGAATTGGAGAAGATATATCTTGGGGAGATGGAAAGAGCCAGGGAAATATGGGTGGGAATATGAGATATGGATATTTAATTTAGGGATATATAGACCTGAGACCAGTATGCGATTGAGTTATGTAATGTTGGAAGGACTGAGTGCAGAGTTTTTTGTTTGTGTTTTGTATTTTTTTTTTTTTGTAAAACTTTTTAAAAAAAAATTTTTTTTAAAGAGAAATGTGGTTGGTTGGATGTGGGAGAGCTTATTTTTGTGCTAGAGGGTTAGGAGTGAAAATATATGGAGTTGGAAAGGAACCAAGGGTTGTGGGGTCAGTAGGAAACATTTTGCTAAATGCACATTAGAGAACCCTCTCTGGAGTTTATTAACCATTTAAACTAAACACATATGTACAATGTCTCGGTCAGTATGAAACCGTTTATCATTCTTGGATTTCAGTGCCATGCCTCTCGATCACCGAACTCCTTCATAAACACTGCCCCTCTACCTGTTCAACAGCCCTACACTTCACAGAGTGAGCAGGCTCAGAGGAATTTACTTTAGTTAACAAAAACGAAATGGTTAATTCTCGGAATGTTTTCCTAACGCCTCTCTATTCCTTGACAGATCACATTGCCCTTGTTAGCCCAGAAAAAAAAATTGTAAGAAAAGCAGTGGCGTTAATAAGGCTAATTTGTGATCGTCTCTGCTCGGTAGGTTTTTGATTGACAGCATAATGACCAATAGGAGCTTTCATGTTTTGTGTGTTTGGCTGGCTGGAGAATCATTGTCTGAGTGGATTTCTCCCTGTGGGAACGGAATCAAGAAGTCAGCGAAGCAGACTAATGGAGAGAGCTCTGTGTCAACCCCTTTGTTGACTAAAGTCTGTTTAATAAGTTAAGAATACTGAATAGTGTGTCAGCTTCTGCGTACTCTGGCCAAGAGCTTAATTAAGCACTGATTGAAATTTCACTTACTCTTCCCTTTCTTTTCTTTTATCTCGTTAAGTGGTTTATAATCACACTTAAACCTCTTCTACCATAAAAATGTTAAATGTTTGGCCTTTTCTTGCACAAGCTGTGCAGTTTTTAATGTTAACAAAAACGTCTCAAAATATCTAGCAGAGAAACGTGCAAATCATTGTCCTGACTTGCTCACATTACTATTACTAATTTATATAGCGCCAACTAATCCTACGTGCTGTACCATGGGCAAACAAGAGTCCAAATAAAATTAGGCACTATGGAAAAGAGACGGATCCTTCCTAAATGAGCTTCAATCTAAAGTGTGAATGATTCCACAGGTAGTACAGTGCAAAGTATCAAAAAGGGGAGAGAGAGAGAGGTGAGATGGGTAGACTGCTAGAGAAACCATAATTTATCTAGTAATTCATAAAGAAATGGGGAAGTCCAATTGATCATTGAGAGGAATTCTATGTTGCCCTAGAGTCGTCCAGAGAGGCTGGTTAGAAAAGATGAGTGGCTCGGCAGAGCTGTCAGGTTACAAGCACTGAGCCGATAATGGTCTTGCCGGGAGAATGTGTTATTAGGGTGTAGTAACTTAGATGCACAGAAGGAGCGCAGCACAGCCGTTTAAGCACAGGATAGCAGATGTAGGGTAAGATCTCTTCAACGTGCACGTTTTTACTAAAACAAACCAACAAGTCTCAAACTCTGCCACCTTATTGCATTTTACCAGCTCTGCTGGAAGGATATTCTTTGTATCTACAACTATGTCTGCAAATAATCTTTTCCGAATGATCTCTCTAAATTTCCCTCCCTCAAACTTTACCTAGTGTATTCTTGTTCTAACTTCACCCTTGAATGCTTTTGAAATCCCTTGATCTTTAATTTTTCCCTTTCAATTATTCATTCCCCTCCATCCCTTTCCCTCTCTAATCAATAGGGAAGCACTGAGAGTGTACACATGATGGAGCTGAGGTGTAATTTAGGAGTTCACATGGGGATACTGAAAATGAAGGACTCTCTGCATCATTTATAGTTGAGAAATGTCTTATGACGGCAGATAATTCCCCTTCTTGTATAATTCAGACTGCTTATTTTGTTCCTAGGGTACACTGTTCTTGCAGGCCTCACTTTTTTTTTTACTGGGGCAACAGCAAGGCGTGGGTCATTAGAGGAACAGCTGGGGCAGTAAAGATCCCTCCTGGGTCAGGGATCAGCTGGGAGATTAAACGGTACATGTGTAATTTAGAATAGTAGCTGGAGGCAGACGCTCTGTGCTTGATGGAGACGCCAAAGGGAGGGTTGGCCTTGGAGGGAGCAGGTGTCTTGCACAGAGAGCCTGGTTAGAATCCCAGAAAGACTGTGGTTTTGAAGGATAAACACTTACACAAAATAGCAGAATAAAAACCACTCGTTGGTAATTTACAACGAGGGATTGAATTCCACAAAAATAAGAGTTGCAGACGTTCAGGTTATATATGAGAGCTAGAGACTGAGAGTTCACGGTTAGAACCAGGTTCAGAAATCTAATCCGTTCACAGATGTAGTCCATTACTTTTTCCCCTTTTCTTTCCATTCATGGAAAATGCATTGTATATAAGGGTCCATCTAATATAGAGGTCAGCTACAGCTTCAGAAATGTTCCACCAGTTCTGACCGGGCCAGAGCTTAGTACCCACAAACCTCATGGGTGAAGAAAACAGACCCTTAAGCACTCATTCAGGAAGGCAGACGAGGAGGGCACTTTCTCCTTAACTACATGCTAGTCCTTATAGTGGTTTTTAAGTCAGTGGTGCCCTTATGCATATTCTCACTAGTCACTTAAAAGGACACTTCTATGCCCAAATACAAAAATATTAGTGCTTATTAGATATAACCTAAATGAAAACTTGCATGTATTTAATTATGCATTTTTTCTATTGGGCTGTAGGTCTAAAACCAGCTTGTAAAAGCTACAGATCTCTTTTCTGCAGCCATTGCAGCCCACCCCTTCTAGCCCCACCAGACTGTCTGTGACTGTCCAATCAGACTTCCAAATGCAGCTCAATGAGAAGTCTTTGCAAGGCAGGTGCTCTGAGCAGTTGCTGCCTCTTAAGTTTAACTCCACTGAGCAACCAAACCAAGAAGTAACAGGGCCAATTGTCTGACAGCCATGGGGTTTAACAAGGTTTTATAAAAGTGTCAGTTTTTATTAATACCTGCACTTTATGCAAAATGAGGAGGGGGGGGAGAGGGGAGAGGAGGAAGGGCATGATCTTTACACATAGAGCATCTCCGCAGCTACACAGATTTAGATATAGTGTCCCTTTAAACATGGATCATTTGGGATTCCCTCTATCTCTACCTATGTATCAGCACAGTTTATGAGAAAATAAGAGATTAAAATCGTTTAAGTCTTCCTTCATGTATCTCTACATTTATCTGAGTGGATAGTGAATTGGTGATATCTGTCTCGAAACGTGTAACGAGCTGAAAACACTGTATTCATTTAAAGGTGGATGTCCTTCTATGTCTTGGACAGGTTGGTATGTACGTTGATATCTCCATCTCCTTTGTCTTAATCCAGCTTGATACCTCATTCTGCCTTAATGCAACATCTCCACCTACTTCGATCCATCTTATTTATCCCCATTTACCTTGTCCACATATATTTCCATTAACCTCGGTATGTAAATCTACCACAATGTCCCTTTCTTTATCCAACTTGATATGTCCATTGTCTTCCTCTTCTTAATTCTATCCGTCATCTTCTGGCCATCAGATTTATTTCTCAAAGTCCAGAAACCCCTCACTATCATGGTAGTGGCCTTGCCTGTCTATTGGTTTAATGGATGGATTTCTAGTACTGCACACAGCTTTTAGTGAGAGCTCTGTTTACATATAACTCTGTTAATTCACAGGTTTTGTGATGATTTTGAGCAACAGACAAATCCCTAAGAGATATAATGCGTCCATTTCCACCAAGTCCATCCCACACATTTATTAATTCTTACTTGCAGAAGTCTTGAAAACCTCAATACTGGCATTTGAATAAAACAATCTGGACCCTCTGTCCATCTCTCCTTAGGATTCTAGAATTTTGGTGACCTGTGCTCTCTCCAGTTCATGAAGTCTTTACCATCACTAAGAAAAACTTTTTAAATGCTGAACTTGTAACCCTATGACTCAGGATTGCCAATTCTCCCACCCCCCCCCTCCACCCCCCCCAAAAAAAAACTGATCCAGAAATGTTGTGGAAGATATTTAAGAAGCCGGAGTCTTTTTTACAATCTGCTAAGGCTCTGTGTTAAGTTCTTTTAATTACTCGTTTTGGCGTGATGGTTGAACGCCCCCAAGAAATCTGTTTTCTTAAGCAGAATTTGAGTAGTTCAGAAAAAAAGTGTATTATTAATGGCCGCATTACCCGCATTTTCTGGTATCACACCGTATTTACTTTGGATGCTTTTGAAGCCAACATCAACTTCTCCTCGTTTCGAGCTTTATGGCCTGTGGTCATCCCTAAAAACAGAAGGTCAATAAAATAAACCATCCGAGCAGATTCAGAGACGTCTAAATTATCACAAGGTTTCAAGTGTCTGACTACCAGTTTCACTTTTCTCTCCTTATTGGCAGCAAAAGTGTTTCTTACAATTAAAGGATCACCTTTCGTGTCGGTCTGGACAAACGTGCAAATTATATAGACGGATCAGTCTTCTTCCAAATTTCACAGTATCTTCGTTACATTTATTCTGGCCTTGGAGCAGACTAAATAAGGTCCAAACCAGCAGTTTTTAAAGTGTTTTTTTTTTTTGTTTTTTTTTATCTGTAAAGCAGAAAAATACATAAAAACCCTAAATCACAACTCAAACAATAAGCAGAATGTCTCTTTGTAGTTTAATTCATGTTGGGCCAACAAGGTTAGTCAGCATGGCGGTCCAGTGATGGAATTGGGCGTTTAAAAATAGATTTAAGTAGTAGGGTTTTTTTTTTTTTTTTGTATATATAAATATATAGCTTTATTTCCTTATGTATTGTCATTAGTTTTGCTTTTGAAAGGGCACATACAAGGCACTGTATGCAAATTATCATATCTTCCCCATGTTCCTGTTTATATAAGTAAAATATTATATATTTTATATTGTAGTATTTATATAAGTAAAACATTGCCCTCTGCATTTTGTGGAATTTTTTAAAAAAGTTCCAGCTGTTCCCTGAAGTTGTATACCAGCGGAAAAAATACGATTTGTCAGACTATAGTTTTATTTTAAAAAAATTAAAAATTGGGCCAATGACAAACAAAATAATTTCTTTTATGTTCCGATTCACAAATATTCTTATCTAAAACATGACAGCTTCACTTTGAACATGTTACAGATTTTTGGGAAGTGTGTACAATCATTGCATGTTTCTATGAAGTGGAAATTTTATCTGGGTAGAATACAGAACTGCTGCAGAGTGTAGCACTGGCCCAGGCAATGGTCAGCAATCTCGCTGCAAGTAAACAAGTCATCAATCTGTGCGGGGCATCTTGTGAAACAATTTGTTGGAAGCCAGAAGAGAAGTCTTAATGCGAAGCGCGAGGCTTATTCTGTTCTGTAATGAGACATGAGATCCTGGCATGTAAATTGCTGGCAGATTTATTGGTGAAACTGCGCAAAACAAAGGACGTTTTTACGATGGCTTAGGGTAAAGCCCCCATTGGGTTACATGATGGCAGTAGTCCGTGACTGGCCATCCGATGAGTCTGAGTTGTCCCAGTGACTGCTAAACAATGCTGCTTTTATGCTTTCCTACAAAACCAACCAACACTGCTTTAACCTCCTATGTTCCACTGCGTAACCTTTAAGAAGATTTGTTGAAATTTTAGAATTCTTAAAGGTTCCCTATTTATGATGATGCATTTAGAAAGAGATCCTAAATAAATAGCAAAAACACTTGACTCTTACTATTTCAGCAAATCTGCAGCAGATTCAACTGGTTGAGATTCCTCAGCTGGCCTTGTACTCTTATAGTTACCATTTAGAATGCTGTTCATATTGCATAAAATCCCTTCAATTTAGGTTTATGAGCTATGTAATCCTGTAGTTGACAGTAGCTACTTTCATGAAAATACATTAAAGGGACACTATAGTCACCAGAAAAACTATAGCTTAATGTAGTTGTTCTGGTGAGTATAATCATTGCCTTTAGGCATTTTCATGCAAACACTGCCTTTTCGGAGAAAAGACAGTGTTTACATTGCCCCTGGGGACACCAAGTGGCCACTCCTCAGATGGCCACTGGAGGTGCTTCCTGGCTCAGTGCTGTACAGTAGGCAGCAGTGCCGTTCAGCGTCTCCACACTCTGCATGGGGACGCTAAATTTTCCTCATAGAGATTCAATACATCTCTATGAGGAGGTGTTGATTGGCCAAAACGGCGTTTGCCCCTGCCCCCTTGCAGATTTTGGCCAATCCAATGTTTTCCCCAGTGGAAAGCATTGGATTAGCTAAAAATCGGCAATGCTGATGATGTCACCAAGGGGCCGCAGCCAGTGCCGGCGGACCCGCACGGCGCTTGAAATAAGGTGATTTTTTTTCATGCTTTTAAAGGGGGGTAAGGGGGAGCAAGCCACTATAGCACTATAGGGTCAGGAATACATGTTTGTGTTCCTTTAACTGAATTTGCTCATCAAGCAAATCAAAACTACAATGAAGCTTGGGTTAGGATTCTAAACACCTTAATGCATGTGTGTGGTGTGTTTGGTTTGGTTTGTTTTTTTTAATTCTGAATGAAGGTAATTTTGCACTGTGTATTGGAGCAGTGTCTGCACAGGCTTGTCCATAGAAATCTAGGAGAGCATTTGTCACTTACATTTTGTACATTCATGTGCCATGTTTGCATATAAGTGCTTGTACAAGCAGGGGAAGCATGGCTACCTTTTTAATTTAATGCCATTATAATTAACAGGTTTGGGTGCTACTTAATTCGTAGCCTGTGCAAGGGGCTGTAGTTGTTAATGACTGTCCTTTTTAATGGGAAATTTACTGGTGTGGTGATCTAGTGATTGATCACTTTGATCAGACTTTCATTCATTTTGTTTCTAGGAGTCTGAGTTCCTAGTCATGGCAAAAAAAACAACAATTAAAATCTTCAGGTAGGGGTATTCTTTCACAATTTTCTTCTATTAAATCCTGCTTTTCTACAAGTATGGCAAGTTGATAAAAGCAGCCTTTTTTTGCTGTCATGCAACTATTTTTTTTATAAAGCACAGAAAACTGCATACTTTTGTTGAGTATTTTAGGAATACTGAAGTGTTAGCTGACTTTCAGCACTCTGGCAATGAGATGGTTAAACTGAATGGGATCGGTTTTCACTCATGCTATCCTGTGTTTTTTTTTGTTTTTTTTTTAGAAGGACTGAGTTGTATGAACAAGGATCACGGATGCGCGCAGATCTGCAGGGAAGCCCCTCGCGTTGGCGTATCGTGTGATTGTCGACCTGGATTTGAACTGGCAAAAAATCTACGAGATTGCATCTGTAAGTATAAAATCTTGTAAGTCAGACCTGGTGGCATTGAGCTAGTTAATGTTACAGGTGTGTAGTGCTTGCCTGTAAGCATTGTTTCATTATTCACAGATTGGCAGATTCCCTCTATTCAACAGTTTCTGGGAATTAATAAGTGTTGTAATGACCTGGTTAGTTTATCATTTCTTGGGTCATCAATGGTCTTCCCTAACCTCCCTGTGACTCCTTCAAAAGCCTGAACACACAGAGTAAAATTACTCTTTGATGATAAATTTAGTGCAGTTTAAGTAATATTGAAAGTCTGCCAAATGTTTGTAGCATCCTACTTTAAACATGAAAATATACACATTGCTAAACACATGTCAAAGTACATGCTACCTCTAGCTGTGCCAGTGGCGGATCCAGAGCCTGATCTCGGGAGGGGCACTTGTAGATTATTTAAAGAAATAATCCAGACACAATAACCACTACAGCTCAGTGTAGTGGTTATGGTGTCAATAGTGCCGGGACCCCCTCCCACAGTAAGTAGTCAAACCGTTTAAGAACAGTTTGACAACTTACCTGAGATCTGCTGGGAAATGGGGCTGTAGTAGGGCATAGGAGCAGTGGTGTGTGTGTGAGTGGTGCAATGTGTAAGGGGTGCAGTGTGTGTGTGTGTGAAGGTTGTAGTGTGTGAGTGAGGGCTGCAGTGTATGTGTGGGACAGTATGCGTGTGTGTAACAGTTGCAGTGTGTGTGTATGGGGGGGGCAGTATGTGTGTATGGGGGGCAATGTATGTGTGTGGCTTTTTTTTTATTTTTATATAATATTTTTTATTTAATTAAAATAAATATCCTTCTTACCTTTACTGGGGAGGAGGGGGGACATATTTCGATCCCTGGTGGTCCGGTGGGGAATCCCTGGTGGTCCAGTGGGGAATCCCTGGTGGTCCAGTGTGGAGAGTGAACTCTAGCCCGCGCTCCAGGAGAGGAGGACCCGGAGGAGCCGCAGCCTGAGCACCCGGGTCCTCTCTCCTCCCTCTCCCTCCCCTGCCGGCTGTAAGCACAGTGCCTGCGGACCGGGGAGGGAGATCTCTGATCTCCCCTCCGGTCAGCAGGCACATTGCAGGGCTAGCACCTGCATGTGCTGACAGGGGAGAGGGGAGGGGAGGGCAGATCCGCCACTGAGCTGTGCTGGGGTACATCTCTTCCAGAGTTTGCATTTGTTATCTAGATGGGATACTGCAGTACATGTTTAACCAGTTTCTAAATTGTTCTATATTGTGGCACCAATAAGCTGACCAGTTAGCCTTATTAAGCTGATCTCCGCCATGGAGGATTGGGAGAGGGATGGGGGCGGCATGACGGAGGAGGATTGGGAGAGGGATGGGGGCGGCATGATGGAGGAGGATTGGGAGAGGGATGGGGGCGGTATGATGGAGGATTGGGAGAGGGATGGGGGCATGACGGAGGATTGGGAGAGGGATGGGGCTGCATGTGGGAGGAGGATTGAGAGGGATGGGGGCATGGAGGAGGATTGGGAGAGGGATGGGGGCTGACAGGAGGAGGATTGGGAGGGAGGAGGGGGCGGCGGAGGAGGATTGGGAGAGGGATAGAGGCTGTGGAGGAGGACGATGAGGCTATAGGAGGAGGATTGGAGGAGGGATGGGGGCGGTATGGAGGAGGGATGGGAGGAGGAGGCGGAGGAGGATTGGGAGAGGATGAGGCGAGGAGGATTGAGGAGGAGGATTGGGAGGGATGGGGCCATGGGGCGGAGGAGGATTGGGAGGAGAGGATGATGGAGGCGGTATGATGGAGGAGGATTGGGAGAGGGTATTATGGAGGATTGGGAGAGGGGTGGGGGCGGTATGAAGGAGGAAGATATGTTGATTAAGAGCAATGCATTAATGGGAAGAACAGCTATAAAGAAGTGGTGTAGACTGACGCAGGGAGATGAAGATTGGGATGGGAGCGCTACAATGGAGTGGGATGGGGAAGGGTGATGCGAAGGATGGAAAAATAATTAAAAAATATATATATTCCTGACGCTTTTAGTTTTATGTAATACATGTCTGTTACAGGGGACATAAATCCCCATTAACACTATGCCTTGGGCAAGATCCCATGTAAAGCAGAGTAGTTGCTTGGAAGGCAATGGAATCTCAAACAGAACACAAAAATGAATTCATAATCTTAATGTTTGTTTCTTTGTAAGGCGATTTATTCACTTATTAATTTACCTTTTTATTTATTCACAGTAGCAATGGGGAATGTTTAATTTATGCCTTTTTTATAGATTTTTGCAAATTCTTTATAACCATCCAAACTCCAACTGTTTAGTGAATATTGTGCAGGAAACCTGGATATTTAGTGACTACATTTAATAATTACAAGCAATTTTAGGTTTTTGTGTCGTTCCCCCCCCCCCCCACAGTTTGTGCACTAACATGCTTATACCACTGTAAAGTATAGCTCATAAATGTTTGTTTGAGAGAGAACACCAGTTTTTCTCTTAAAATGCAGTTTGAGATTGCAGTTACAGAGCAGTCCCGAACCTTCCAGTCCAACAAGGATTCCATGTTGAAGTTGACTTTTTTTGTAAAAAAAAATTTTTTTAAAGTGCTTGGGAAATAGCCTTGTCCTTTGGGAAAGACGTTGAAATTAAATAAACAACGTTTTGGGTCAGAGAATGTGTTCCATCAATTTAGTGAGGCGAAGGGTCAGGGAGAAGGGCCCATCTCAAGTTTCTCCATAATGAAGGTACAAGACAGATCATTAAAGGGCTGGCTCTGTGACACTGCTTATATTGCAAGAACAACATACATTTTTCGTATTCTGCTCCTTGAGAAACAGAAAGGGAGAATGTTACTGTCAAAACAGCAAGGGCGAGTGATTCCCTTAAAGCAAACACTCCGTGCAAGTAGTCAGGGTAATGAGGTACTTGCTGAATCCATCACACGTTGGCTTCAAATAAATCTTTCATGGGACTTTTCAAAGAACTTAAAGCCACTCTGGGTATGGCGTGTGCTGGCTTGGTGCCTCTCTGGGTATGCTGGCTTGAAGGGATTTTATTTATTTTATTTGGGCAGTGCAGTGTTTAACGCCACTCTTGGTACAGTGTGTTGGCTTAATGCCACTCTGGGTATGGAGTGTTGGCTTAACACAACAGATAATTAATGATTATACTTTTGATAGATGGCTGCAGAAATCTTTTAGTAGCATCAAATATTTTAATGGCAATTTTTTCCCCCCCCCCAGTAACCTGTAACCATGGAAATGGAGGATGTCAGCACATATGTAATGACACAGACACGGGTCCTGTTTGTTCCTGTCACCCAAAGTATACTATGCATCCCAATGGAAAGTCCTGCATCGGTGAGGAGTCCTACCCTGTATAAAGCTTCTCTATTGCATTTATTTATTCTTACTCTCTATGTACAAATTCTAAATTGTAGAGGTTAGACCAGTTTTCTTCTCTCAGCCTTCGTAAATGTTAATAGAAATCCGCTATTTAAGAGTAAACGGAGTAAGAACTTCATCGGACTTTGTGTTTGAACTCCTCAGGGGCCGTAGATTGCTCATGCTAAAACTTAATGAAGACTGCGGTTTTCAGCTGAATCACCTGGGGCATGACATTACTGAACGATTGTGGCTCTGGTTGGTTGAATGGGGCAAATTCACCCAGCTACGTCCACTTAGTCCTTCCTGAGCTGGGTCCAATTTAGTTAGTGTGAAAATAAAGACCACCATGTAGAACATTTATCTTACCCAAAGACCATGCATCACCATAAAGTGTTTGTAGGATCAGCTTTGGGATAAACCAGCATGGACTTAATTGTCCCATTTTTGTTTTTCTGTTTCAGAGAAAGAGGATTTAGAGAGTAACTCCACTGCTGTAGCTGATGTGGACAAAAGGGTTAAAAGGCGACTGGTAATGGGTGAGGAACACTAAAGCTTACTGGTCAGATAGGATTGTTGAATGTATTCACTTTTTTATAGGAAAGCCATTCGGCACAGGATGCCGTACTGGCGCGGATTAAATGCTCACACTCTGGGTTTGTTATAAAGAATGATTCTGTAGCAAAATGCCAAGTGAATCAATAACCGGGAATATTCCATTGGTTTACAAGGCGACAGTTTCTCTTTATTATAAACCCTAATGTGTTTTACAGTAATTTTTAGTATTTACATGATTTGCATGAATTATCATAAATCTCCTTTCCCACTCTATTTTGATTAGCATACACCGTTTAAACATTCATCACCGTACTATGAAACCTATTCTGTCTGCAATAGCCTTTTAGGGTGAAACTCCCAAAGACTTGTGCATAACATTCATCTGTGTATAATCTTCTTTCTGTAAATTTGTTGTAGAAACATGCGCGGTGAATAATGGTGGGTGTGACCGCACCTGCCGAGACACATCAACAGGTGTTCGCTGTAGCTGTCCCGTGGGTTTTACCCTACAATTTGATGGGAAAACGTGCAAAGGTAAACGCAAACTTCCAGTCCTGTATAGCCTTTACTGAAATCCACCTTAAGATGATATAGGTTTTCTGTCTAAAACTGCCCTTAGAACATTACTTGTCTGTTTTGTGTTTGTTTCTGTGTTGTTTTTTTAGAGATAGGATTTATACAGTAAAGTGAGATTTGTGGAAATCTAGACTGGGGACTTTATTCACAGATCTGTAAGATACAGCAGTCTCAGAACCAAGCTACAGAATTACCGTAACTTATGCTGAAATAGAAAATATTTCAAATAATGCTGATTTAGGGATTTTTCTCTTATTTTAAATTTGTCAATGAAAAAAACCCTTATCTGATTTGATTGCTCTTTTGACCAATCGGCTGTTTGGACATTTTTTCTGTAGTTTTAATAGCTAAAATATTCGTAAAATTCCCCAAGCCTTTCGTAAAATTCCCCAAGCCTTTTTTTTTTTTTTTTTTTGCTGCAAGAACTACATCGTTAATAAACTGAAGATACTGAAATTAACGATGTAGTTCTTGCAGCAAAAAAAAAAAAAGAATGAACAGAATGAATACGTTAATATACTGAAATTAACTTATTCATTCTGTTCATTCTTCTTTTTTTTTTTTTTAAATAATCGACTAAGTTTGATGCTGTCTGTTTTGGCAAACCATGATCTTAGCAAATGAACCCTTAAAGGACCACTTTAGTGCCAGGAAAGCATACTCGTTTTCCTGGCACTATAGTGCCCTGAGGGGTTCCCCTCCCGCCTCCTCTCCTCCCTCTTCTCCTCCTCTTCGGCTGAATGCGCTTGCGCGGCAGGAGCCGCGCGCACTTTCAGCCAGTCCATAGGAAAGCATTCACAATGCTTTACCTATGGACGCTGGCGTCTTCTCACTGTGATTTTCACAGTGAGAAACGCGGAAGCCCTCTAGCAGTTGTCAGTGAGACAGCCACTAGAGGCTGGATTAACCCTATTATAAACATAGCAGTTTCTCTGAAACTGCTATGTTTATCGAACAAAGGGTTAACCCTAGATAGACCAGGCACCCAGACCACCTCATTAAGCTGAAGTGGTCTGGGTGCCTATAGTGGTCCTTTAAGTACGGAAGTAATTCCTAGTTCTCCATTCTCTTGTAAACACAGTTCTCATTAACCTATTGTCCTTGTCAAAAGTGTTATTTTTATAGTTTGTTATTGTTATGGTTTTCTTATTTAATTAAAATCCCTCATTTATGATTTTGTGAAGCGCTATATATTTGCCAATAATCTTTTGACACAGAGAATTATGTAGGCAAGCTTTATTAAAGCCAAACTGTTTTTGAAATCCCCACCCCCCAGTTTTCGTTATCTCACTGTGTAGCTGAAATGAATGTTTTTTTTTTATTAATCGTGTTGTATATCTAAAACAAATAGATATACATGCACAAAAACATTAAACTCCAAAGAACCAGACAATCACAGAATTGAATTGGATTTGAACTAGTTTAACACTATATGTACGAACAGAAATTAATGTCCTTATTATCTAGTGCTACATTTAGTGGGGATGAGACTGCGGACATGCTTGGGTGGGTGGGAGGCTTGGCACAAGAGGAACATTGTAGAAAGATCTTCGCTCAGAGGAAATGTTTGTTCTTTACTTTTGAGGAAATGTCGCTGATTTCGCTCTGTTTTGGGGCAGATATTGACGAATGCCAGAACAGTAATGGCGGATGTGAACATTTCTGCAAAAACACAGTTGGGAGTTTTGATTGTAGCTGCAAACCTGGCTTCAAATTGCTGACAGATGAGAAGTCATGCCAAGGTAAGTTTCTAATTGCCAGCCATTCCATGAATGACAGAGAACTGCGGCTAAATAGGAAAAGGACTGATTCTAGTGCTTCATATAATGACCCGTAATCAAAGCAACATTAACACATTCAGGTCTTTGTACAGAGGGCAGCTGTAGCCCCCATCCTGCACAAACATTCTTAAACATTAACCAATAAGGCTATCTATTTATACCTACTGCTCTGTTCTTTTTGTGGGGGACTTTTCTCTCTTTTTGGGGAAAGGAGCTTATTTTTAAATCTTTTAGTAAATGGAGTCACTAACCTGGGAATTGTAGAGAGTTGGAGTATATCCAGTTCAGTAAATTTGACCTAAAATTTGTTCTTTGACTCAATCCACCACAATGATCTATTACGTTATTAAATGTGTACATTAAAGCAATGTTTGTAAGAAAGAACAAGATTAAATGCTAGCATTTTCCTACAAACCGTAATAACTCAATAGAACCTTTGCAACAATATAACGTGACTAAACGGAACAACTGGACCAATTTAAATATTCCCAGTAATAACCAAATGTAATAACTGGAACCATGTCATATTTCTGGGGATTGGTGTTAGAAGAACTGATTTCACTTTACTACCCACTTACATTTTGCTCTGTGCAGCCCCCCTTGGTTTTTAAGATGAAATAATCTGTTTTTGTTTGTTCCTCTTACCCTCAATAAATTACAGATGTTGATGAATGTTCCTTTGAGAGGACGTGTGATCATACCTGCACCAACCTTCCTGGATCCTTTACATGCACATGTGACAAAGGATACAGTCTTTATGGCTTAACACACTGTGGAGGTACGTACAACTAAGGCTTCTGCGCTGTGCCATTCACAGGCTCCGTTATCTCGCACTGCACAGACTAATTCTGTCTCAGCCACCTTGCATTACATAGGGCCACTCCTTGCGCTGCGCACATCCACTGGCAGGCTCTGCCACCTTGCGCTGAGCCAATCCACTGGCAGGCTCTGCCACCTTGCGCTGAGCCAATCCACTGGCAGGCTCTGCCACCTTGAGCTGAGCCAATCCACTGGCAGGCTCTGCCACCTTGCGCTGTGCACATCCACTGGCAGGCTCTGCCACCTCACAAGGCCCCACTTACTGGTTCTGTCACTGTATAATATGTTGATAATTCATTGGGCTATACTTACACTGGCACTCTGAGATGAAATGATTTTAATGACCGTTATGCATATTCAGTATAATGTTGTAATGTTCGCCTCTCGTCCAGCTAGACATGCTGCCACTCAGGGCATTAGTTGCTATTTCTGTCTGTCTGTGTTAGCCATGTTTGTGCAGTACAGCATACACTGGGCCTATTATAGGAGCGATGAACTTTGCCATTCGTAGGAAGAGATGATTTGACACCTGAAAGCGAAATGTAGAGTTTATTTTCCGACTGACATGAGATCCCACAGACGCGTCCACTCCTTGTCCTGATATTCGTCGTTCGCAACTCGAGGATTTCAACAAACTCAATCATCCGACGGCAGGGCAAGGGACTCTGTGCTTTTAACGCACCAAATCACATCATTCTCCAACACAAGACTCAATTCAATCACATTTCTAAATGGCTTCATAAAAGTTTTCAACCTCTTTTTTTCTTTTTTTTTTTTTTTTGTTTTTTTGTTTTTTAATCTATTGATACAACTTTACATTTTTGTGACTTTTTTTTTTTTTTAATTCTCTGCTAAAACTGTTTGTTTTATATTTGGATTATACTGAGTAATAACTATAGGCATTAGTGTAAAAATCCTGCACAAACTGCAATAAAAATGGGTGGGTAAAATAGCCACTTAAAATTAAATTACTTGAAATTGTAAGCTGTAGATAAAAGCCATTTGGTCCATCTTGCCTCCAATTTTCAATACAAAACCAGGCTTTCTCCTAAATTTTGTTTCACTTTCAGCACAACGATGTGACCATCCCAGGTGTTCTTCAACTCTTTCATTGTGTCAGTATTTACCACATCTGCAGAGAGCAGATTCCAGTTTATCTAATGTTTTCTAAAAAGTTATTTCCTAATCTTCCATACAAAACTGTGTGGGGTTTATTCACTAAATTCTGAACTGCAACAAATTAAAAGCTAAAATAGCTGATATTGAATAATTCTCCAACATAGGCGAGATTTAGACCCACTCCTGCCATTCGATTTCAAGTCAATACTGCTGCTTAAAGGATGTAGGAAATATGCCAGAAGAGAGAGCTGGAATATTTTAGTAAGGGGCAGAAGAAGAGCGTGCGAGTGAGATGTGAGGGCATAGAATCAAGGGAACACGTGGTGGGGCTGGTGGACCGAAGCAGTTCCTTCCAAGCCTGAGGCAGGAAACTGGTTGTGGGAGAGATATCGGGGACAGATAGGCCTGCAATAAAGCTATGGAATGGTGAGATGCACAAATGAGGCGATGGTTAGTCAAGCAAAAACAAACATTCGGGTAGGTATCAACAAGATATCTTGATAATGTCCTCCATAAGGCTGCCGTTTTCTTGTGGCGGTAAATCAGCTGTTGGAGCTGTAAGTTCTGCTCAGGTCATGCCAATGGCGCCATGCATATGATTGTGGTATGAGATACACAAAACTGATTTATTAGTTTGTTTGTTTTTATTTTTCCTTACCTGTCGTATGTTGACAATTGATTTTTCAACGCATTTCTGTTTCATAGATATTAATGAATGCAGCATAAACAATGGCAGCTGCGGGCACCTCTGCGTTAACACGATGGGAGACTACTACTGCCAGTGCCCGCCGAAATACAAGCTCCACTGGAATGGCAAGGATTGCGTTGGTAAGATGCCTAACCCGATGGCGCCTGACTGTGCCACCTGTACATTTTACCCCTATGAGTTCAAGAAATCTTGGCAAGATGTTTGAAATAACTGGTCATACCCTGGTTCTTGGAATTTATCCCCTTCATAACAGAGAAAACCACAGGAATGTCTTTTCATAGGATTTGTTTGACACCTTGTCATGAAGGGGTTAAATAACATATCTGCTTATATTAAGACATGAATTGTCCTCAAACTTTACAGTGCCAGTGTCCTATATAAGGCACTGGAGAGACAGATGTAAATTGGGTTCAGACTTTTTTTTTTTTTTGGAAGCTGAAGGGTTAATGGTCAGTACGTATAGATTTGTTTTCAATAACTGGTAGAAAACAGGAGATACATTATCTTTGCAATTGTTCTTCTTCTGTGTTTAACAAACGCTGCATGTGATACTTTTACTAGATGTGTGATGCGTGCTGTTTTAACACATTATTCGCTGTGTATGGGAGCATGAGATCCGCCCCTTGAGTAACACGCATGTTTAAAATACTGCAAAACTGCAATTTATTGGCATGCTTTTATAAAATAGATATGAAGAGTGGTTTCAATTTTTTTTATTTATTTTTTTTTATCAACTTGGTGTAATGTTTTTTGTGAACAAGCGCCCCAAGGATTGATTGTAAATGCTGGTTTTGTATCCAAGTTGGTTTTAAGGTGGAACAAGATGTTTTCACTGTTAATTGTTTTCTGAATAGTGCAATTCTCAAAGGGAATTCTGCATTTAAAGGGGCAGTAAATATCACATATTGAATCTTTACCAGATTGCAAAATACTGATTAATAATCCTTACTTGGTATAAACATTGCAGATCTGGTGGCACAGGCAGAAATCAATTAACACATTTAAATCATAAAGTGTTCATTTTTTTTTTATACTGAAAATGGAATATTAGATATTTATTTCACTTTGATAATTGATTAGACTCATACACTCTTAACTGTCCCGTTAACACATAACTTTGTATGGCCCTTAAAGGGGGAAAAATAAGTGTTATGTTGTGTTTTTTCATTCGTTGAATTCTGAATGTGAGGACAAGGCATAACGGATGTGACACAGATGCAGGTGAGTTTTCTGTGCAATTTATTTTAAGCAAAGAGAACAATTTGTGTTTAAGAATGTGTAATGGCTGACACAGGAGAACGCCGTAGATTTGCAGAATTGTGTTTTGTCTTTTTTAGTACTGTGTGGCAGTTTGTATGTTGTGGTTTTGTGAGGTTCATGGTGTGTTTTATTGTATATTGTATAAATGTGTGCTATTTGGAGAAATGTTTTATGCTAATTAGGATTTACATTAACTTTGCTAAAATTGCATAATAAAATTAATAAGCAAACCATAATTTAGATAAAGGAAGCTGAATAGAATCCTGGTCTTATCAAAATATGAATAGTAATCCATGGCCTATAGGACTATTGAATCATGGCCAAAGTGACTGCTTAATTATAGGTAAGGGGTCAACCTTACTATGGTCAAGTGGATTGCTGAACAATGATTAAAATGGGCAAAAAGACTGTTGGGCTATTGATTGATGGTCTAATGAACAATGACCAGTGGGACTTCATAATAATGGCAAAAGACCATGTTATGACATCAAATACTTAATATTTACCATGGGGACACATGAGCAGTGAACAAAAAACTCAAGGATGTTCTCTAAATGGATTACTGGACAATGGCCAAGGCAACTAATGAACAATAATCAAAGAACCTGTACACCATGGCTAAGGGGAGCTGGACTGTTAATGGCCAAATAATCATTAAATAATTATCAAATATGGACTACCGGTGAATGACCAAATGGACTATTTCACAGTGTTTTAAATTATTGAAAAATATCCAAGTGGTCCACTGAACTTAAGATAAACTAATAAACCAAGGTGAACAGAACTTATAGACCACTGGATCATTATTTAAAGGTCCTCCGAGTCTACTAGACAATGGATAAAGAGATCAGTTGAATCATGTGATTACTCAACATTATAACAACTAATGACAACACTGCTGACCTATAGTTTGAATTCCATTGATGGTGTTCTAATTTTTTTTTTTAATTTTTTTTTTTTTTTTTTTTTACAATTTTGCTTACTCTGATGGTTTTATGTCTCAGGGGACCATGCTCACTCTGGTTTTTCCTTGTCTTTTGTTCCTTGCTCCTGGTGGTTTTTTTTTATCACCTGTCATCTATCATTATGTCACTATAGTTTCAATAACAATTAAAAAAAATTAATTAATTTTTTTTTTTATTTTTTTTTTAAAGTGCTATGACTGATGTATATCCATATGGACTAGTGCACAGTCACATTTTGGCTTCCACTATGTCAAGATCAAATCCTAAAGTACAGAATTTTTATATTTTATGCCAAGACACCTGGTCAAATGCCTTATTGTGCTAATAGTCACAGATAAAAGTCTAAATGATTGGTAACTGAGCTACTAAGCAAACTGTCGGAGCTCCGGACAGATAATGCAACATCTTTCTGATACCATAAACTAAAACTGATTGAGGCGCTGAGATCCGGTGACTGACACCATAAAATTAAATGGCCATTAGATCTGTGTATTAATGACACCACAAACAAAATGTTAAGACATTTGCTTGCAACTAGAAAGTGCTGGAACCGTACAGTAAGAAGATGCAGATCCGTATTAACTGAACGTGTTGTACGGTGCTTTACCCAACAGTGCAAAATGCCTTTTTTCTAAATTGTCCTGTAGCTAGACGGGGTTTACCAGCAGTTCAGTTATAATTAATAATGATTTCAAATAGAAGCTAAATGTCAGGATACTGGCGTTTAAGTTCTCAATGTGCAGTCAATGGCTCAGTGTCTGCAACGTCCTTGTGTTAAGGCTGCTGTGCGTTTGGGTTTGTACATTGCTGGAATAATTAATATAATTAGGACAATTAATGTCCTAATGATGTAAAATGAAAGGATAAACTGGATCATTTAGAATGCAATGCAAGTCTAGGAGAGTTGCTCAAATAAAGAGCCTTACAAACCAATGATCTGTAATGTTTTTAATCTGTTCAGAGGCCGAGAGATTCCCGCCAGACAATGTGGCTCCCAAAATTTCCCTTCATTGCATTAAGAATGGCGGAATAGAACGGTGCTTCCTCAATTGCCAGTCTGATATCTATTCTGTTCCTGGTGAGTACAGCTCCATGTGGCATGACCTGGGCAGTCTGATAACGCTATGCAAGACTTTTTTTAGGTTTTCTCATTGCCTTATACAAAGTGTAATCAATGATAAAATCATTAAGAAGAAATCCAGAATCATGTGAGGGGAAATAATTATTTGGGCTTCCCATGCTTTTTGGACTTCCATATTCTGCTTATTTAGCCCTGTAGTTAACAAATGCCAACTTCTAAGGCGTGAATTATTTTATGAAATGTAAAATTCACACCTTTTTTATCCTGTATCTGGGCACCTCCTACTTGGCTCCCTCTCAGTCACTGTTATAAGCTGGCAGTTAGCATAGAGAGAGCATGCAGAGTGGAGGAGTAATGAAACAATGTTTCAATTTCGCCTTTTCATTTGCAATGTGTGCCTTGGCTGTGCCTTGTCTGAACTGGATTGTGATGTCATTTGTTAAAATCTTTAATAAATCTTTAATATAAATTTAAACAAAAACCAAACCTCCTCAGAAATAAGGCCAGCACAAGTTACATAACCTGTTCTAATGATTAATTTAAAGGCGTTAATTCCAGAGAAATGTCTGTTTCCCTTTAAAACATTTATTAATTTGGGAAGCATGCTAATGCAAAGTTATTAGTGTTTATTTCAAAGCACTCTCTTTAAGTTAGAGCCTACTCTCTTCTTATTGTCTGCTGAGATTTCATTTAACCAACAGGAAACCCTTGGTGAAACAGAACAATTTAGTGTAGTCATCCACTGCTTTTTAGTTCCATGATTAACAGTCAATGAATGTCTAGACAAGGAAGAGGGTTGGATGTCCATTTCACACATTTTTATTGTTCATAAATATATTTTGCTTCCTTTAACAGGATTACAGGATTCATATACAATTACCTGCGGATCTCCTGCTTCACTCAACACGAAACCTACGAGAAACGAGACACTTGGACCAGGTGACAATATAAATTATTTGTCTTATTTAAAAGTGTGTTTTAGAAAGAAATGTGACACATGATGAGCAGTCTAATTACATACACAAAAGTTCAGAAATTCTGGGACAAAATTATAAAATTTCGATCGACTAAAAGGAACATTAACTTTGTTTCCCAGATGATAGATGCACTTCACCACTTAAAGGACCACTATAGTGCCAGGAAAACATACTTGTTTTTCTGGCACTATAGTGCCCTGAGGGTGCCCCCACCCTCAGGGTCCCCCTCCCACCCGGCTCTGGAAAGGGGAAAAGGGGTTAAACTTACCTTTTTCCAGCGCTGGGCGGAGAGTTCTCTGCCTCCTCTCCTCCTCCGATCCCCCTCGTCGGCTGAATGAGCACGCGCGGCAAGAGCTGCACGCGCATTCAGCCGGTCACATAGGAAAGCATTCTCAAGCTTTCCTATGGACGCTGGCGTGCTCTCACTGTGAAAATCACAGTGAGAAGCACGCAAGCGCCTCTAGTGGCTGTCAATGAGACAGCCACTAGAGGGAATGGGGGAAGGCTTAACCCATTGATAAACATAGCAGTTTCTCTGAAACGGCTATGTTTATGAAAAAATGGGTTAACCCTAGAAGGACCTGGCACCCAGACCACTTCATTAAGCTGAAGTGGTCTGGGTGCCTAGAGTGGTCCTTTAAGGACCAAACTTCTGGAATAAAAGGAAATCATGACATGTCACACGTCATGTGTCCTTAAGGGGTTAATTGTCCATTATGCGTAGAATTAAAAAGCTAAAGTGTTTGGAACTAAAACACCTACTTTTGATTCTCCTGTAAATAATGAATTTAAAGATCAGGAAAAAATAAAATTACCAATAAAAAGAAAATAATTAAACTCCACTTTGAATTTCCAGAAAGTGCTGGAGGCTCTCCGTATCTAAAGTACGATTTCCTTAGGCCAGGATTAAGTGGAGATCTCTTTGCCAATCCTGACTTCTCCATTATTCTCAGTGTATGGACTGAACCAATCCCAAAAACTCCTGGCCAATAGGGTTGTGTGCAATATGTAGTTGAGAAAGTCCTTGGGTAAATTCATGAAAAATCATCACTTAAACTACTCCACAAGTTAACATTTTTTTTTTTTAATTTTTTTTTTTTAAATGTTACAATCCACAAGAGTCTATTTTGTCTATTCCAGAAGAGACCACGGAGAATCCCTAACTGTAGTCAACTACAACTCCCATATGTCTTTGTAAGCCTTGCACCATGGGAGTTGTAGTGCTGCGAAAGATGAGGATCCAGGGTATTTTTTTTGGGGGGGGGAGGAGGGGGTTACAGTAAGATTGTTACAATTCTGTATCTAGTTAAGAATGTAACTTTCACAGCCCTGCTACAGAAAAAGGCTTCTAAAACAGCTTGTATTTGTACATGTGTCTCCGTCTATCTGCTGAATGTTATTGTAAAAGGTGTTTTCCTTTCTGATTTTTGGAGATGTCGCAACAATTAAGGCAAGTTTAACCTTTAAGCTGGCGGAGAGCACTTGCAGGATGAGGAAGACGGAGGGGTACCAGGATTTTATGCAGCAGAAAATATCAGGTACTGACAAGCCCAGCTGTCGAGTCTGTCTGTAATTATCTGTGGGTTCGGAGATGGGTTCAGGCAATAATTTCCCTTTTCCTCTATGGGGATTACAAATATTACATCTTAATAGCTGAACTGGTATGAATCTCTCACTCAGCTGTTCTGTAAAAAAAAATAAAAAAATTGTTCCTTTGTCAGATGTCCTCAATTACTAGTTTAATGCGTAAATCACTAAGCTGTTAGCCTGCTAGCGTTCAACACGCATCTCTTTTCATTCAGGCTCTTAAACTTAGATTTAAAATAAAACTGTAATTTATCTAGAGATGACAGTTCCTTGTTCACTCACCCTCCGTAGATACTATTGCAGAGTTGAACAAAACAGTGGCGGTAAGGTTAAAAAAAAAAAAAACTCCCTTACCTCTGCCAAGTACTCAGCTGACACTGTATTCAGCCCAATAGGTCACTTAAATCTTCAAATAGATCTCATGGCAGCAGTGAGAAGTTTTTTGTTTTTTTTTAAATGGCTCATCTGAAATACAACAACATAGCAAAGAAATCTCACTGCAGTATAAAGGAGGAAAAAGGCAAGAGTCAGATTTGGGGGGATATTGGGGTTCAGGCTGTAAAAGGTGGCTGAGGAGAGCTTTCTGAGTGACGTAGGGTTACAGCTGCAATTTGACTATGTCTATATTTTAGAAGTGTACAGCGCCAGTGATGATCATTATAATGGTGATTTGGCTGTTTTTATCAGCTGACCTAATGGCCCCATAGAAGTACAATATGACAGACCTATCCAAGCTTTCCTATTGTGAATAGCCAAACTGGTTTCACATTGAAAATGTGTGAAATCATTTGTCAAATTTGGGCAGGCGGACATCATTCACCAGCCATCAGCACAGTGCGCGCTAGGTATTACACTGACAATTACTGAGCGTGTGCAAAGAGCCTCCTTGAGCATTTAATCTCAGCAGCCAATCAAAACCTCAGATGTGCTGATTGTTCCAGCTTTCTACTGCACATGTAGAAGGAAAATTCTGATTGGCTAGCCCAATGATGCAAAAGCCATTCATACAATGTGACAGTCCAAGTTTGTTAAAAATATTTCATAAAATAAATTTTTTTTTAAAATGCTGGGCAGATTTTAAAGGGGCATTCCAAACACCTTTTATAGTTTTATTTTGCTAAAGTGCTTTGCGTGAAGAGTGAGTCCACACAGTGGAGGTTTTAATAGAAATTGGCACTTTTATAAATGAAACTTGTTACACCTCCCCCAGCCGTCAGTCATTCAGCTGCTTCTGTTACTTCCTTTATTGTTTAGCTACCTGTTTTACAAGTTGTTTTTAGCTATTCCCCTATGGAAAAAATGCACAATTAAAATGCAATCATGTTTTCATTTTAGGTATATCTAGTAAACAGGAATTATTTTTATTATTTTTTATTATTATTTTTTTGCATTGGAGTGCCTTTTTTCTTTTTAAAATCAACATACTCTGCAAGCAGTATTTATAATACTAGAAGAGATTGTGATGGTGTGGATTCTAAGCAAAGTGTTGAGATTTGAGTGGCGGTTCCTTGGCCATGTTCTGGTATAATAATGACCAAATCCACATGGTTTCATTGCCCAAGACTGACATGGTGCTTGCTGGGAAATGCTGTTATAAAGAGGAATTCTGGGACAAAGTTCTAACAGTAAAGCAATTTCCATGGAAACTGCAGACTGTTTCTGCTGACTGCACCACTTTTAGAACTTTACCCCAGAATTACTCTTTCTATGGAGCCCCCAATGTCTTATCACATTTGCACTCATCCACATTGTGTGGACTAGTGCGTTTTGTATATTTGTATTTGCAATACAGGGTTAAGCCCTTAGACATAACTGGAGTGTCTAACTGGTGTTTCGGTTTCAGGAATTAGGTTTACTGGCACCTATGTTATTTTTTTCTTTTTTCTTTTTTTTTCTGCTTTTGATTAAATGGCATTATACCATTAAACCATTTGTAACTTTATTTTTATTCTTTTATCTGTACTCTGCTCCTGAAGGGTTAAAACAAATCTTCAGATATGTTGCATTATTTACGTTAATTCGCTTCCTCCCAGACTAAACATTAGCAGAGGTGTTATTTAGCGCAGGCTGTATTTAAGGCTGGGATTTTGTTAAGATCTGCTGTGTGGGAATATGTAGAGATTTTAATTCCAGTGTGTTACAGCTCATTATCCTTCCTATGGTAAACCATTTTCCAAAGCAAAACACTTTGAAAAAATCTTTTAATGATTAGGCTGTGACATCTAACATAACACAATCATTATTATTATTTGCTCTGACATTACATAAAAGAGAGGAATTTACAGAGGTTTAAATAGATTGAATGATAATTGTTACTTTTTTGGGTTTGTTTGGATTTTTGTTTGTTTTTTGTCCCCTTATCCGCAACCAGATCTGTGATTTATGAAATGTGAAGTTTATATTTGGAACAGATTATGTTCGTTTCTAGAAGGAAAAATTCAAACCGTTGCAAATGTCTGGTTCCTCTTTGATCTGATTTATTTACACAGAAAAACAAAATCTTGTATATGAGAATTTCAGCTTCATAAATATAACATGCAAGAACAGTGGGAGGAAGATGCCTGCACGAGAAAGCATTATAATGGCGCAATTTGAGCTCGAAGCTGCCCATCAGGAGGTCACAGGTTGGTTTACAAAGAAAAATAATAATGTGAAATGAGAATAAATGTGTGGAGAATTATTAACCGCGCACTTCTCCTTGCTAAACCTGCTCTGCTTTGCTATCGCTGCAAACAAGTATCTCCTGTTTTTATCACAAATGATAGGTTTTAGGGAAAAGGCACTGTTTATATTGTGGAATTGAATACTGTGCCAAACATCTTTGTTGTTTAACGAACCATCATACATTGTGTGACTCAACAGAAGAGCTGACCCTCTATATAGAGTAAGAGTTCTGTAATTTATTTATTTATGCCCCGCTGTAGAGTCATGCAGTTTGAGCTGCGTTCGGAAGAAAGCCGAGAAAAGACTTCGTAAGACTATACGAACAATGAGAAAAGCCATCAGCAAGGAGCACATTCATGTACGCCTGTCCGGGAGGGACTTTGAACTGGCTAAAAAGATACCCAGGCAGACAGATTCACAGGACACGTGTGGTATAGGACATGTACGAATGGACAGCCGATGTGGTAAGTTATTCTTCAGAAATGAGTGTCTGAGAATGTCTTATTCAGTGTTACTTATTTTGCAATTTCAGACAAAACCCTTCCATACATCGCATAACATTAGAATGAAAAAATAAATGTCAGAAAATCTGATTCCGAAATGCAGGCATATTTCCATAGGTGGCTTACTGGGGTGAATTGGAATCAGACAGTGTGTTCCTGTAAATAGTGTCACCGTTACTTACCTGTCATGCCATTACAATTTTCTTTCCAGCTCAGAATGGAAGTTATACACTGAGCTGTATTTTGAAAACAGAGTTGCAAAAATGCTTTAAAAATAAAAGAAATGTAAAAAATCTGCAAATAAAAGAAACATGAAGTATGGCGACTAATTTTTCTAGTACCTGGCAAAATTGAGAGCGCCGTATTCTAAGTTACTTCTCGATTACTCTGCTTCTGCTTGGATCAAGAGGAAAATGGTTGAATCTAAATGTAAAGCAGGCCCCTGCATGTATGTAAAGCAGGGGAGCACCATCTCCCAGAATGGTGTCCTCTCATTGACTTTACTGCTTACATTTTTATATTAGGTTTACTGATCACTGTGTGACTTTTTTTTTTATTTTTATTTTTTATGTTTTTTACCCTTTCCTAGTCTGGATACTGGGAATGGACACTGTATAATTGAAAAATGATTCGTCTTAAATCGGTGATATGAAACACTGACACCATTAAACAGACTTTTAAAGAGGTGTACTTTCATTCTTTATGAATGCTCCGAAAATATTCCATTAAAAGCTTGACATCTCTGCTTGGGAATGTAATGGTATTGTTTACCCACACAGGCTTCTTTTTCTATTTTTTTTTTTTCTGTTGTAGACACTTAAAATAAGAACCATTCCATTTTCAAGTTGGAACTTTAAGCTTACAATTATACCAATCAACAAATTAATAAAAGTTTAAAAGAAAGAAAGAAACACACAAAATGAGCAAATGTTTTTAAAGTTTAATAATCTTGAAAATACTAGACTGCAACATAAAAAATATATGTTAGAAACATGCACAATAATTACAGTGAGAAGCGGGTTTATAAAATAATGGAGAAAATAGTAGATATGAGAAAATGTTTGTTGACAAAAAATGCGGCCGTGACCTAAATAACTCAGCTGCTCTCCGAAAAACAGGCGCGATTCCTAGAAATGAACCAAACCAGGAAACCTTTAGTAAAAAAACCAAAACCAGTGGCTGTTTTAAAGTTATTGTCCCCATCCTGTGTAAAGTTACTTCAACCCAGAATAAGTTCTGGAATTGGGCCTCCATTTCTTAGTTTTAAACGCTTTTATTGTCATGAAGCAAGGAAGAATAATAAGCAAAGTATTCGGTTCTTACTTTGAAAGTGGCAAGTTGATGACTTATTTTTTCCATATTTTGCATGACATGTTTGGAACAAATTTTTTAAAATAAAGTATATAACATAAAATAGAAAACAAACTGACTGAGCATGCTCTCTTTTACGAATTGTTTGTAAATCGACAAGATAAATGAGGTCTGTTACCTCAGTATAATAATTTGATGCAACATCGGCAAGCCAAAAAGTGGCTTCCACTTTTCCATTTAAAAAAACACACTCACACTCTGCTTTTGTTGATATCTGTCAGCCCATCCTAGCTTTCCCTTGTTTTAGCTGATCGCTGAACAGGTAAGCTGATATTGGCTGCCATGTGCTTACTGACAGAATGTCTCCGCTGCTGTGATTCACTCATATAAGCTATGAAGGAATCTGTTGGGGGCGATTGGGTACTAGTACTACTGTGTGCATACCCAGCTAGCCTGCTGCGTACAAGGTCTTGGACAGCGTATATTTCCTCCCTTGGTACCTGTAAGGATCCAAAGGATTTGCAATTCAAGAGATTAAAGGAAATTCTCTTACAAATAATTAGGTTTGATTTTTTTATTTTTTTTTGACAAAGATATCGGGGACCTCCTCAATTCAGTATAACCTGTGTATTCCCTGTCTAGTGTGAAAATCATAAATGTGTGATTCCATTTCATTTCGTATGGTGAGACATTGTGTTGATCCCTGCGATTTCCACTAGCATGATACATGAACATAACACCACCTATATGTACGTCACTCTTTCTCCAAAACATTCCTAATGCCTTTGAGTATGTAACAAATCCAGAACAGAAGCCTTGATTACTGGAGAGCTGTTTTATCCTAGTTATACTGGACCCTACTAAGCTTTATGCCTCCTAGAGCAGGTTTGTGGCACATTAACTATTAAAACTTAAAGGGACACTTTAGTCACCAAAACAACTTTAGCTTAATGAAGCAGTTTTGGTGTATAGATAATGCCCCTGCAGTCTCACTGCTCAATTCTGCCATAAAGAGTTAAATCACTTTGTTTATAGAGCCTCGGCACACCTCCCTGCATGTGACTTACCTACCCTTCCTAAACATTTCCTATAAAGAGTCATCTAATGTTTACTCTTCTTTTATTGAAAATTATGTTTAATTTAGAATTGCTTATCGCCTGTTCTGTAACCCCATTGCAACCAAGGACGTATCGGGTACGTAGACAAAAAAACGACCCTTAAGGACTGCGGACGTATCAGGGGAATTAGAGCTGGAAGTTATCATGATCGCTTCCAGCAGCTCTAATGGTATTGCAGCGATGCCACAATGTCGAGGCAACGCTGCAATACCCCCCCCCTCACTTCCGGGCCGCTGGAGAACACCGGGTGATGGCTCCCCCGGGAGAAATCACTTCCGGGTTGTGACACGTGGAGCCCGGCAGTGAGACAGAGCATCGGAAGCCATCAGACAGGCTTCCGATGCTCTGCTTGTGCTGAGTGCCTCGAGGGTTCAAGGCACTCTGTAAAATAATTAAATTACATTTTAAAATGATTTTTTTTTTTTTTTTTTATGTAACCCCTCCCTCTCTCGTGTACTTACCGATCGTCGCTGGCGATCTGTCTTCTTCTGAGGGGGACTGTCTGGGCTCAGCCCAGGCAGACGCCCTCTGCAATACAGGACCCCCATGGGCTATGTGATTGCTATAAAAGAGATAATGAATAATATTAATATATAAATAAAATATATATATATGTCATACTAAGTGTGTTTTTTATTAATATAAACATATTTTTAAAAAAAATAAAAATTTAAATATATAATTTTATTCTAACTGTATTTTGATATTAATGTTTTACACAAATCAGCGATGATATTGTCAGTAAAAGTGAAGTTTTTTTGCATTTTTCACACACAAACAGCACTTTCACTGATGATATCCTCTAATATTTGTGTTCAGTAGAACAGTACCCCCCATGTACAGGTTTTATAGTGTTTTTGAAAGTTACAGGGTCTAATAAAAGGCAGTTTTTTCACATTGAATTTTCCAGATTGGTTATGTTGCCTTTGAGAACGTATGGTAGCCCAGGAATTAGAATTACCCCCATGATGGCATACCATTTGCAATAGTAGACAACCCAAGGTATTGCAAATGGGGTATGTTCAGTCTTTTTTAGTAGCCACTTAGTCACAAACACTGGCCAAAGTAGACGTTCCTAATAGTTTTTTGCATTTTTAGCACACAAACAAATATAAATGCTAACCTGGCCAGTGTTTGTGACTAAGTGGCTACTAAAAGAGATTAGACATACCCCATATTGAATACCATGGGTTGTCGACTTTTCAAAAATATATCATTTGATGGGGATAAATTTACATTGGCCAGCTTAAAAAAAGTCCCAAATAGGACATGGGTGCATGATGACCAGCTGTGAAAATTCAAAGTTGGAAAACTGGAATGCGCATCCTCCAAATAAGGTCTTTTAGCCCCCAGAGAACCCGACACACCTCCGGGGTGGTATCCCTGTATTAAGAAGATGACGCTGAACACATATTGGGGTGTTTTTTGGCAGTAACCTTTACATGTATTCTTAAATTGCTATGTGTGTCAAAAAAGTCACCTTTTTTTTTTTTTTTTATTTGGCATAGGTTGGTGGTAAAAATGTTGCATGAAAATAGTCAAAATACCCCAAGTTTAATACCTTAGGTTGTCTTCTTTTAAAAAATATATACATGTGAAGGGTTATTCCGGGATTCCTGACTGATATCAGTATTACAATTTAACTTGCGTTAATTTTGAAAAACAAATTGTTTGGAAATAGCACTTAGTGCTACTTGTACTTAGCCCTATAACTTTCCAAAAAAAAGCTAAGAACATGTTAAAATTAGGTATTTCTAAACTCAGGACAAAATTTAGAAACTATTTAGCATGGGTGTTTTTTGGCGGTTGTAGATGCGTAACAGATTTTGGGGGTCAAAGTTTTTTTTTATTTTTTTTACATTTATTTCATCATATTTTATAAAATTTTTTTTATAGTAAATTATATAATATGATGAAAATAATGGTTTAAAGGTGAGCAACACGGTATATAATATGTGTGGGTACAGTAAATGAGCAAGAGGAAAATTACAGCTAAACACCGCAGAAATGTAAAAAGAGCCTGGTCCTTAACGGTTAGAAATTTGCAAAACTGTCTGGTCACTAAGGGGTTAAAGGCTTTCTAGATGTCTGTAATTCAAGTTTAATTTACAGAGCAGGAGAAAAAAAACTTGACGTGAGTTATATCTGTTTTCATGCAGGCTTGTCGGTCACAGCCAGGGGAGGTGTGGCTTGGGCTGAATAAACATAGACAAAAGCGATTTAACTCCTAAATGGCAGTGACTTGAGCAGTGAGACCATAGGCATGATCTATACACACAAACTGCTTCATTAAGCTAAAAGTAGTTTTGGTGACTATAATGTCCCTTTAATTTATTTCCCATGTAAGGGTCTAGTGTACCCTTCATATTGGTTGTGTCCTTACAATCCCTAAGTGTGTGGCTCCCATTGATCTTGGTCTTTATGTGATTGACGTTTACGTCCAATTTCATTCCTCTCTATTCCGTCCTTTTTTCGATTCTAGTTTATTTCCACTTTTATATCCACAAACAGTAAAAGAGATTTTTCCTGTGACAGGGAGACACTAATTTAGTTTGACAAGGGTTCTCAAAGCCAATTAGTTCTGAAAGGAACTTAACACGTGCTACTCATAGTATGGTTTCAATAATCCGTCATGGCTTGTAAGCGCCTATTAAGGAAACATGTGAACCCTTTCTCCGTCACCTTGTCTGAATCGGTTATCATCTGGAAGAATTACATAAAAATGGTCTGCAAGGGAAATACTGTTAAAAGCTGTCAGAAGCTCTGTTAGATCCCTGGTCAAAAAAAAATATACAGCTTGGAATCTGCTGTTGACGAACCAAGCCATCTATTTCAAGCCGTTTCACCTTTAAAGAGACCTGATATCTGGAAATAAATTTACATTATGTAATCATGTATAAAAGTCTATGTGAAAATGCCGTTTTAAAAATTCCCAGTTCTGTTTTCCAATCTCTCAATGTTAGAAGGTATGCTAGAGCTTGGCTCGTTCTGTGGTCCAGTTTGATGGAACCCGAACTTTCTTAATTCATTAATGTAATTAAGGACATTAGGAAATCAATAAAAATAATTAGACTCGGTTTCTACTGTGATGTGCCCCCGCTCTATTCTAATGACTTTTCCATAGGAGCTGAGACGTTTAAAGATGGTTATCTCAACCGCTAACTCTCTATATAAACAAAGTGGTGCGGTCGCTTCAAACATTGCAGCAAGACTTCGGCACTGGTCCATCAAGTCTAAGGGAAACTTTCATCCAGAATAGTTCAAGTTTAAACAGATCCACAATCCCACATGCAGCCTCAGACGGTTTGATGGGTTATTGGTATTGTCATGTTAGTAGATAAAGTCGGCATTGTCTGGTCTCATTCCTGTAGGCTGTCTGTGGCTTACGTGGCAATAGCTGTAAGGATTATGGGTGGGAGTTGGATCGCAGATGTACCTCAATATATCTTTTATTTTCCAACATTTCAACAGAGGAAATGGTGACAAAAATCCTAGACAAAAACACCTGTACGCCAAGGAAAACTTAGTGTGATGGTAGAAAAGGGTGGGACGTAAAGTAAGCTAGTGATCTAGTTTATAAATGGTAGGGTATGCCAATTTCTAAAATATAAGTAACAAACTATTATGTAACGCACATAAAGTTTACATTATGTTGATTGTACTATAGCAGCAGTACCCCCCACAGTCTCGGCAAGCGATGTACAGCAGTGTAGTTATTAATCGTTGGACTTTAAATCCCATTAATCTCAGCTTGATGAAGTGCACTATACCCTCAAGCCAAAAGTCCTCCCTACACTCAACCAAACGTTCCACCCTTCCTAACATTTAACATCTGACTCTAACAGTGAAATTTAAAACGGGACTGTAATGAGTGATTCGGTAACTACTACAATACAATAACTCAAGTGATACCTGACATTATATGTTTGCAAGTTTTTTTGTGAGATTTTAAGACACTGTGCCTGTTAATAACATTAGATGGAGCACATAGTTATCGGTTTACTTCCTCACTCTCCTTACTCCGCAGTAGAATCCGTGAAAAGAACATGATATCCGCATTATTCATTCACAAGTATGGGGTGTTTATAAATTTTTTTGATTATACAGAATTGGAGCGTTATTCCAAAAACTAGAAAATGGCCAGTAAAGGACAAAATGGTCTAGTTAGACAAAAACCTGAACTGGAAATCTAGTTTAAAGGATCACTATAGGGTCAGGAACACAAACATATATTCCTGACCCTATGGTGTTAAAACCACCATCTAGTCCCCGTGGGTCTGGCATGCCTCCATAAATATAGCAAACTCTTACTGTATTCAAGCCTGGAGCTGTAGATCTGCATTCTGTTTGTCTCAGAAAAACAAGCTGTTTGCTGGCATAATCAGAAGTGGTAGCCTGATCCAATCACAATGCTTCCCCCTAGGATTGGCTGAGACTGACAAAGGGGCAGATCCAACATGATTCAAACACAGCCCTGGCCAATCAGCATCTCCTGATGAATCTCTGAGGAAAGTTCAGTGTCTGCATGCAGAGGGAGGAGACACTGAATGTTTGGATGCATTTTAGACAGCCATGACCCAGGAAGGATCTCTAACAGCTATCTGAGGAGTGGCCAGTAAAGTTATCACTAGGCTGTAATGTAAACACTGCATTTTCTCTGAAAAGACAGTGTTTACAGCAAAAAGCCTGAAGGGAGCTATTCTTCTCACCAGAACAAATTCAATAAGCTGTAGCTGTTCTGGTGACTATAGTGTGCCTTTAAGTTTAAAAGATTCATTACTGTTAGAAAAATGTTCCACGTTATTTATTTACAAAACTTCCTATAGACTTTAACGACCACTTCTGTAAAGTTTTCTTCTAACCGTATTGAATCATGGACTTAGTTTAAAATATATATTTTTTTGGCTTTGCAAAATTTGCAATCCTTGCCCTTTTCTCAGCAGTCTCCAGTCTAGGTTTTTAAACCATTACAATTAGTTATATAGCTCCAACATATTCTGCAGTGCTGTAAAACAAATAAAACAAAGACATTATAAGAGGGCGCTTCCCAAACTAGCTTACAATCTAAATAAATAGCGTATATTCTGGGGGCCAACTGCACGCATGTCAGTCGTATGATGCATTGCAGCTTGCAGTGTATCCACTTCTCAGGCCTACTGCTCGAAGGCTGACGTATTGCCAGAGGATTAGGGTATGAATCCTCACGGTATTCAAGTGTTTAAATAAATAAACTGCGCTGAAACCACTGAATGAATTCACGTCATTTGTTTGCGCTGCCACTTGAACACGATCAGGCTGTGAATCCGGGAGATGGTCCAAAACTGACCTCTTTTCACACTAAGGGTCCCTCTTGCCACTACAGCTCCGTAGAGCGTGTCTCCGGCACAAAGTGCTTGAAAGATACAAGGTTGAAAAGAGGTCTAGAGATTGTAAGTGCCTTTGTAGCCATTAATCCGGGCACCCTATGGCCCTCTCTTTACATCACAAAAGACCCTCTCCTATTAGGAAAACAGCTGCATGAGATTTAGGATTGGTCACTGGAGCCGTACAAAGGCCACACTATGAAAATGAAGTCTGCTAAAGGCAATTGGTTCTTTTGTGAGAAAAGAGAAACAGACAGGTCGAAAAGAGGAACGAAATTTGAATTCTTAAACCTTTAAACTCACTTGAAAAGGGGCCGGAGAGTGGTCCTTAGATAATAGGGTCCTCTGTGAAGACGCTGACATAATACAAGATCCCATAATTTACTAATGTAACCAGTTCTATTCAGAGAGCGAGCGATGCTATATGGGAGATGGGTCCGCAATATTTTTCATAAATGGTCTAAGCAGCAAATGCTGCTCGGAGTTTGAGATGGGAAAATCTTCTAAAACCATCAAAAACCATTAAAAAAAAAAATAATAAATACAAATCTATTTACCTTTTTTAGCACGCTCTGATCCAATTCTGTTCTATATAAAGGTTTTACTTAATAAAGAATAAATTCTCTACATTACTGACTAAAAAAACAAAAAAAAAACAATGACATGGGAATAAATAATTAGGCATGTGTGTTTTGTGTCCGCCCCCTTATTGTTTGTGGATTCACTAAACTCCAAACTGTTCTGAATTCGTACTTTTTTCAAAAAATTGCTAATCCAGAAAAACTCTACTCCACTATAGTAACTGTTTTATTTGAGCCAAAATGTTCCAATTTGGTTTTCAGTTCTCTATTCAGTTCAGTATTAATGAAATAAAACCCCAAATAGTTAAATTGTTGGATAAATCCCTTTTATATTTTGTCATCTATAACATTTCAGATTCCCTTAAAAAGGGCACTCCTTATTCACCCAGAGTAATTCTAGAGGGTGCAGTGATCCTTAGTCCGTACAGTCAATGGAAATATATTCACACTCTGCAAGTTTAATCTTTGGGGACAATTACATAAAAAGTGTGAGAGAAAAAGCATTTTGGCTGAAGTGCAGCAATGCTTCACGAACGATAAGGCAGGTGAAATCATCAAAACATGGAGTTTATTTAATGGCAACGTCTTAAGAATGCCTGTTCAATTTTCTAATGTATCGTACACTAATAATTAAGCAGTTTTTCCTTTAAACATAGACTGTGGCAGTTTAACCCCTTAAGGACCAGACTTCTGGAATAAAATGGAATCATGACATGTCACACATGTCATGTGTCCTTAAGGGGTTAAACAGGTCGGTACTGTTTTTTTTTGTTTAAAATTTTTTTTAGTTGATATAGCAACAACATTTTCCGCAGCGCTGCACAATATGTATTCATGGCAGGATAATAGACCGGGTTTAATTGATTTCACTTTATTGAAATTTAAATGTACATATTGGATACTAATGGGCCAAATTGTAGGTAAATATCCACACAGCATTAACATCTGCAGTTGTCTCTCTCTTTGTACACCCAGTCAGCTGTCACCCGGGAACTTACTACGATGGCGAGAAGGAGCAATGTGTTTTATGCCCAAATGGAACCTATCAAAATGTGGAAGGGCAGATAACCTGTGAAATTTGCCCAGGTCCAGAGAACCGAGAGAGCCAAAAGAATCCAGGCGCTCGGGAAATAGCAGAATGTGGAGGTAAAAGTGTGGTCAGACCCAGTCCCATCACTGACGCATCAAACACAATGCTCTGTTATATTTCAATATATTTAGCATACTATTCAGGGTGGTGCTATAATGGCTCTTGGGAATATGGGTAGAGAAGGCAGGTACACACCCAACAGCTCCGTACCTGCTGCTTATAATAAACTACAGACTAAGCTTCAGTTTGTTCTTCGTGATAGCCTTTTAAACATCCTGAGCATTCTTCAGCTCCTGTGCTTACTTTATGCATTCTGCTGGAAGACAATTCCAGGTATCTACTAACCATCTATATCACTAGTTGCTTTTCCTGATTCCACTGGAAGACTATTCCAGGTATCTACTACCCTTTCTATATCACTGCTAGCCTTTACTGCTTCCACTGGAAGGTTATTCCAGGTATCTACTACCCTTTCTATATCACTGCTAGCCTTTACTGCTTCCACTGCAAGGCTATTCCAGGTATCTACTACCCTTTCTATATCACTGCTAGCCTTTACTGCTTCCATTGGAAGACTTTTACAGATATCTACTACCATTTCTATATCACTGTTACCTGGAATAGCCTTCTAGTGAAAGCATTAAAGACTATAGCTACTACCCCACACAAAGTTATCGTCTCAAACACGTTCCTTATAGATTTTGTTACTATTAATTTATAGTGCCAACCTATCCTGCGTATTTAATATTCGTTTTATTATTCCTTATGTGTTATAGTGACGACATATTCTGCAGCGCTGTACAATATACTCACAGTAAAGCATTACAAATGTATGTCATAAATACACATTTATAAAGAAGGTTTTATTCATCATTCTATTGTAGCACAAACATACCGTCGAAATGTGCGTGTGTGTAGCCAAAATATACAGAAAAGTTACGCAAACAGGATGCGTCCTGCTCAGACAAGCTCTCGGTGTAAGGAAATTAGATATAAAGCTCTGCTGTTGTGAGATTACAGTGTAAAACCATTAACCGCAATGTGATATGGTGACTAAATGAACGCAGTGTGTGGGTGTGTCTGTTTGTATAGACAAAATGCATTGCATACCACTGTGGTAATGTAGGGGTTAATGGAATCTACACTGCTCAGTTGTATACAGTAGTAATGTTTACAGTGTGAATGGTGGGGTCTTATGTTGGTCCACAGTGCCACCTACTGGTCCTTTTCACCGCTGTTAGGGAATCTATTCAATAAATTCTAGGGACAGTTGATTACGACTTACAACTCCCAGAATTCCTTGCATGCAACAGGTGGCCAGAGAATCATGGGAGTTGTAGTTCAGCAACATCTGGGGAGCTGATGTTTGAGATGTTTGTTGTAGAATTTCTTGGACAGAATCCATTACTTGGTAATCGTATAAAATCTAGAGCAGAACTGGACAAAAGGTTGATCCACCGATGTCGAGTAACTGCCAGACTTTAGCATGGCAAAGCATAATAGAAGTTGTAGTTTCAGAACATCTGTAGGGATAGAGTTTGGAGAACCCTGATCTAGAGTGTCACCCTCCCCTACCATCCGCTGTCTGTATACTCTCCTCCTCGAATGCCAGCACTGCAGTGCACTGTTTGTATAGCAAGACAAGGGAAGAAACTATACGGCTCATACATATATATTTCTCACCCAGTGCATTATACAGTGTGTGATCTAAAGAATGCTATACAAAACGCCTTGATGGCAGCTATTAAGTAACTTAATTACAGGAACATTGTAATATCTGTATTCCTAGCGTTACTGCCTTGATGCCCACGGTGCTCCCCACCATGTAAAATAAAACTAACTTGCCTTTTTCCAACGCCGAGTCTCCCTTGGGACTGCAACAGCCTCTTCGTCTTGTTAAGTCATCCTCGAGGCATGCCTTTAGAATGACAGGCCAATTCAATAGCCTCATAGAGGAGTACTGGGGAACATATGCGCATGTGTGGCTCATTGCGCCAATGATTCTTCAGAGAATCATTGCATTTAGTGATTTTCTATTGCCAATCGTGATGACACTGTACATGCGCATGACATCACGGAATGTTATGGTATGAGAGTTGGGAAGTAAGGCTCCCAGTTCTCGTACACAGAGGGCTTCCAAGTCTTATAATTAGTTTAATATTGAATTTTGGTGGGTAGAACAGATGGGCGACTGCAGGCACTAGCACAACTTCAATAAGTTGAAGTTGTTAAAATGCCTACAGCGTTCCTTTAATTATTCACATTTATAATTGGAGTTCTCCAGGTCATTTTCAATTTGAATCATTGGAATTCACACTTTTTTCTTTCTTCCTCCCCCATGCAGGGCTGTGCTCCGTTGGTGAATACTCAATAGATGGCTTTCGCCCCTGTGAACCATGCCCCTTGGGAACCTACCAACCAGAGACTGGTCGCACCTCATGCTTTCCATGTGGTGGCGGACTCACTACTAAACACAACGGTGCCACTGCCTTTCAGGACTGTGAAACTAAAGGTGACATGTTAGAGCAAAAACCTGTAATTAATTATAATATTGTAAGAATGTGTTAATTTAATATGATCAGTTATTCACAGGAGACTAACATGGCTACTTCAGAGACCGTTGGTCCATAAGGATTGTGGCTATCTGACTAGTACCTCATATATAGCGGAAGCCCCAACCTTTATCAACGATATTGTATAAAGCGAGAGAGAGGGAGCACCCTAAAGAGAAGGAGCCCCCTGCCTTTATCGAAAACAACATGTAAAGAGATAGAAGAAGCTCCCGACTTTGTCCACAATAAAGTGTAGAGAGAGTGAGCCCCCCCATGTCAAGTCAAAGGTTACACCGTGTGACCAAAACGTTGTGTTGCTATGTTCCATTTAGGCCTGCTATTACTTTGAATGTATGTGCCTGGATTTATCTTACGTTTATCAAGATTATTGTGGGAGCTTGGGCAAATCCCTTGAGTCCGGAGCACCTCTCCTACATATGAGAGTGCAGTCACTGTTTTCATTTGTTTATCCACCTTTTTATTAAAACTAGAATCCAAATCAGACAACATACTTTAAAGTCCTTGTAGTGGAAATTAAGGGAATGCTATAGCATTTGGAATACAAATTTGAGTTTTACTCTACTTAACAGAAGTGAGGCTAGTGGCTGCCATATTGAAAGCCACTCGAGGCTGGCTAAACCTCTACACATTGCCTTTCCTGTAGAATAGCAATGTTTTCAGTTGCAGGGTTAAAAAGTGGGTGGGGGGGCGTGGCCAACTGCTGAGCAACCTGGCTGCTTAGGAAATTGCTCAGGCACCCGGGCTCTCAGAATCCGACAACATCGCCTCCCAGGGCACTAAAAAACATATCAAAACGCATGATGTCAAATCCCAAAGGGAAGAAGAATGCACAGAAAAATGAAAAACTGAATTTTTTTTACCCACAAAACCGCGAGCAGCTCTGAAGTTGACCGCGGCCCAAATCAAGATGGCGCCGACGACCAAATAGCGGGAAACATCACAATCACAGGCCCATCACATGAAGGCCAGGAAAACCTGACCAAATCACACTTAGATGAGGCGATGAACAATATGGCTGACAAACTCATTAAAACATGGCAATCCTCCAAATGGCAACTCAGCAAGGAGATCCAAGACATTGGCAGCAGAACCACACACGTGGAAAACAAACTGAGTGAATATGCCACAGCACATAACGACATGGCTGACCATGTGACGGCACTGGAACATAAAACAGCAATGGAAGCACGCATGGCGGATGCCGAAGATCGCTCACGAAGGAATAACCTCAGATTGAGAGGAGTCCCAGAGAACATCTTGCCGAATGATCTACAGGCCTATGTCCAGGGCCTTCTGCGGGCATACGCTCCCGACATACCCACAGAAATGCTCCTAGTGGACCGGGTACACAGAGTGCCCAAACCACGCAACCTACCTGATTCCATCCCCTGGGATGTCCTACTGAGAGCACATTACTTTCATATAAAGGAAGTGGTGTTGCGAGCCAGTAGGAACTCCACAGAACCGCATGGGACCTATGCAAAAGTTTAAAATACTGGTGGATTTATCCGCGGCAACCCTTAAACGCAGAAGAGAATTTCACCTGGTGACAGAGGAGCTGTGCCGCGCTGGAATTAGATACCGCTGGGTATACCCCACCAAGCTATTAATCACAAAAAACGGCGATCTCAAAATTATCTACACACCAGACAAAGGCACCCGGACCCTGAGAGAATGGGGGCTCGCTACAGATACCCCCCATGAAACCCAGATGAGCCCAACTAAGCGACTGATCCCAGAATGGCGCCAAATCCCTGTGACTTTTTCGGTGAACTCGGCTGACAAAGCCAAAACCAGGGACACGTGAGATATTCACATATACTAATGTCATGTTCATAGTTCTTGTTTCAGTTCAAACGAGGTTAACTGCTTTGATTAGCATATAATATGTTTAGATAGCTAAATAACAACACATACACTACGATAGATGCTGGTAGGGGGTGCCCCCCTCACATATGATACTCAAGGAGAACTCCGGGAAACAGAGAGGGCCCGTATCATATGCGCACAAGTAGAAAGAGGGGACCCCAGAGGGCTAGGGGTAATCATGCTGTCTATTGTCAACTGTAATAACTGATGTTGTGCATATATGATGACTGTAACCTAAGGATGCAAAGAACGTCAGATCACTATGCGGGGCGACAGCTCCTATGTATGAGACGTTATCTGTAAACCACATCACACAAGCACATACTGCATGATCTAGCAGGCCGAGTGTACTGCAATCATCCCCCCAATATACTACGGGATTTAAGGGAAGTGCACCCACAGCCTATGCCATAAGCACCGCAAAAAGGCATTATGTAGAACTGATCACCATAACAGGCACGACAAACCACGCTAAATAGAAGAAGCTGGAAATAAAATATTGTATCAACAAGATAGCCACTTAGACAAAGCTCAAGTTACACTCAGCACCTGACAAACATGGATTAAAATGCTGTACAGGCATACCCTAAACCACCCATACACGCTAACCAGCAAACTAGCAACATGCACACTAATCACATGCCCACTGGATCACAGCTCTGAGGCAAGATAAAATGGCCACACTACTAGAGACGCTGTCTAGGCGTCCATCCCCCATGGCACAATGCCAAAGTGCCAAGACCCACGTTTGGGTCAGTTTGTATATACTTTGTTTGTTACCCCTTCCTTCCCCCACCTCTCCTGAACCCCTTACTCCCGGGCACAAATATGCAGTCGCGCAGATGCCGGCTACGAGGCACATAACACAGCCACTGCACACACAACATAACATAGACTCCGCGAAACCACAAACGAGCACCGCTTACCACACACCTATTACATGAAAATATACTCACACAACTGCAGGGGGCTGAACATCCCCATTAAAAAGCGTATGGCACTAGAGGAAGCCAAACAAAATCAAGCGGACATTATATGTCTACAGAAATCTCATTTTCTTACCTCCAGAGTGCCCAACTTTGGCGCACAGCACTACCCCCACCAATACCACGCAACACATTCATCTAAATCAAGAGGGGCCTCCATCCTTCTACACTCATCCCTAACAGTGGAAACTTTACAAGTTATCAAAGATAAACAAGGTAGATTTGTGATGTTGCAATGCCTCTTAAACAACTCACCATACACTATAGTCGGCTTTTATGCTCCTAATGTACATCAGCGAAACTTTTTACAAGCATCAACATCATGGCAATCTCCAAAACTGCACACATTTTACAAAAACAGAAACAGAAAACATACTCACAAGGCAACAAAGCAGGGAAGCACCTAGCAACACTGCTACGCCAAAAACAATCCAGTGCAAAAATCCCATACCTACTCACACCCAAAGGCTCTAAAATCCATAACCCACAGGGCATTAATGACACCATGGCAAACTACTACCACACACTATACAATCTTAAAGATGACCCAGTGCGTCATTTTATCACTTGACGCTGAGAAAGCCTTCTTAAGACTGCACTGGCCCTTCCTTCGGGCAGTCCTGATCAAATATGGATTCCCGGACGCCTTTTTAAGACTGGTGGGAGCGCTGTACTCCAAGCCGACAGCGAAAGTCACAAACGGGGGATTCAGCTCAAAACAATTCGAAATAACCAACGGGTCGAGACAGGGCTGCCCACTATCACCTCTCCTTACATTTTATCTCTAGAACCACTCACACAACTCATTAGGGACAATCCGGACATACATGGCATCACAAGGCAAGGAACATAAACTGACACTATTCGCAGATGACGTTCTCCTAACACTAGAACAGCCACAGATATCCCTACCTAACCTTCAGAATACGCTCTCCCAATATAGAAAATGCTCTCACTATAAACTCAATGTTAATAAAACTCAGGCAATGGGTATAAATATCCCAGCCGAGGATATGAGCAGGCTGAGCGCCTCTTTCAAATACGATTGGCGCAATGACCACCTCAAATTCTTAGGAATCAATATCACTCCAACCTCAGCAAATCTCTACAAAAACTACTACCAAAACACACTGTCCGAAATAAAAAACTTACTGCTAGGATGGAAAGGTAAATTTATATCCTGGTCAGGAAGAATAGCCGCAGTCAAAATGATAGTCATACCAAAACTGCAATACCTATTCAGAACATTACCCATAAAAACACCACCCAAATTCCTACAAGACGCGCAACAAACACTGCTTAACTTTATCTGGGACAAACATAAAGCGCGAGTGGCGAAGAGCACACTATACATGCCACGCAAGAAAGGGGGTATGGAAGTACCCAACCTAGACAGCTATTACAGAGCAGCCATATTAGGTCCCTTATTAGTGGCGTGCCACCGGGACAACCCAACACAATGGATGGAACTGGAGACACAACATGCTAACAATATACTCATTACTATACTGGCATGGCTCCCTCGACACAGCAGGCCAGCAACAAATGAACTGCTCCCAACCACAGCTCTAACTCTGTCCATATGGGACAAATACTGCCGCACATTAGGCTGGTCGGGCAAAATATCGCCCGCCACCCCTATAAAAGCATTACACTATATGATACCAAACTTTAATTACACTCTGTGGCACCGACATGGGGTAACACACCTACACCAACCACTGTAAGGAACATACACTTAGAAGCCTCACGGATCTAACCACCTCTTACCACTTGACCCCAATGGCCTCATTCTCATATATGCAATTACACTCACGGTTCAGCAAGCAAACCTTGAATAGGATGGATAATGTACAAGGGCAACAGCTGACGGTGGTAGAAAAAATTTGCTCACGCCTATCAATCCCCCAAAAAACTTATATCCGAACTATATCGAACGATGCACACTCAAAAAGACCACACAAAATTATCATTCATTGCAGCATGGGAGAAGGAATTCACATATACGCTCGATGCGCAGCAATGGAATAAAATCCTACTTGCACATAACTCACTCTCCAAATGCGCCTCCCACATGGAACTATCCCGAAAAATCTTATACCGATGGTACTTAGTGCCTACACGTACAAAAGCAACATACCCACAAGCATCCGATATCTGTTGGAGATGCCAACAACACAAAGGCACAATGCTCCATGTATGGTGGAACTGCCCCTTCCCAACAAACTACTGGGAAGACATAACTACCATAATACAAGACAGCACAAAAATGCTTCTACCCCGCAAGCCAGAAACGTACCTCCTCCAGCTCTTCCCGAAGGGAATGGAGGGTAGCCAGAAATATTTAACTTACCACATACTAATGGCTGCACTAACAGTCATTAGTAGACACTGGAAGTCTGCTATCCCGCCCACAATAACAGAATGTATACAGACGATAGAAACAACTAAGCTTTATGAACAGGTAACCAGACGATCAAGTCACTCCAAATAAATCTGGTCACAAGCCTGGGAAAACTGGCAGTCGTACATGGAGCGTAACACTGTGCCTTCAAAATAAGACACTGGGCCCTCAAAATAAGAGGCTGTGGCAAAGACCTATAGACCGACAGCTGTGCCCTTTTAGACAATGAAAAATGTAATCGAAAACAAAAGTGTAAATAATGATAATAACGCGGTAAATAAACAGAAGCAACCATAAGAAGCCGAACGCCTGGGAGAATCCTACGACCCCCCCCCCTTACATCTACACCTCATCTCCCTCTGTGCCCCCACCCTCTAAACCCATCCCTTCTCCTCTGTTTCCCCCCCTTCCAGTGGTACATGAAACACTAATACTTTGCACCGTCTACCAAAGAAAAAACCAGGTGACTGTGAACTCCGATAGTCGAACATGAGTCCTCCCCACGGTAGAAAAATGACCAAACCGCTAGACGAACCTAGAGAAACACAAAGCATGCACAAAATTTTTTTTTTTTAAATTTATATATAAAAATGTTGTATATAAATAATGCGCAAATGGTATGCATGTCAATGTATAAGACGATACTTACCTTACTACTGTTCCCCATCCCCTTTCTATTCTGTACCCTTATAAAACTGAAATAAAAATTGTCGAAATAAAAAAAATAAAAAAAGTGGGTGGGGGGGCGGAGCTAACGGCCGATCGAGCCGGACGCACACTATGGGAGCTCGGAACGACAGCCCTGCTAACGGCTGTAATCAGCCGCCAAAACCTACAGCAGGTGCCCAGGTTGAGAACTAACCTGCACCTCACACGATGGGGAAACGTTCCAAAAAACTCTGGTCCGAAAAGAGCCCGGGAACCCAAGACATCAGCATGTTCCTGCAGCAAACGACCATGCCCGCACCAACAAAGATGGCGCCGGCGACCTCCACCTCAGTATCATCTGAGGAAGAGTTATCCACCTTCCCGGAGGTATTTCCAGCCACCCACCAGCCCTCAAAAGAGGGAGACACTGCTCCCTCAACCAAAGCAGACATCAAAGCCCTTTTACACGAAATAAGGGCCATGTTCCAGGCGGACATGGCTGGGGTGAGGGAGGAAGTGGCCACCCTAACTGACAGGGTTATCAGACTGGAGGACGACATGGACACGTCGAAAGTGGCTCAAACTACCACAGATACTGCCCTTAATTTTCTGCAAAAGAGCAATGAGGACATACTCAACCGCATGGCTAATATGGAGGACAAGATGAAAGCAAGAAATGTGAGAATTAGGGGAGTCCCAGAGACCATAACAGCTGGAGAACTGCCTCATTTTGTGCGTAGACTTCTTACTACATTGCTCCCCCCAAAACAGGTGAAAGAAGTTGTTATAGACCACTGCTTCCGACTACCTAAAGCCCCCAGAGCCCCTCCAGAGACATTCTTGTAAAGCTTGACCGGGACTCAGACAGAAGCGCTATTCTGACGGCAACAAGAGATACCCCCAGTACCACATTTGAGGGGCACCAACTGACATTTTATAGGGACATATCTCGCCATACCATCGTTTGGCGGCGGACACTCCGCCAACTCACCCAGCACCTCAGGGAAAGCGAAGTGCCATATAAATGGGGCATACACAAGCTGACCGTTGAAAGAGGGGGCAAGATACATTCACTTACTCACCTATCTGAGTCACACCGTTTCTTACGGGAACTGGGACTGCCCGTAAGCGCCTTCCCATTGCCGCAACAGACCTCCTGGTCAGTGGACCGGATTACTCAGTTTGTCCCAAGAGAGACCGAAAGAGGATCCCGTGACCCGCCACTGCGAAGAGGACTGACACATCACATCATCCATCCCACCATACAAGCTCCAAGCGAGCTCACTTCTCTCCCTGGGTGTTAGCATGGACACTAAATGGTTTTTATAATTTCTATAATTTTTTTATAATTTTAATTTAATTTGAATTGGCTCAGTTAGCAGTAATTACACTGGTTCTGAAGAGTTGTATACCCCCCCACCTCACCTACTGTGCCTGAGACGACCAGCAGTCCCCCCCCAACAGGTAGACGCTGTGTGATACAGGCTGACAGCAACTGCTTCTAATATTAATATAAATAATTGTCAATGACAGCAGATTGAGAATGAGGAAACAGATATAACTTCAGCTGAAATGTCATAGGTACCACCAGCACTCCCCCCCCCCCCCCCCACTACCCAGAAGATCTTAAGCTTTAAATACCTTTTGATGATGATTGACTACTCTTTCTGGTCTGTACAAGTGAGATTAACATTTATATTTTGAAACGTGCTGTATAACTGATGTGTTATGTTACGTGGCTTTAACCACGGTTACACTGTTGATGACATGTCTTATGGCAAGTTGTGCACCATACAAAGCACAACAAAAATAGAGAATTCCAAAAAAAAAAAAAAAGTGGGTGAAGGGGTGGACGTGGCACCAAGACCATTTCACTCAGATGATGTGGTTTGGGTTCCCATAATGTTCCTTTAAAGCAAGAATGTCAAACTCAAAGGCTAACAAGGGCCAAATAAACAAGGTTTAAAGTACCATTAAAGGGAACCAGACCACTTTAGCTCTTTGACGTGGTCTGGGTGCCAGGTCCCCCCTAGTTTTAACCCTGCAGTTGAAAACATAGCAGTTTCAGAGAAACTATGTTTACACTGCAGGGTTAATCCAGCCTCTAGTGGCTGTCTCCCCAGAGGCCGCTTCCGCGATTTACACTGAGTAAATCGCACTTATTTGATGCTGGACATCCTCACGGAGTCCAGCGTCAAATAAGATCAACATAGGAAAGCATTGAGTAATACTTTCCTATAGGCGGGTTTGAATGCCTGCGCGCCTCTGGCCGTGCATGCGCATTCACCTCCACTTGGGAGCTGGGAGGTGACAGGGGAGGAGAGGTGACAAGCACCGAGGAAGCTCGGCGCTGGATTAAGGTAAGTGGCTGAACGGGTTTGTTTTCCTGGCACTATAGGATCCCTTAAAGTTTGTTGTCCGCAGACAGACAGAAACTCTCCACTCTTGTGGCCTTGGGAGAGAAGACAAGAATCAGATCTTTCCCGTCTTGCAGCTGGCCACAGTACAAACCAGTTGCAGGGCAGGCGGGCCACAAGTGTGACATGCTTGATCTATACACAAAAACTGCTTCATTATGCAAAAGTTGTGACTATAGTGTCCGTTTAAGTTTCTTTGTGTGTTCCGTTGGCTAAGTTTCTGAACTGAGACCTAAGGAACAGAAATAGTGACTAAAACAAGGTATTTATTGCTAGGAGGGGCATGGCAAGCAAATGTTTGTTGTATACAATTGAAAAGTTTGTCAAACTAATTATGTCAGCCACTATACTTATGGGTATATGTAAATGAAATATTGGTGTAACACAGTAATTGAAAATAACAATAACAAAAATGACACTTGAAAAGTACAGGTAGAAACGGTAACATTGTTATAATAAAAATAACATAACATGGTAGAAAGATAGAATAAATCGTATCTTCGAGGCTTCAGTCAGTCAATACTTTGATTGGGAGAGATGGAAATTAACCTTCTCTGTACGTCAGGTTTGCGAGTTTTCAGGATTGAGGCCTAAAGATTCAGGATCCTTCCGATTTTAAATTGTGAATTCAGTCCACATTTCACAGGATCTGGGCAGCATAAATAGAATTTTATATTGATCGTGAACACTCCAAGCTACGTAATGGTATGGCGTTTTCTAGTGGGAGTGAGTTTTGTTGCCCGTGCGAGTGATTCTGCCTTACTTTACTAAAACTACAAAACTTCTTCTCCAAAACCGTTCTCAATTACGCTAATTATGCTTTATTTATAAAAGGGACGATAGCTGAGTCACATCTAGAAACCCAGCCCGTTTCATTCTGCAGATAATGCTGTCTGTCTTCCGATTGGTAGAGTGTTTTTTTTATCTTGTAGCACTGTCCCAATGGCAGCTAAAAGGCTGTATGTCTTCCCTGCAGTTCAGTGTTCACCGGGACATTTCTACAACACCACGACTCACCGATGTATCCGCTGTGTGGTCGGAATGTACCAGCCGGAGTTTGGACAGAACTTCTGCATTTCCTGCCCTGGAGACACAAGCACCGACTTTGACGGCTCCACCAATATTACGCAGTGTAAAAGTAAGGGTGGAATTTCTGTCTGCAGGCGACTTCTTAAAGGTGGACTGTCAATTCAATGGTTTTAACATTTATTTTTATTTATCCTTGATATTTAACATATATGTTTGAGGTCAGAAAAATAAAATTAAATCCACACAGGCAGATTTACTTATATCCTGGAAGGAGTACCATATTGGTTTCCTGTCCATTGTTAGAAGCTCCGACCCTTGTACCATTCAGTCTAGAGAGCTAAAAAAACAAACAATGCATGCCTTGGGTGTGCCAGGAATTGACTGGATTGTGATGGCACGTGCTAAATCTTCAGTGAAGCATTGCATGAAGAGGTCAATACTAGTCTATAAGTGATTTTTCAATATTTTATTCAGTAATGTCATTTCCAGAGAAGTGGTCTTTTTAAATCCCCCAACATTCAAAGGGGATCCATCAGTCGCCCTGAGTCAGCATCACCATGAAGTCACCAACTTTCTCAGATGCATGTAAATAACACAAATACTGCCATCTGCTGTACAGATTGTAAAACAGCTGATTATCTAGATTTGTATGTGATAATCACCCACTTATACAGTGTTTTGCACTGATTTCTATTTATCTATTACTGGGCATAAAGTAAAGGCTATTAAATATATTGTATAATTTGAAATGCATTAAAATCAGTTTTGTCATCGCTGATTCTATTAGACTGTGTCACTATTCTTCAGCTTTGGCATGGCGATCTGTGTTAGATACACTCACTCCAGCTCTCCAAACCTACTAGAACACATACACTACCAGCTCTCCACACCTCCTGTAACCAACACTACCAACTCCCCACATCTCCTGTAACCCAGACTACCAGCTCCCCTCACCTCCTGTAACCCAGACTACCGGCTCCCCTCACCTCCTGTAACCCAGACTACCGGCTCCCCTCACCTCCTGTAACCCAGACTACCGGCTCCCCTCACCTCCTGTAACCCAGACTACCGGCTCCCCTCACCTCCTGTAACCCAGACTACCGGCTCCCCTCACCTCCTGTAACCCAGACTACCAGCTCCCCTCACCTCCTGTAACCCAGACTACCAGCTCCCCTCACCTCCTGTAACCCAGACTCCCCTCACCTCCTGTAACCCAGACTACCAGCTCCCCTCACCTCCTGTAACCCAGACTACCAGCTCCCCTCACCTCCTGTAACCCAGACTACCAGCTCCCCTCACCTCCTGTAACCCAGACTGCCAGCTCCCCTCACCTCCTGTAACCCAGACTGCCAGCTCCCCTCACCTCCTGTAACCCAGACTGCCAGCTCCCCTCACCTCCTGTAACCCAGACTACCGGCTCCCCTCACCTCCTGTAACCCAGACTACCAGCTCCCCTCACCTCCTGTAACCCAGACTCCCAGCTCCCCTCACCTCCTGTAACCCAGAGTGCCAGCTCCCCTCACCTCCTGTAACCCAGACTACCAGCTCCCCACCTCCTGTAACCCAGACTACCAGCTCCCTTCACCTCCTGTAACCATACTACCAGCTCCCCTCACCTCATGTAATTATATTGCCAATCCAAAGGAATTCTATTGTGTTAGGGATACAAATCTGTATTCCTATACCTTTGCCCCTCTTACCCCCTTTCCACCCCTGCACATAAAAGGTTAAAAACACTTTATTTAGTCATTTTACTTGGACATCTGTGCTCCGCCTCCCATGTCCTCAGACAGGGGAGATCTAATCCGCATGCACGGCTAAAACCGCGAGTGCATTAGGCCTTCCACATAGGAAAGCATTGCCTCAATGCTTTCCTATGGGGATTTCCCTGACACTGGATGTCCTCATGCAGAGCGTGAGGATGTCCAGCGTCGTTTAAGGGACCCAGAGTCCGGTTAACTTCCAGAAATGCCTCTAGTGGCTGTATGATACAGCCACTGGAGGCAGTATGAGTTTGCAGCATTACAGTTTCTCAAAATCTGCAAAGATTTACACTGCAGTACTAAGGGGGGGACAGGAACCATGCACCCAGATCACTTCAATAATTCAGTCAATATACAGATTACTGTTGACCTATGTTGCATTGTGTATGTGTCAGCCAATGCAATAAAAGCTCTATAGCAAATGGCAGAATACTGATCCAAGTATGGTGTTTCCCAGTTATCTCTGTTAATATCTTTTGTGGGGCTGTCAGTGATAGCAGTGCTGTTTGTTTTCTATCCTGCTTACAGACCGGCATTGTGGAGGCGAGCTAGGAGACTTCACCGGTTACATTGAATCCCCTAATTACCCTGGAAACTACCCAGCTAATGCCGAGTGTACGTGGATCATCAACCCTCCCCCAAAACGGCGCATCTTGATTGTAGTCCCAGAAATCTTCTTGTCCATCGAAGATGAGTGCGGAGATTATCTAGTGATGAGAAAAAGCTGTGAGTTTCCCCACCTCAAAACCTGTGTGTTTCGAGTGAGATTGGTGCATCACAACCTGCAGGGCAGTAAAACAGGTTAAATCCATGTTGTTCAATGAATGGCAGTGAAATCTGGGAAATGTAGGGCAACCAAACCTGGAGAGCGGCATTTAGATCCCCCTAGGTTAAACGTTCCATGCATTAGGTATTAAAGTGGCAAAATGATAAAATGTATCATATGATAAACATTGTGTTTTCAGTGTTTATCACTGTGTGACATAAAGACTATATGAACACTGTATTCACAGAAAGGCAAGTAAATATAGTGATAAGAGGAAAGGGGCAAGTAATGTATTGACTCCTCCTTTGTTGCACTGTGCACAATATGCAAATGATGCCTGCGATTCAGAATAATGACTTGGCATGCAGGGCTGGATGGGGATGCTGTGAGTTTGTGGCTCAGTATAGTGAATGATTACTTTAACTCTCAGTACTTTTTCTTGTTCCTAATTAGTGGATCATTCTGGCATTTCATATTAACCCCGCCATTGTCATTCACAGCTTCATCCAATTCTGTGACGACTTTTGAGACCTGTCAGACCTATGAGCGTCCCATCGCCTTTACCTCCCGATCTAAAAAACTGTGGATACAATTTAGATCTAATGAAGCAAACAGCGCAAAGGGTTTCCAGGTGCCATATGTCACATACGACGGTAAGAGGAGGGTTTCATGTATTTCTAAAACGTTATTCACACATTTTACTAGTTAGAGGGTTGTGGGAGGCTAAGTGAAATCCTAAAAGGGCATTTAAAAGAGATCAGAGATATGTGTAAAAACAATAAAACTTATTTTATTGCCATGAGGAAAGCCTGGAATATTAAACCTGGTGAGAGAAACACAAACCCCAGCAGCTATGGTCTGTGTGACTACAATACTGCCTGGTGTACTCATTGAGATCTCAGGCTGAGGACAGAAGGGGGGCATCTTGCGTGGTGTGTACACTGCACTGATAGAGTAACCTCTAGTTCAGCAGTCCCACATAAGCAGGAGGCTTAGCACAGGACTCTGGGCCCTTCACTGTAGCCACATCCTGCTCAGTTGGAGTTCACACTTCTCTCCTCTGACACTTGTCAGTGATGTGTGTGTTCAGCCCACAATGCAATTTGGAGTGTGCTGGTGTCTTGGATTGGCATGCTTTGCCTTTCATTCCCTGCCTTTATCCTCTAAGTGCTCACTAATAATCTCCGGTGAGTGAAAGTCCTTTGGTCTGTATCCGCAGAATAGGACCAGCTGAATGAAGGAAATGTGTATGCAGTTTGGCTGTTTGTGAAGAGCTGAATCGTCAATGTTTATTTAGATTGAACTGATCTCCGTCCGATAACCAAAATGCAGCCAAAGTTTGCCTTTTTTTAAAAATAGGGAAACTTGTTGCATTCTGTTCCAACAGCCAAAATGTGACCTCTGAATGGTGATGTGTATTTATGTTAAACCATTAATGACCCTTTAAATGATTATTCAAGCACTATATAACCACTTATCTGATCACTGCTTTCTATGAAATGCTGCACATACAGATATTAACTCCCCCCTCCTCCTCCCCCCTGTTGACAGAGGTGTAACTCCACCACCAGCCACATCATTGGGGTGTCATTAGCCGGCTCAGAACAAATGTTCCAGGAAGCTTTTGTGAATTTTGTTCAAAACTAGTGTTTGGCGCCAGAACGCACAGAATGCTTGCGCCAGACAGCCAATGGAAGTACAGCCCACTCCCTCCATGCTGCCCATGCCCTCGTCTCAGTCTGCTCTCCCTGACGTACTTTACCCTCCAGCAAGGGGGTGTGACATCACTGGAGGAATTCTTTAAATTATTATTATTATATATGGGGCAGTGGGGGAGTGTGGACAACAGAGGAAGTGTTACTGTGACCAAACCAGTGTTTTTGGATTGTATGATGTTACCTCCTCTCCAAAAAACAAAACAGTTATTGATTGGAATAACCCTTCAATCAAACTGCCGGTCTTATGATACAATAGAGCGATCATGCTTGAGTTCTATCTTGTATCTTAATAGTTTTTCTCATTCTTATTTCTATGCTCTTCACTTTGTTTTTGTTTTTTTACCCCCTCTTCTGCCTTTTTTCAGGATGTCAATTTCACCTGCAGGTGGCAGCAAAGTACATGTACAAGTAGCCTTTGATGTCTGGGAGGTGATGTTTGTATTTAAATGCAGATGGTTAATGTAGTAGTCCATCAGTGGCTAAATCTTGGCATACACCATGGTAGCCCAGATACCCCAGTGCAGGAAAAATGCTATAACTGGTTATGTGTCTGTTCCAGAATAAAATGTTTTATTTCTCCTTAGTATAGCTCTGTGCCTTACATCACTTTATCATACTAGCTGCATTTCTACCTTTTGATGTTTCTTGTAAAGTAAAAGAAAGCCTTTGTATGACTGTAGCCTCTTAACAAACCCTTGTGCTCAGTGTCCCTCTCTGCAACAAACTCATCTCCACCTCATCTCCGAAGAAAATTCACAAAGGCTATTGATTTTCTCATAAAACATTTGTGGAATGTTCCACTGGACATCTGAGGTGTTTCATCCTTTTTATCTCAAGGATCTACCTCTCAAGTGTTAATAGAAAAGTTAGATAAGAGAGATGAGCATTGTATGACTGGGAAATCCTGATTCTAGACGTACAGGGCAAGGAGAGAAGCAGAGAATTTAATTGTCCTATCGATTTTATTTTAAATTGACAGAGTATTGATCTTTAAAACACTTTAATCAATAGTAAATACAAACTTTCTTTTAGCATTTTAAAGGGTTCAGCTGTTTGAATGTGTTTTTAAGAATAATTTTTAATTTGAAGTTGTGATTTAGAATGTCCTCACCCAATAGAACCGCACAATTTTTAAATAAGTAAACAGGGTAATGCAAGTCATGCCAGAAGATGAACATGTATGAGTAGTAATAAATGGTTATGTAAACTGTCATTTTTGGTATTTAAAATAGGATAATATAATAATAGCATGCTTCTAAGGTATAACCAGCTTCTGATTGACTTATATGTTGGCATGGGATTGTAGATAAACAATGAAACATTCAGGCAATTTGCACATGTATCACTTTTCAAATGGGAAGCATGTTAGGGAAGTATGGTTATTAATGTTAGGCTACAATATGTGTAGCTGCTGGTCAAGGTTACACCTTGTATAGGTAAATAGGGCAAACAACAAAAACATGATAGAATGCCACTGAGTAGGAACTAATACATAAAACATAGGAAACAAATACCACTGGGTTAAACAATGTGCAAGAAAGTAGGGACAGCCTGTGTCACCGCAACTGCCAAATTGCGGTATTTAAACATCTAGTTCAGCTCACATAAACCACTGGGGACCAACTATAAGAAAAGCTGCTATACAGGTGAAAACAAAACATCTTCACAATTAAAAATATATGGCTAATAACAGTGAGGCAAATAAGCTCCTCCGGAAAGATTTGTGGGACAGTCAACGAATTCCCAATGAGGGTGATGAGACTAGGACAGGAGGCTGTTTGCTTAAAGGACCACTATAGTGCCAGGAAAACAAACTCGTTTTCCTGGCACTATAGGGTCTTTAGGTCACCGCCCACCCTCATTGTCCCACTCTCGCCGGCTGAAGGGGGAGGAAGGGATTAAATTCTTACCTTTCTCCCTCTTCCCACGTCATCCGCCGAATGCGCATGCGCGGCAAGAGCTGCGCACGCATTCAATCAGTCCATTGGTAAGCATTTCTCAATGATTTCCTATGGACGGCAGCTGTGAAAATCACTGTGAGAAACGCAGAAGCGCCTCTAGCGGCTGTCAGTGAGACAGCCACTAGAGGCTGGATTAACCCAAATGTACACATAGCAGTTTCTCTGAAACTGCTATGTTTACAGCTGCAGGGTTAACACTAGAAGGACCTGACACCCAGACCACTTCATTGAGATGAATTGGTGTGGGTGCCTATAGTGGTCCTTTAATGTAGTTTTACACCTCTCGTATTTACACTCTTTTAATTTCCTAAAGGAGTTATGTAAAGCTAATTCAGCAAGTGTGTACATCACCTATAGTGAAATATTGCTAATAATGTATTGTATGTATCTTTCTCACAGAAGATTATCAGGAGCTTATTGAAGATATAGTACGTGATGGTAGATTATACGCATCAGAAAACCACCAAGAAATTTTAAAGGTAATTATTGATTATTATTTCTGCTTGTCATATATATATTTTTTTAATTCTTTATTTATGTGAGCTTGGTTTGGCAAGTTAACAGCATCATACGTAAACAGTGGTATGATAATTTAAGGCAGTACCGTAAAATAGCGTTAACATTGATGGTTTCAACATTGTAAGCACATTTTCATACAACAATCACGTTGGGTGGCATACCTGGGGTCTGCAGGGTTGTATCAGGTTCAGTATTATGTGCGTTATTCCCCTGGTGTACTAAAAGTGTGGGAGTGTGTGGGTGCTCCCTGGTTCGGGTTGCGATGTGTCAGTGTGTGTGGGAGCAGGGGCGGACTGAGCACTCGGGCAAATCGGTCATGGACCGAGGGCCCGAGGCTCTGGGGGGCCCGCCCCTGCTGCAGTGCAGTAATGGCTGAGCTGGGGAGTAAAACAATCTCCCCAGCCAGCCTGCACTCAGTAAGGGGCCCCCACAGCCTTCCGCGGGCCCCTGCTGCTAAAAATATAATCCCCGTGCAGGGCACACTGAGGGACAGCTAAGGGGCCTTCCAAAGACCCTGCTAGGCTGCCCCTCAGTGTGCCTGTCTCCAAACACAGCCTCACTGAGCTGCCTGTAACTGCTCAGGGCAGCTCCGTGCGGCTGGTTCTGCAGGAAGTGACATCAGCAGTCACAGTGCAGAGTGAGGAGCTGCCCTGAGCAGACTAACAGGCAGCATGTCAGCATTGTGTGCCCTCCTTCAGAAGAGGACCACCAGAGAGGTAAGGTTTGGGAGGGGGGCTTTATTTTTTTTTTAATTAAAATGTGTTATTATATAATTTCCCCCACTACTGCCCCATCAGAGCCCATACCCCCCCTTGCTCCCACTGCATCCCCTACCCCCCCACTGCATCTCCTACCCCCCTCCGCTCCCAGTGCATGCCCTACCCCCCTGCATCCCCTACCCCCTCCCACTGCATCCCCTATCCCCTGCTCCCACCATCCCTACCCCCCTGCTCGGTGCATGCCCACCCCCTGCATCCCTACCCCCTCCCACTGCATCCCTATCCCCCACTGCATCCCCTATCCCCCCACTGCATCCCCTACCCCTCCTGCTCCCACTGCATCCCTGCCCCCACTGCATCCCCTACTCCTGCTCCCCCACCCCCTCCCAGTGCATGCCCTACCCCTCCCCTGCATCCCCTACCCCTCCCACTGCATCCCTATCCCCCCACTGCATCCCCCCTACCCCCCTGCTCCCACTGCATCCCCTACCCCCCTGCTCCACTGCATCCCTACCTCCCTGCTCCCAGTGCATCCCTTACCCCCCCAGTGCATCCCCTACCTCCCCTGCTCCCCAGTCAAGCCCCTACCCCCCACTGCATCCCCCTACCTCCCTGCTCCCAGTGCATCCCCTACCCCCCCCACTGCATCCCCCTACCCCCCCCTGCTCCCAGTGCATACCCCTACCCCCCCTGCTCCCACTACCCCCCCCTGTTTCAGTGCATGCCCTACCCCCTGTTCCCAGTGCATGCCCTACCCCCCTATCCCAGTGCATCCCCACCCCCCCCTACTCCCAGTGCATCCCCTACCCCCCCCTGCTCCCAGTGCATCCCCTACCCCCCCTATCCCAGTGCATCCCCCTACCCCCTTGCTCCCACCATCCCCCTACCCCCCCTGCTCCCACTGCATCCCCTACCTCCCTGCTCCCAGTGCATCCCCTACCCCCCTGCTCCCACTGCATCCCCTACCTCCCTGCTCCCACTGCATCCCCTACCTCCCTGCTCCCACTGCATCCCCCACCTCCCTGCTCCCACTGCATCCCCTACCTCCCTGCTCCCACTGCATCCCCCACCTCCCTGCTCCCACTGCATCCCGTACCCCTCTGCTCCCACTGCAGCTTTTACCTGCTGCTCCCACTGCAGCTCCTACCCCCTGCACTGTGCGCAATAGTAGGGTTTCGCTTTTGGTAGTGGCTAGTGGGCTACCCAACTGCTCCCACTGCATCTCCTATTACCCTTTGCACCCACTACAGTCTGTCCCTCCTCTGCACCTACTACAGCCTCTAATCCACCCTATTCCCCCGTACCCTCTACAGTCCCTCCCCTTCAGAGAAAATGCAGTGTTTACATCGCTTCCTAGGACCACCTAGGCGCTTCCTGTGTCAGTGTTGCAAAATGTGCAGCACTGACATTCAGCATCTCCATGCTCTGCATGTCGACGCTGAACGCTTGTCATAGAGAAGCACTGATTCAATGCATCTCTATGATGGTGATTGGCACAGCGTTTTGCTGCCTGCACAATAGCCTTCTAGTGCTTTCCTATGGTAGAGCATTGGGTTGGCTGAGATCATCTAAATTGAGTTTGGTCGGTGCTGGGAAACAGGTGAGTAAATCGCATTTTTAAGGGGGGAATACACATTTGTATTCCTGACACTAGCGTGTTCCTTTAAAGGGACACTCCAGGCACCCAGACCACTTCTGCCCATTGGAGTGGTCTGGGTGCCAACTCCCACTACCCTTAACCCTGCAAGTGTAGTCATTGCAGTTTTTATAAACTGCAATAATTACCTTGCAGGGTTAACTCCTGGTCTATAGCTAAAATTCCCATAGGAAAGCATTGAAAATTCCCATAGGAAAGCATTGAAAAGCATTTTCAATGCTTTCCTATGCAGAAGTCTAATGCGCCTGCGCGGCATTGCCGCGCATGCGTATTAGGTCTCCCCCGACAGCTGACGTGATGAAGGGGAGGAGCATGAGTGGAGGAAGAAGCAGCGACGTGGGACATGTCGCTGCCTCTGGTAAGTCACTGAAGGGGTTTTCACCCCTTCAGCAACCGGGGATGGAAGGTGGGAGGGAGAGGGGACCTGCCGTGCCAGGAAAACGGATTGTTTTCCTGGCACTGGAGAGTCCCTTTAAGGTGGCTCGTAACATTTAACACTTGGTTTCACAAATACCCCCTTTTACATACTGCCATGCTACACAAACACACACAAAAAAATACTACCCTATTCACAAAACCAAAAAACATGTATTCAAATATACTAATCATCCACATATCCTGACACTACACACTACACACAAAGACATACATATATTCACTTACCCTAGTGCTCACAGTGAATATACACACAGAAACATGCATTCACTTTACATGTACATACAATCAAATATACGGTACACCTATACCAGCATATATATCGGTCTGCTGGGGGCCCAGGTGCTAATTTTGCCCGGAGGCCCAGGCCACTGTCAGTCCGTCCCTGTGTGGGAGCATGTATGTGATTGTTGCAAGCGGGTTTAGGTTTGTGGATCTGGATGCCTGTGTGTACTGGCGTGCGGAGCTCTTTCTAGTACCAGGGTGGTTGGAATGACAAGTGTGAAGTGCGCTCCGGTTTGCGAAGTACCCGGTGTGGCATCTCATCTAGCCCCCTATCCCTGGGAGGGGCGGGGTGGGCAGAGTGGCGGTAATCATAGTGAGCGCCAATGTACTATCCTGCGTGAGGGATTGTCTGCCTTTCCTGCTGCTTGTTATATTTTAATTCTAAATTTCATGTAAACCATGGAATCAGAAGTAAATTTTATTTCTAGACCTCTACATTTTTACATGTGTAAATGTTGTTTTTTTTTTTGTTTTTTTTTCTTTCAACTATTCCTTTTTATTGCTTAAATAAAAGCTTACTCAAAAGCCCTATCTGATTTACCATACCTCATCTAGAGACAATTTGTTTACAGCTACAGTGTAGGGCTCCCCCAACATTTAAAGGAAAAGTAAATTCATCCTTTTTCTGTTGGGACGTGTCTTTATAATGTTTAGTTTCGAGCGGTTTCACTTGTGGAAAAGATACATTTGTATCCTCACCTGGCGCATTCTATGTGAGATCCAGTGATAATATCTTATCCAAATGAGCTTTAACACCTCCAGACCAATTTTTCATTTTCTCTTGAAAGATAAATTCCATGAAATATTTTATCTGACTTACTGTTATGTACAGCCCTAATGCTTTAAGAGTTAATTTCATTCAGTAGTGAAGATATGTTTCATGCATTTTGTTTTACGCATTTCTAGACATTGGTATCTGGTTGCATAGCGCACAATAAAAAGCACGGGTCGAACAGCCAAATTATCTGGAGTGTATGAACCCCCTGCTGATTTATCAATGTCTCTGGAAACCGAACTGAAAAGGAAAGCGCTAAATGCTCCGTCAATCTGTATGTCTTGACAGAGAGAAAGCCGACCGAGACGTCATCAGGCAGCAGGAAAATAGGATTATAATAGGAAGAAATAAAACCTGTCCTGTTTGAAATCCGTGCAGTGCTTTCCCTGTGAGACTGTAAGGGAGGTGTTTGTGTAGATATAAGCTTGTTTCAGTGGCAGCATGACCACGCATGTGTTATCAGCTCCCATTTACAACTATATAGAATCTGCTTCCATCGGCTGTACATGTACAGCGCTAAGCTCACTGCAGCCTCTCTGAGAGCAAAATTAAATTAGTTTATAATTCTGGGGCAGAGGATTGATTGTTTTTATTTTAAAAAGAAAAGGGACTAATTATTTTCCTCTTTTAGGATAAGAAACTGATAAAAGCCTTATTTGATGTCCTGGCTCATCCTCAAAACTACTTCAAATACACTGCACAGGAATCCAGAGAAATGTTTCCCAAGTCCTTCATTCGACTGCTCCGTGCTAAGGTGTCCAGGTTTTTACGGCCTTATAAATAAGGATTGAACTTTCTGTCTGTGATCTTCATCAGGTTGGCAGTTTTACCAGGTCCTGCTTTCACGTCACTCCAAGTATCACTCGCTCTTTGGCGTTATTAATTATATCAGAAGCAGGCCTTTTATATCTTAATAAAATGATCTTTTTGACGACTAAATGAACGAGTGCTGGAGAAGAGGAACAAAGCCTTGATTTAACCAAACATTTTACTACCATTAACTTTACTGGTGAAAAGTACAGACAAAATGTGTGCATTTCTCCAGAACATTACATGGACCGACGGACCTTATATTCCTTTATCAAGCTGGTTTAGCTACACATCATCATTCGGTAGCAAATCTGCCTTCAGTGAGAAACTACACATGACAAAAAATAAAACCTAGTGAGTGTATAATGTTGGCAAATTTGTATTCCTAGCTTACAGACCCTACCAGTGTGTCAGAGTGGCTGAATTAATAGAAAGCATAGCTTCAGACCTGTAATTATAAGAGGTTAGTCCTTTGAGTATCACGTAGAGACACCAGAAAGTGAATAGGTAGTAAAATGATCATGTTGGCAGATAAGGGTTTATCAAAATGTAACATTAAAATCGAATCATCAGATCTTCTGGGGTGATTTCTCAATTTCCCACACAGAGCTTGTGTATTCAATCTTGGTCACAGGTAGGGGACCCCCTGCTAACAGAGAGAGATTTACATTTAGTGGGGAGCAGTTCATTTTTATCAGGGAGCTTATACAGAAAGTAACAGCACCTATATTTTATATTGGTGTTCCTCAACATTTAGCTTTAATTTATTCATACGAAAAGATTTTGTTTTGTTTTTTTTGGGCGGGGGAGGGGTTTTGTTTTTTTTGTTTTGTTTTTTGTAATGTTCTAGGGTCTGAAGTGGACACCCAACACTTGGGACAATGTTTCAGAAGTCAGGAGAAAGGGATGAGTAAAAAAAAAAGGCAAACCAGATGCCACCTGTTTCGGTTTGACTCAGAGGTTTTTATCATATTACTGGAATATTATCAAAAAACCATCCTGCTCTAGGCCTGTCCTCCTCTGAAAGCACAATCTGGGACATCATTGAAGGAACCTGGATATGAGATTTGAAGCATTGGGGCTGGAATAGACAGAATTCAAAATGACGCATCATTTCAATGCCGAGCAAGTGATGTGTTCGCATAGTCAAGCAAACTTAGCCTCACAGAAGCAGAATGGCGTTTGACAAGGACTTTATTAGAAGTCTTCACTTTGTTCGTACTCTGGAAAACCATTTATTTGGACAGCAAAACTTGTGGCACAAAAGACGCACAGCCTGGCAGCAACATGTCTACTATGGGGAAAAATTGCATTTGATGGGATCTGATGCAAGGTTCCTGGGAACAAGCATTGTTTGGAGGTCAGGGCACAGTTTGTGACATGGACAAGATGCCTAAAACTTTATAAATGCACCAAAGGCTGTTTCTCCCAAAAACACATTAGCTGCAGCCATGCCTAGCTAAAGGGGCAGATACTCGGGTCAACATGTTCTCAGTAAACGCAATAAGCTGATCTGCGAAGGGAGTCCCGTCAGAACTCTAATGCGTTAAAGTTTACCAGGCAGTATAAAGTTACAATCTGAATACAAATAACAGATTTTAGATTTTGTTTCCATTGTACTTAAAATATATTGGGGTATTAAGAGAATATTTTTTTAGTTTGTGTAGCATTAAAGCGCTTATTGAACTGTGATTGATGTCTTTGTGAATTTGTTGTGTAACTTGCCTTTTATATATTTATTTAACACATGAGTAGATGTTGGCATTCTTAAAGTATAATGCTTATTAATATTTTTACAGGGAACCTCACCAGATTTAGTGCTGCCAATCCTCATAATTGAAGGGGGTCGACTAAGAAGTGTAATCACTACAACCCACTGTTGTGATTTAGTTGTAACTGTGCTTCTGGTCCTGCCTCAAACTGTTTTGATTGGCTTGACAGAAATTGAGGGTGTCCACTGCCTATCCCTTCACTTAGCATATATTTCTGTATTTTGATTTTGTTCAAATTTGGACAGAAATAATTGGCCGAGCAGGTCAGCTGATACTCTCATTCAATGAATGTCATCCAGATGGAGACAGAAGTGGTATTCCTGACTGCTAGAATGGAAGTACGCTCCAGGGGACCCTCCGTTTATGTCAGACTACTTGAAGCAGATTTGACACAGAACTATGGAATGGTGCCAGGGGCATGCTGGCACTCTAAACCAGGAATTAAACTTGGCTCTCTAAGCACCATAATCACGAAAGCCTGCTAGTTGTTATTGGAAGTTTGTTATTAAAGGCTTTCAACAAATGTCTACGATTTCCCCTATGCAAATCAAGCTCCTAAATTTTGACTCTAAAAATAAATGAAACCAGAAATGAAATAAACATGAGTTTTAGATTGTGCACATACTTCATTAAAACAGTGTGTCACTGCAGCGCTGGTTGTAATAGCGCATATTAATACTGAAAGCTTTACACGTCATTTTAAAAGAGATAGATATATATATGTATACATACATACACACACACACACACACACACACTTCTGAAATGACTGCCTGTCGTGTAGCTGCATTTTACAGCACTCCTGCACATCTACACTCTTTTCCCTCCATATTAGAGGCAGTACAATATGAGGGATATCACCATCTTCTTCTGGCAAAAGCCAGGCAGGACTCTATCATAAAAACTTTAAAGAGGAGGAGGTTAACCTTTTTTGACTATAAAATCTAAGAAAGAAAAAATGCCCAGTTGACTGCCTGCTTTCAGTGTAGGTAGGACTCGCAATGTTGTTTTTGCAAGCAAGGTAAGGCGGAATGGCTGGGGAAGACTCCTCTTGCCCCCAGATCAGCGTTTCTTAGTCTCAGCTCTTCCTTCTTCAAGCCTAGCACCTGCATTTCACGCTTGTGTAGCTTCCGCCCAACCTGTGTCGGAAAAGGCGTGGGTGCACTTGGACGTACTGCTGGGAGATCCTTAAGGTGGATCACATGTACTAGTTACAATGCTTTCCACCTGGAGTCTGCAGGGTGCTACACGGAACGTGATCCTTGTGTCAAATTCAAACAGGAAGGACCTTGGAGCCTTTTTAAACCCCAACCACAACTACCTGCCAGCCAGGTGCTGTTCAGCTCTGTTCTCGGCGTGCTCTCACCAACCCTCCAGCATACCCTGAGGACATTTTAAGGTAAGAGTATTGGCTTCTACCTTTTTTAGGGTTTGTCTTTTTTTTTTTTATCATAGTTGACTATTTTTTTTTCTTTTCCTTGTGTCTAATCCTCAAACATCTGAGAAACTTTACCCATGCAAGATAGCTACTAAAATAAAATATGCAGCATATTCTGACTCCAGTTTGGATTTCTCTGCATCATCCTTTTGAAGATTCCGATTGCTCATATGATGAAGATTTTGCTTAAGGAGTGGAAATGTCCATTCAAGAAAGTCTTTCTTACCATCCTCTTTAATACAATAATTTGATGGAAGAAGACAATAACTAGAAGATCTTCCTAAAGTTTACATCCCTATTGCACTGCTGGGTAAGAAAACCACGCCGCCTTTTTGCCCATACTATCTTGCAATCCACTGGAAGCTTCAATAGGCTGAGTCTACTTTAAGGAATAATTTGGTAACTAATGCTGCACAGAGTAAAGCCCTTATTGTAGGATCTTTGGTTACTAAAGCACATTGCACATAGCTGGATTTGCTGAAAAAAGTATGGTGAATCTCAAGAATAGCCTGTTAAAATCCTTCAAAATATCAAGACAGCTTCTGATTTTCTAGCAGACTACTTCTGACCACTGTAGAAAGACCTGTGGATTTAGCTGAAAGTTTAAGAGATTCTGAATGGCTACCTGGCTTAGAGGCTGGTTAGCGTAGTCCGCTTAAACACTCTCTATACGACCTACCTTTTGAACAAGTCAGACTTTCCAACTCTCAGCTGGACGATCTGTTTAAAGGAAAACTACCTCGTTTTCAATTTCTTCGTTTCTATTATTATAAGAAAGGGTTATTGTGTAGAATTAACCAGTCTTTCTCAAAGAAGCTTTGTTTGCTCTACAACATATTTCAATCTATTTTGATCAGAAAACTAGACTGTTGATTTACTTCCTTAGGATCCAAAATTTGTCTAAAACACATTGCAAAAGAAGATTTGGTTTTTCTTGAAGATGTTGACTTAATTAACTATTCAGAGGTCTCCCTTTCAGTCTTTGCTCTGCCCATCAGTTTTTTTCAAAAGTTCTGGTGATCATTACTGCCATTCTAAGGAAGGAATGTTCATATTGTCCCTTATGGACTACTGGCTGTTGAAGGATCTCTTAGACATTTATCTTTGTGTCTTCAAGCAAGTCAGATGTAGATCCCTTGATGAAAAATTATGTTTCAGGGCCTTCTTTTTTGTTAGATTTGGCTCTCCTGAAGATTTTTCTACCCACAGAAAAGATTAAATTTAGTATTGTCCTTGTCCTCCTAAAAAAAAAAATAGCTGTATGTTCCATAAGTGAGGTAATGAGTGTACGGGTCTTTTCTCTACAGCCATCCACTGGGCAAGAGCAATAATGTAATGTGACCGTTAAGAAAAATATCATATTAGAATGGAACAGAGATTAGTCCTCTCTGGGTTACCTTATCAAAAATTTTGCCTTTAACAAGAAAGCACTTCAGTTGGTGGGAACTCTCAAGGTTCATTTTGGAAGGCCTCTCCTTCAGAGTGATAGAAAATAGTTTCATCACAACTGGCGCACCAGCTTTCCGTTTTTGTGGTGACCAAGAAAGATTCCACCAGTAACAGTTATGCAAGAATGTGTGTGGGTTTGTTTTTTTTTTCTCCTTACTTGGTGTTTTGGTATAAAGGTTAATCCAATCACATCTTCTGTCCCTTGCCTCCGGAGCTTTCTTCAACTGGGCTTCGCTTTATGTTTACTTCCTGCTTCTCTCTATGCTCAAGTCTCTGAATTTGGCCACAAGGGGATCACAAGCTAAATCTCTGGAGTAAAAACTGATTGCAGAGCAGCCTCTAACTTGCTTCCTACAATTGTGATGTATAGAAATTAATGTGTGTAAAATGTCTATTTACTATGTATACCTGTGTGTATAGACTGTACTTATTGGCTCCCAGCACCACCCCATTTAGGTATGTTTAGGTGAGTGCAGCTAAACCCTTGTTTTTTCCTCTATATATACACCTGTGCTCATGTATTAGTCAAAATGGCTGCTAGAGCACCCCCTCCCATCGACCAAGACCCTCGTGTAGTAAGATGGCGTCTCCATCCGGAGCTACACCTAAGATGACAATGACATCAACACCCTCTGGAGGAAGTCCATCAAGATTAAACACTTAACGCTAACCAATTATGTGTTTTAGTAACGTAAACATTTAACACTTAACCAATTGAAAAGTTTACTTTCTGTATTTGCACACATTGCATCTTTTGCCTTTTTAAGGGGCTATGCCGCCCCCTGACAATACACTTGGAAGTTTTCATTTTAACTGAACTTTTGGTGTCAGTGTGATTTCTTCAAGCGTGCATGCATCATTTCATTTAAAACATTTGGAAAGGGGCAGATACTCAAGCAAACACTTGGTTTGGTCTAAAACACAATTGGTGAAATTGCTCCACTGTGGGGTCTTAATTTGGTTCTGTCAGCCTCTGCGAACCTTAACTTGAGCCGTTACAGGATTGGCATTTGAGTATTATAACCTGGAATACCGTGTTCCCTATAGTGATTACATTAGCTAAGCATCTAGAGGAACGTCAAGCAGTTTCAGCCTATCCTCCTTATGCGACTTTTCTTTTCCATTTAAAGCTTCATCCCTCCTACCGAAGGTGGTCTCAGTTGACCGCATTAGTCAAGATATAATTTTGCCTACTTTCTGTCAAATCCACAGAACAAAAAAGAAAATAAATTACATTGTTTTGTTGTTAAGAACCCTTCTGTTAAGATTAAGAAATTCAGATGCTCAGAACACTTGTTTGTCCTCTACCAAAGCCAGATAAAAGGATTTATGGCCTCCAAGAGATCCTTGGCCCGATGGATCAAGGAATCAATTTTACAGACCTACAGTGCCCCAAACCTGCCTCATCCTCTGCATTTTTAAAGCTCATTTAACCAGAGCAGGTTCTACCTCAAGGGCAGCAACCACTTTTACTTATCTGGCACAAAATTGGTAAAGCTGCCACTTGGTCTTCGATTCACACATTTTTTTGAAGCATTACAAATTAAAGTGCTTTAAGCAATTGTGAAGTGATGTTTTTCCACCCTATGGGATTTCTGGTCTATCTCTAATGTTGCATTGTCTGTAATCTAGAGGAAAATACTATTTTTATTAGCCATAAATTTTCTTTTTCATGAAAGGAACACTATTGTCACCAAAAACCACTTTCGCTTAATGAAGCAGTTTTATTGGATAGATCATGCCTCTGAAGATTAACTGCTCAATCCACTGCCATTTATGAGTTAAATCACTTTGTTTCTGTTTATGTAGCCCTTGTCACACACACCCCGGTTGTGACTGACACAGCATGCATGAAAAGAAAAAAATTGTTTCACTTTCAACCAAATGTAACTTGCCCTAAAATATTTTCTCTCCATCTCTGTAAATTAAACTATTACGTACAAGAGGCTCCTGCAGGATCAAGCAAGCTAGTAACAGAGCAGGAGATAAGAAATTCTCAATTAAACAGAATTGGTAATAAAGGACGTGTAAACATTAGATGACTCTTTACAGGAAGTGTTTAGGAAGTATGTGCAAGTCACATGCAGGGAGGTGTGCCGAATGCTGTATAAACAATGTGATTTAACTCCTAAATAGCAGCAAATTGAGCAGTGAGACTGTAAGGGCATGATCTATACACCAAAACTGCTTCAGTAAGCTGAAGTTGTTTTTGTGACTATAGTGTCCCATTAATATTAGAGGCGGTGCACTTCTATTTCCCTCCCTTTTTAATAAATTATTTTTGCATGGTTTGGCTTGTATGCTTTCTGATGTTTTTTTTCAGCTTTTGGGGTATTTTACAGTCAGAAGAGGAGAAACTTAACTTTTTTGTGTTTTATTTTATTTTTATTTTTATTTTATTTTTTAAATAGAGCCCTGTCTGCCTTTGCCAGAAGGAGATTGTGATATCCCTCATGTTGCACTGCCTCTAAATTGAAGGAAAAAGAAAATTGAGTAAAAATATTGTCTTTCTGAGCCCTTAACACTGGCTACATGTGAAGTCATTCCAGGACCCCACAGCACCTGGTCCCACTAAATCTACATGTAGTTATGTACATTAAAAATGTGAAACTAACAGCTTTGTCGTGCTGTGCAAGTGATAATTCATCCGTTTTGTAACATTTTAACAAATAATACAATCAAATCATGGATTTCTTAGAATACCAAGTCTAAACCATCGCTCCCATGCACTTAAATGCAAGCAGTAGGCACCCTTCCTGCTCAAGACAACTCAGGTCTCTGCCATATCAGATCTTAACCCAGGGGTTTGACTTAGCTAATCTTCGTACTCCATGTGTTTGAACTACTTTTTGTTTCAAAACTACATTTCCTATGATGGTCAGACAGCAAACATCTGCAGTGCCAAACTTCACAATTTCTGCTTTTAGTTATATTTCAGTGTATTAATATTTAAATCCACAAAATAGCCACAGGTAAAGCAGTTAAAACTCTGTGGGTTTTTGTTTTCTTTAGAAAATGTTGTCAAAAGTCTTATTTTAGTCTGTGATTATGCTTCATGTTCAAGAACCGTTATGGCTTTAAAGGGAAACTATATAGCTCCCTTATAGTGCCTCGTCCACTCCCGTCCCTGTGATGCAGAAGGTGTTAAAAACCCTTTCTGTCACTTACCTAGGTACAGTGCCAATGTCCCTCAGCACTGGCTCACGTCCACCTCCACTCCTCCCACGCTGCCATTAGCCGGCGGGGGAGGCCTAATATGCATGCACAGCAACGCTTTAGGATTTCCCCATAGGAAAGCATAAGCCACTTAACACCCTGGAAGTCCCTCTCGTGGCTGTCAAAATTAATATTCAAGTCTATATTCCCCCAGTCAAGGCAGTCTTTCCGCATGGGCACGCTGGGCACTTTCCTGGGGGCCCCACAGCGTTGCCCATGTACCGGGCCGACATCTCCCCTGCCAGCCCACGGAGCACCGGCTCTGCTTACTTGTTTTGGGTCCTCTCGGGCCGGTAAGGAGATCGAAGATCTCCCTCACCGGTCCAAAGGCCCTTCGTTTAGTGAGAGGGAGGGAAAGAGGACCTGGGAGGCAGTTCCTCCCGCAAGCATGCAGGTCAGAGCGTTGCTGTGGCAACACTCAGACACAGCATTCTGCTCACAGGAGGAGTGAAGATAGCATGCAGCCAGAGGAGCTGCAGGCTTTAGATCATTACTCACCACCAGAGTTGGCAGTGTTCCCCCCCTCCCACCAAAGGTAAGAAGAAGGGTGGGAGCACTGAGGGGGGAGATGAAGCTTTTTTTTTTTTTTTAAATAAAAATAACCAAAAAAATCTATTTTTCCCTATGCACCCCCCCTTTAACACACACACATTGCACCCCTCACAGACACTCACAGCTGTCTGTGTGTGTGTTTAGCAGTCTGTGTGTGTATGTCCAGCACTCTGTGTGTGTGTATTTAGCAGTCTGTGTGTGTATACAGCAGCCTGTGGGTATTCAGCACTTTGTATTGTATAAATGTATTGCATTTGTTAATAAATATAAACTTAATTTTATCGCTAATTTAAGTTTTTATTTCTGTGACTGGTTGTGTAGGCAGGGCCCCAGTTCACTGCTTTGCCCGGGGGCCCATAATGTTGTTAAGATGGCACTGCCCCCAGTATAGGAGAATACCAGAAACTACATGACGCTCCCCTCTCCCCCCACGGTAGAGCATCAGAAATT